TACCTATGTGTACTAAATTAGCAATAATATGCTTCATTGAAAGCGTTCAGGAAACTCAACAGCTTTGAATTGAACTCCTCAAAAAAGTTAAGGACAAGTGGTTTTCCTCATAGGTTTACATGTTAACCCCCAAATTTGTTTGAACGACTATTTTCTAAGCGTGGAACAAAAGAAATCCCAATAAAGAAAATAAATCTGTATCTTGATTCTATTCCCTATAAAGTTCGCAACATTTCAATGTTATATCTCCATTACATTGGGTCAAAATTTGATGTAAAAATTGATGAATTTCATGAAATTTAACAAAAATGGCAGATCCCATGTTAAACAAATGGGGAACGGTTGGGTTGCCATAAGTCATATGAGGAACGATCCATCCATTCGATTTTCTACTCAGAAAGTTTTTTCAACAAATGTTTCACTGAATAGAAATCCCAAAATTTGAGTTGCCCCTAAGCCACCATTCCCCATTTGTTTAACCTGGGATCTGCCATTTTTGTTAAATTTCATGAAATTCATCAATTTTGACATCAAATTTTGACCCAATGTAATGGAGATATAACATTGAAATGATGATTTAGAGAGTATTGACGTTTTTTGTCGAGCCTATATAAACTTCCTCCATACATAATTACTTTGGTTTGAATATTGGTACACTCAGGGCATTTTTCTTACTTTCTTCATTCAGAGTGTAACTCCTACTCCAACGATATTTGCAAGATTTTGTAGCGTTTTTTCATTAAAATAAAACGTTTTCATTTTCGCATTTTGACACGTTTTGAATCGAAAATTTTGCAAATTTTGAATGGATTGTGGTATTTTTTATTTGCTTATTGTAAAAAATGTGTTCTCATGTTTATTTTGATATGAAGAAAACATAGGGTCAACGGTCTGTTTTGCTCTTGAAAATGCCGTTGAAGATTGATGTGATTAACACCCCGGTCACATTTCCCATGGCCGCCGTGCGGTCTATCATTTCTGCGGCCAGTAGCTTTTCTACGCTCGCCGCAGAATTTCTGCGTTCTCATACTTTTGCAGTCACATTTCCCTCGGCAGCCGCACGGTGAATTTTAAATTTCTGTTGATAAATAATACTTTTTTTCATTTTATTTACATCAGGGCAATTTATAAATGTTATTCATCGTGCTAGAATGTAATATCAAATGAAAAGTGATCGTGAAACATTGACAAATAATGATTCAATCTTGTTGAGCCAGTTGATTTCTACGGGGACCTCAGAAATGAACAAATATTATAACTCCGAGTTATAATTTCTACGGCGACCATGCGGCCTGCGTAGTTTTTCTACGCTCGCCGCAGTAATTCACTGATTTAATTGATCTGCGGTCGACCCACGGCCTCCGTACGACAAATGTGACTGGATGTTAACGATGATACAAAAGCCACTGGTTATATCCGCACCTAACGCACATGATATCCGTATCGTTTGCTTTCGTATAGTACAGTCTGCATAGAGTGACATTGTGAATTAGAATTGCATGAAACTTAATTAGATACAAAAGGGCTGATATATTTTTCAATCAATAGTAGGTTTATTTTAAATATACAGAAGTCCTTCATTCAGTCAATATACAGAATTTGGGCTACACAAACAATAAAAGCACCATTAAGATATAATGGAGCATGTAATTTATTGCAAACAATTTCAAACGATTCTAACTTGAATTATGAATATTTTCTGATTATGGCCATGGGTCTAATTTTCACCAAAAATGCAACCTTTTATTGTTGAATGCATATTTAGAATGTGCTTTGAGACATGTTATATATCCTATAAGAGGAAAAGTGGATTGCTCCAGGGACTTTACAGATACTGAATTTGGATGACCAAAAAGAACTGAAATCAATAGATAACATGAGATTTTTCAATGGAGAAATAACATGGGGGAACACTTATCTTAAAGCCCCCGATAAATCGTGCTACGTGTACCGCCCAGTTTACATCAACGGATTAGAAGAGTTTATTTTTACTTAGGTATGCAAGCAATATCAATATTAGGCCTTCATGCATGTACTCGTGTGTACAATCAGCATGCCCTTCAATATTATATAAGCCAGGCTATTCAAGTACAACATAATGTACACTATTTATGTGTGTTCTACATGAGAATACAATTCTCTGGGAAACACAACACAAATACTTTTTATATGTTCAAAATGAGCCATTTGATTGATGCATACACTTAATACCTTCATATATAAACATCTACAAAGTATATCTAATAGTCATTTTCAATTCCAATGGATTGGTGAAACTTGCCTGGTTACGATTATACGGGAAATCAACACGGGACGATAGTTGTACACCTTCCTGGCTTACCTCTGAAGCCTGTACCTTGTAATCTCTTTATATAGGTTAGCGAGAGCGCTGCGCCTGCGCGGTATTAAATTTTGGCGCACACTTTAAAGCAATTAAGTTTTTCTTTCAAGAAATATTTGATACATTAAATAAATAAAGAATAGTAATGCATTAAAGTCCCCGATAAATCGGGCTACGTATACCGCCGTGTTTACATTAGGGGATTAGAAGAGTTTATTTTTTATTTAGGTATGCAAGCTATATCAATATTAGGCCTTCATTCATGTACTCGTGTGCATGTAATCAGCATGCCCTTCAATATTATGTAAACCAGGCTATTCAAGTACTACATAATGTACACTATTTATGTGTGTACTACATGGGAATACAATTCCCTGGGAAACAAAACACAAATACTTTTTATATGTTCAAAATGAGCCATCTGATTGATGCATACACTAAATAGCGTCATAAATAACATCTACAAAGTATATCTAATAGTAATTTTCAATTTCAATGGTGAAACTTACTTGGTTACGATTATACGGGGAATCAACACGGAACGAAGATTGTTCACCTTCCTGGCTTACCTCTGAAGCCTGTACCTGGTAATCTCTTTATATAGGTTAGCGAGAGCGGTGCGCCTGCGCAGTTTTAAACTTTGGCGCACACTTTAAACGATGTAAAAAATGATTGCATTTTTGGTGAAAATGAGGTCAACATCTTTGAAACGTGTGTTGATGGGTTGAATGCTAGTTAGATATCTTTGTAGATATAGTTTGTTTGACTTTATCATTACTGTATATAATTTTCTCTGAGAAAATGAATGGATTTAAAAGATATACCTGTCTTCATTGTCAGAAAATAGTCATAATGCAATATATAACCGTTTGAAATTGTTTGCGATAATCTACGAGCTCCTTTAGACAATATATTACATGTAGATCATCATTATACAGATTCTTACACTGAAACCAAAATATCATTTGGTCTTTAAAACCTAAAGAATCCCAAATACCACGAGGCTTAAACATCAAGTTGTAAATAGGCTAATGAGTGCGTGCCGAGTCTAGCATAAATAAAGAATCCTGTATTATTATCGGTTGCGAATTTAAAAGCATAAGTGCATGTACTAACTCATTCACATGAAAAGGTGAAAACATGGCATTGGCACATGATAAAACCTTTCTTGCATTCGTATCTGTACAATGTTGTCCATTCTGATTCTTGATGTTTTGGTTTCATCACAAGGGTTTGCGTTAACTGTTTTTTGTAGTGTTACCCTGTCTCGATTACGTCATGCATATTGTTCAGTTCAATGGAAGTGTTTGGAGGCTGTGCTAATCATAAACGCTTGGGCGTGACATTTCTGCTTGTTACCTCATTGATATGTAAATGTAATCGAGTTCCAATGTGCGATTCTACAGTTAGCTTTTATGTAAGATCGTCCACGTCCACCGTATTCACATTCGGTAATGGATCATTATTTGAATGACGTCATCTCACGTGATAACTTGTTGGTGCATCCCACTCTCTGTTGCGACCCTTTGTTTACTCTTCTTCCAACAGCATGTGGCGATGAAAACTGCCACCAGTATCGCCACTACCACAACTGCGCCAATTACAATTAGAAGTATGTGCCACCATAGAAGGCCAGAACTTGGGGCTTGAACTTAAAAGAATTACTGTATATCAATGCAAGGAGGATCGGCAGCCATTTTTTAAACTCGATAATTTGTTGCCTGGCGTCGAACAATAGACTAGATGCGAGTAGAAATTATATTGACTTACGTCATCAAAAATTCAGTCAAATCTCCAGTCAAACTGATGTCATATTTAGAATCTACATGTGGTTTTTGAAAGTGTTTTTCAACTTTGAAAATTGTCGGGAAAAATAGTTTACACTATTTCCCTCAATGGCAGTCACTATCTGTATACCACAAATGCATGAAACGTAATATCATGTTTTTTGAGAGCTAACTTTTTAGGTTTGATTGACGCATAAAAACGTTATTCATACCGTAACTTAACATACCTTCACAAAGTGTTCCAGGGCGTTCAGATTTTACGTCATTAAAACCATCGTTACACTTACACGTGTATGTACCCACTGCGTTTGAACACGTGGCATTCACGTGGCAATCATTGTTGCTAGACTCTTCACATTCATCGCGATCTATGATATATGAAAATAATATACATAGTGTAGAGGAAGTATCGAAGCATAGCAAAACCAGTAGGATGACAAAGCCCCAATATCCCAAGCTAGAAAAAGCACAGAAAAGGAAAGGAAACATCCACGACTCACGGATGTAAGCATATGTTTTACCTTGACCAGATTTACCAGGAAATCATTGCTATGAACAGTGTATGTCAAATTGTGTTCAAGTTATAACCATGTCTAAGTTATAAATCACGTCATTTCAAAAGTAAATAGTGGAAACTTTTCCGAATGAAACTGACTCAAAACATGGCAATCATTTTCATTCGGTCAAAAGTATATTTACATCTAAAAAGTAATCAAAATTTAAATACAATTTGATCATATATCCATAATTCAACTTTAATTTCTATTTAATTCAAATTAAAATGAATTTGCAATGTCAGTTCAACTATTACCTTCAAGTGTCCAAGATGCACTTGTAAAATCGATCTCCCCGTATTGGTCGGCTGCATTAGTATTGACTGAGAACCGAACCAACTCTTCAGTTGGTGGGTCGGTAGATGCATTATAAACCGGTGCTAGCGTGGCATCATAAACAACCACAATGGACCCTCTCCTTATTGTTTTGACAACTATGGACGGAATATACGAATTGCCAAGGGTACCCTGTGTAAAACCCTGTCCAACCTAAAATCGTAAATCGTAGATATGGGACCATCGTAAGCATTCTTAAAACATCATATGCTCGGACTGGATGAAGATAACAACATAATTCCACATTGTGTTTTCATTTACTTGATATCTCCTTAAATATTTGCAACTATATATTAAAAAATTATTACTATTATTAATACTTAATGAAGACACAGAATAAGGAATGAAGAGTGAAGGTAAAGAAACCTAGCGTGAAAAGAAATAATGCAACCCCCCTCCAATCGAAAGGCAATAATTCAGGACCTGAACACTAAGGGACATTTCATTCATACTCAAGTCATTACAATACATGTTAAAGAAAAAATTGATAGCCAATACTCCAAACATCAAAAATAGATGTGGATACTAGTATTCATAAAATATCAAGCATCCAGTCTCAAATGATGAAGAATAGAGTCTGACTAAATCCAATCTTGAAGTCCATAGGCAATTCAAAGGGTCAGCATCCATTCGCAAAGCCACCGCCATAAAATTAAGGTATAAAAAGAAATTATCATACATTAGGGAGCGGTGAGGTTTATAGGGTTGTTTCGGGGCAAAGGAGGAGGGAAAGTATCGCAACAGATTTCGAACAGTCATATGTTGGATTCTGGCTATTGTCTCAGGATTAAAACAGGTGCATATGTTAGGCCAATGCATTATCTCCAGGAAAAGCACTCATAGAGATGATAAATTAATTTTGACTTTGAGACAGGGAATATGCAAACTACCCCTCCGCATGTTTTTTCTGAAATGTTGTCCTGATTTTCAACCCTTTCCACCCCTGCTTTTCCAATTTTTGTTGCATCAATATGTCGCGTTTTGACACACAGTTAACCCCTTTTAAGTAATATGTAATTCCTCCTGGGGTTTTAAAGATATCCATTATGGGTGACCAAAATTAACTGAACGCAATGGATCGCATGAGTTTTCCCTATGGGAAAATAACATGAGGAATATTGTTTTCCATTTTATCGAAGAGGAATCACTTATTCCTTTATAGTGGTTAATTGTGTCTTAAAACGGAACATATTGATGTAAAAAATTGAAAAAGCAGGGATGGAAGGGGTTGAAAATCAGGAAAACATTTCAGAAAAAAACATGTGGGTGGGTTGTTTGCATCTCCTTTGTTTGAAAATGGAAATAATTTTATCATCTCTATGGGTGCTTTTCCTGGAGATAATGCATTGGCCTAACATATGCACCTGTTTTAAAAATTATAAAACATTACAAAATTATAAACATAATGACCGATAATGTATCTGCTCACTGAGCCGTATTTGTGTATTTTACACAAAAGCATAATGTCTAAATTGCTATATTGGTGTTCACCCAACTGGTGTATGCTGTATTCACTGATTCTGCATTGGTTATATGTTTAAATATACAACACACCGTACAAATGAATTTATCCAGAAAATCGAGATACTCCTTTGAAGATTTGTCTGCCAAACCATTTGTAAAAGTCTCATTTATTGTGGTCATCCCTGTGTAGACATATCCACCTAAAACAATTTATGGTTTAATTATAACATATCTGTGTATTTTTCTTAACCCAATACTTTCACCATTTTCAAAAGATTTAATTCTTATTATAAGTTGTAGAAATTAACTTTTCAAAGCACTTAAGAACACAGCAATGTAAATTCTGTCGTTCTTACTTTATCGTCGCACTAACACATATAATGAGTTCAGGTATACTTTCAAAAGCAAATTTAAACGACTCACGTGTGTTACAGCTTTTTCCACTGAACCCAACAGCACAGGGTTCACGAGAACCAGTATATAGTGAGGAATTGCATATACATGTATATTTATTTACAGCATCAACACACACTGCTCTGTTAAGACAAGGTTTGTCTGCACATTCGTCTATATCTGCAAAAAAGGTGTGATTTACTATTTAAATATTATTACTATTATTTGTAATTGCCCTATTTGTGTATATATGTATCATATACCTTCTTAGTATTCATTTAGACCTGTTATACTCTACCTTTCAAATGTGAATTGTATCCTGTTGTTTTAAAGACATGCACATAGATTCATTTCGATTCCTGAATAATGTATGGATTTTCGACAGAGGATGTATACAATTCCTCAAATCAGAATATTAACTTTTCTATATGTAGCTGTCTCACATTCAGAGCCAATATATCCAGGAACACAGTGACATGTATATCCATTCTCTCTATCCATGCAACGTCCTCTATTTAAACACGGGTCACTTTCACATTCATCAATAATATATGAGATTTTCTACAAACTACACGTACCTGTCTCACATTCAGTGCCAGTATATCCAGGAACACAAGCGCAAATATATCCATTCTCTCTATCCAGACAACGTCCTCCATTTAAACATGGGTCACTTTGACATTCATCAATATCTATAAAGACATTTTATTAGTTAATAGTTTTAATAGATGAATACAATGTCATGCGTTTCATGCTCAAAAAGTATGCTACTGATGATTTGATCCTTGACATATTAGTATTATATGATTAGCAATTACTTTATTCTTCATAGAATTTTCACGAAATAAGTAGCATATTTTAACTTTGTTCTGTCGCATGCCCACTCAACATATGATGTGCAAAGTAAAGTTACTATGGTAATTATTATGTAAATGCATTTTATCGTTATATAGTCTTAATCATACCATTTTCAGAAGTTCAAATTTTAATTTTAGGTTTTTTGATTATTATGAAAATAAAACCTTCAAATTCGAATTTGTTAAACATATTCACTCGACCAGTCAGTTATATGTTCAGCCTATGAACACTTACCTTGTATTTACGAATGCAACTAACGCCTGTCAGGTATCGGATTTACCTACTATTTTATGGCCAAATATTTTAAATATGAATGGAATATTGACAGGCACTATTCATATTTAATTAGTTACCCATAAAATAGTTAGGTTAATAGGTTAATCCGGTAGCCGACGGAGGTTAGTTGCATTCGCAAATACAAGCTTACTAGTTTGGGACTAGTTGTGGCAAGAGCAACGTCACTCAAAGGAATTAATAAGATCATAGCAAAGTTTTCGAAATCATCCATTTCCACCATCAGTTAATTAATTCGAATAAAAAACATGGCAGACATAAGAAAAACTTCTTCTCAACACATAACATCCGAACTCATTAGATTCATTGATTTCATTCATTTTCATTTGACCCTATGGAGTTTGAAAATTATACAATTTAAAATATTTTAGTTAGAGAATTTATTTTCTATCAAATACAAGAAAGGATATTTCACTTGTCATGATTTTATAACACAGGGTCGTGGGTCTATTTACCCGACCTAAAAATCACATTTTCAAACAAAACTAAAATTTCTAAGTTGATAATCAAACAATTTTTAAACAACATTTCTTTAAATATAATTTTATATATACTTTACATTTCAAATATAAACAACTTTAAATTCTGAACATTTTATGAACCTAACACTACATATATGAGGATGCTTTCCAGAAAAAATACAAAAATGCAACCATGTCTTCAAGTTCATACTTTATTTTGAACAGGAAATAACATGACTTATACATACCAGTCTCACAGTCACTTCCAGTAAACCCATCTTCACATATACATGTATAATTGTTCAAGGCATCCTCACATCTTCCGTTTTGACACGGTGAGTTCTGACATTCATCGATGTCTAAAAGGAATGGTATCTTACGTATAGTTGATGTATTAAAAGGATAAGGTGTTTTCCCTTTATTTCGGTAATTTCTGGTCTTCTATAATATCAATTACATGCGCCATTTTCTGGATTGACTAATACATAGGCCGACGTGAGGTCTGAAATTGGTTATTTCTAGTATGTTTTTGACAATTTTCAGCGATTATCTAATGAATTTCAAAGTTTATATTAATTTGGCCATTGGGGAGTCTTAAGTTGAGCACTTAGTGAGATAGATAAGTATAATTGGCTTAATAAGCTTAATTAGCTAGATTAGCTTAATAAGATTTAACCACCAATAGGATCGACCTCATCTTAAATGAAAAGTTAAAGTTCCTTAAACAGTGGATTGCATCTTTGGTCGCTCTCTCTGTATATTGACTTTCGAAATTTAGAAAAGTTTGCTGTTTGTATTTATGAAACCTCTTTTAAGCCCGCTATGTTAAAGGTGTACTAAAACCAATTAAAGAATCTCTTATTATCTTGTTTTTAGCACAAATATCACCCCTTTTGTTATGTTGACTACAAAGCTTGTGGTATTTCCCAACACAACACGATTTATTAAGATAAGACTGTCAACCTCTGAAATGTTGTTATTTTTGCGCACTTTTTGAGGTCACCTGACCATGACGTACCGTGTGCCAAGTCATGCTGGCGCTAAATCGAAAAATTGTTGTTGCAAAGTACTACGAAGGCTGAACCAAAGTGGATATAAACATTAGTTTCACATTCGCACGCATTCCAATAGCCAAATAAATATTTTTAATTGATTGAACTTCACAAAAAGAAATTCTTGAGGAAAGAACACTGCAATATTATTCATTACATATTCAAGGAATTTTTTGAAATGCCTTTGTGAAACCGTATATCGATAACTGAAAATGTTAACCCAATAATTATATTTTGGCCTTACAGCATTTCATTAAGGTTGAAAAGATTTAATCTCCAAACACACTGGCAATGTTTGCCGTTGTATAACTTATGCGTTCAATATCGTTTCAGCTCGACTGATTCCGCACTCAATTGCAAGTGATATACCCTTTTCAAAATTGACGAGAATAGCCTCAATCATGCAATAATTGGCTCAACATAAGAGTGAATAACTCGATTTTCAAAGCCAGGGTTTCATTTTTTATCTACAAAATCGTATTTCGCGGCAAATTGTTTCAACCTCACACGTCATGTCACGTGACATAAAATTTCTGCTCTGAAAATGAAATCAGTTTTGCCGTGAAAACAGACTAGTGCTGACTTGATATCGCCGATATCATGATAAAATAAATTTTGATGGTTCACCATCGTAAAGTGGCTTTCATACGGTAAGATAGCATTAATTTCTCTAAATCGAGTAAAATGGTTTGAGTACAACTTTATAGATACTAACCTGTCTCACATCGATGACCAGTGTAGCCAGCGACGCAGTTACAACTATAACTGTCAACTCCATCTATACAAGATCCATCATTTTTACAAGGGGAATCTTTGCAATCATCAATATCTAAAATTAGAGCAAAAATTGACAATTAGAGCAAAACGAAGCATGCTATGTGTTTTCATTTAGGTTTAAATTGTGAATCTGTAAATAAAATCAAGAGATGACCCTGAATTGTTTTAGGTTTATATTATTTGTTGTTCCCTATAGTAAAACAAATTGCTGTATTTCAGTCAAAATCTGAACCAGCCTTCTTCTCATTTTATTAAAAAAATTATACTTCACTGGCGAATCCAGGGCCTAGGGTGGTCCAAGAACTTTTTTAGGGCCCCAAATATGTTTGGGCCTAAAATATTTGTAGGGCCTCAAAAATTATTTGGTCTTTTATGCCAAATTATCAAGAATGGGCCTTAAATCTTCAGAATGTAGACCCAATTTTGGTTTTGGGGGCCCATGTAACATAAAATATAATTTTATCAAAAATGGGCCTTAACTTTTTTGTTTTAAGGACCCCAATTTTTTTAATGTCCCCCCTTTAAAATTAAATATATTGACTGCAAAAACTCATCTTGGATAGAAGTCTCAATATATCATAACAGTATATAAATTGGAACAAATATATGGACATATGGACATCTAAATTGTGTCAGTCTGGTTTCCAGATACATTAGAAAATTGGTCTATAGATTGTAACTATATTGAGATATTTTTAGAAAATAGTGTGCTAAACCGTGCGAAAAAATAGGTTTGTGTTCTTTGTCAAAGGATAACATATTAGAGGCCCTTATTATTAAGCATACTCATATATAATGAAGATGTATTTAGCTTGAAAGCAGTTTATGATTTTGGAAAAAAGGTTATTTTATTTTGTTAATATTGCATGTAATTGTTTTTGTTAAATAAATCGTTTATAAATAAGGAAAAAATGTTTTTATTGGGAAACAATGATCGTGGGATGTTCTCCTCCAACTATATAGTTGCACATGAGACATGATTCTTGTACCTTTGTGAACAAGTAAATTGTAACTTACCATCAAGACAAATCCATTTTGAAGACATCTGCTCTACCCATTTGCTATCTCCCAGTGCTTCCCAGCTTGATGCAGACGTCGGGTTGTTTTTAACTCCAGTTCTAATGTAGATGAGATTTGAACGAGCAGGATAATAGGTAGAAACAAAATCATCATCAATCACCCATCTTCCCGATCTTACAGTTGACATTACAAAGTATATGTTGTACGTTGAAGTACTCTGTTTGGTATAACTAGGCATATTCGCAATGATCTTGTTATTATTCTCATATATGCCATTCATCGTAGAAACCTCCATACCAGATAGCTGAATACGTCTACACGTGCTCCCTTTAATATCAATTATATATATATTAACTTACAGTAGACATTACAACGTTAGATTGTACTATACATTAGACTGTTTCGTTTTACTAGGCATATTGACAATGGTCTTGTTATTACTTTCGAATACACCAATCATCGAAGAAGCCTCGGCCATACTAGATTGTCGAACATGGCTACACATATCATCTTTAAAAACAATATCACACTATGTTTTGAATATATGATAAACATGTGCAAATTTAAACATATTTCATAGGGTATCTTTTTAAATCGAAATCATATTTTACCATCTAAGCAAATCAATGTTGCACTATATTGTCCTTTCCAGGTAGCCAACGACTGTTTCCAAGGGTGTGTTGAAATTGGATCAAGTCCCGAATCAGCAGGGGAATGTGCAAAATAACCATCCATATCATCAAAATCATTGTCGACCACCCAGATGACACCAGTCGTTGAGTAGTACAGATATTTCCCTGGGACGATCGTATGGGCATATGAAGGCCTATGTTGAACACTTATATTTCTATTCTCATATATGCCATTAAACGCTGAATCTGTTATGCCGGATAGCTTAAGGTGCATACAAAAGTTCTTATCTAAAAAATAAATGTATACTTCTAGATGTTTTTCACAATCTTCGCTATTAACTACTACATTGTTTATGATATAGCATTTATCAACTGTGATAATGGGCATATCTTAACGTGTAAAACAATATTTTGATTTTGAGTGTTAAGAAACCATAAAACAAAAAGTTTACAAATATTCGTTCATGAATCCAAACATTTTAATCCGAATTTCGAAAATGATTTCATCATTGAGTTTCAAAAATATATTTTGCTTTGTCAACAGTAATCGGTAAAAGTTTCAAGAAAAGTAACACGGGCTTGTTTGCCAGGAAATCAGAGAACTCTATAAATCTCAGGATTGTTGTACCAATAAGGTATAAGCACAAATGCCAAAAGGGAAGGGTGACTAAAAACTTTAAGGAAACCCATCAAGAAAAGCAAACCGTAAGTGTAAATCTGTCATAAGAAAAGTAGACCCTATATATCCCAAAACCATGATCTAGCGTGAAAAGAAACAATGTGTAACATCCCCCCTCCAATCAAGAACCAATATCACAATCCAGGACCAGAACACCAAGGGACATTTCATTCATTCTGAAGTCATTACATATAAATTATATTTGGCATATGGCGTAAAGTCATATTGAGAAACATTTGATTGGAATAAGATGAAACTTGTTTCATACGAAAATTGAGATGATTAATCATTTTCAGACAAAAATACACAAAATTGGTACATGTATCTAAGCGGAATTTGGCCATCATTGTTAATAAGTTGTAATTGTATTGAATATTGATTAGGAGCTAAATTATTTTGAATGTAAGAATGTTTTGAAATTGATTTTGTGAAGGTTATGGGATCCCAAAAATATATAGGAAAAGTTAAAAAATAAATGAATAAAGCACAATTGACATGGCATTTTTTTTGTTTATAACCTTCTAACCCGGAGTCACAGCTTTGTGTTACCCCTTTTCATTCTTTTGATTACCAATTTTTAGAGATGCCGAGATTACCATTTATAGATTCAATCAAAATCGAAAGCTTTGTCAGGTTTACCCAATTTTTTAGATACACGTAGGTCTATTCAATGTTGTAAATAGGTCTATTTAATTTGACAATGAAAAGTCAAGTCCCTAGTCAGATTCTAGAAGCATATCTTAACTCAGAAACAAGCGATAAACTGAAATGGATAATAGGCGATGAGGCTGGGAATCTAGGTGGACATGATATTAGTGTCATAGTTGATATGTTAAGCAAATTTCTCCTGAAGAACATTTTCTGATTTTATCAGATTTTAATAATGCACATCGAATGTTTTAGACATAATTTTAGTCATACTGTATTACCTTTATAACATGTTAAACATAGAATTCCACGGACTGTAGACGCACCCAGCGGGAGTGTAACTGATATAAATAGTGTAGAGTCTCAATAAATAAATGAAAAATAAATAAAATAAATATGACTTTTATACTTGGCATTCACTTCTTCGGGTTACATTTTCTATTCCTGAGATTACCAATTTTCTGAGATCCTGTGATTACCATTTGTGGATTTTAGGTTTTCTAGAATATTTTATCTCTTCAGAAACCACTTTTGGTATTTGAATTTCTTTTCCATTTAAAGAGTGAACAAAATTGTCAGAACTATCCCATTTTTTATAAAAGTACTATTAACTTCGGTAAAAGCAGATTGGCATAATAATATAGTTGTATCTTACACTCTCCTCTCTCGTTTGGTAACCTTGGCTCCCTCATTGAACTACGTGTCAAAGCCTCTTTATGTTTGAATTTCTATTTGCATAACTTATAAAGCAAGACTACTTTTAGGGCTGGAAATATGAATTGACAGTATTTCCAATTACTTCAATTTTTTCAACAATTACAATAGATCGAAATGGATGACAAATCTGATGGATTTTTGAAAACCGACATTCCCATGTAAACCAATGGGAAATTGTAGGTTTGCCGCAAGTCATATGACAGTATATTTATTTATCCGAGTTCTTGCAAAAAATCAAGTTAGGTAGTCAAATTGAATTTGCTAACTTTATTCAACAAAAAATTAATACGTTTATTCTGGTTTGAAGCCTGTAAGTTTAGTATTCATAAATTAAACTAAACACTTATCGTACAAAAAGTTTCAATTCAATTTTCTATATAAAATTTTTTTTTTGGGGAATCTTTTACTGGTTAGATATCCAGAAATTGGAGAGGTTAAGCTACCGTATAAAATCAAAAACGCAACTTAAACGTATCAATCTGCCCTATACAAATACATGTAGAGTTCACACATAAATAGCCGTTCAGCTCTAGTGTTTGTTTAGACTACACCATAGCTTGTAATGATTACATAGTAACCCATTGATGAAGTTCAATAGCTGGTTTTCTAATACATATTTTAAACGAGCTCGTTTCGTAAGATTATTGGAGTTAAATCATGCGTAATATACATCATCTTCTTCAGAAAGAATTATACTCTGCTTCGAAATCAAAATTGCAAGGATAGTATTCAACAGACATGAGTATAATGATTCCCGTTGATAGCAACGTGAAAGTTTAAAATCTCCCGTTCTAAACACGCAACTTTGAAGTAGAACGGGTATCTGAAGTAGACTAAAGCGATACAATCCTATGTTGATTCAATGTACTTTGCGTTTACGTATACGTTCTGAAAAAACGTATTTGCTTAACCTCTCCATTAGATTTGCCCCGAACCCACCATTTTCCATTGATTTACATGGGAATGGCGACTTTGGCGAAAGGATCTAGTGCACCCTCCATTATGATCTCCCCATGAACAAAAATAAATTCATCTGATTTTTCAAAATAAATATACTGCTTTTATTATTACATTTATGTGTACACTAGTATCTTGTTGACCTATATTCAGCACTGTATCGATGAATGGGCCACTTATTAGGGCCAATATTCAATCATAAAGTGTACGGGTAGAGATGCCAAACCAGGAAGTCTTTTTGTGTCTGTCAAAATCCATTTGCATCCTACACATTCCTACATCTTATCCAAATATGTTATTAATTAATGAAACTAAGCAGTATAGTCTTAGGATTTACAAAGTTGTATGGGATTTCATAAGTGTAAAAGTTGCTTTTGAAGCATTTTTCTATAGCCATTTTGTAGCAAAAAATGATAAAAAAATGTATAATCTTTTAATTTGAAGTATGACCTGAATCGATTGCAAACTTTATATTTGCACATCTGATGTGATATACCATTTGTGTCATATTGTGAAATTATTATGTCACCACCAAAAGTGGTGACATATTGTTATGGTCTCCGTTTTTTTGCGACGGCGGTTGGTGGTTGGCGTCCGGCGGTTGGTGGTTGGCGTCCGGCGTCTGTAACAATTTCTCACAACTTCCTATAACTTAACAAATACTGTTTAGACTGACTTCAATTTTTTTCTAAATCATTTACATGTTCTCAGAAGTTCAAATCTGACTTTAGATTTGACATTTGACCTTCAATGGCCTTCTCAAGGTCAAAAAGGTCTTTTTTCAACTTGCTTCACATTGACTAAATTTTTTTTCAAAATCATCTACATGTTCTCAGAAATTCAAATCTGACTTTAGATTTGACATTTGACCTTCAAATCTGACTTTAGATTTGACATTTGACCTTCAATGACCTTCTCAAGGTCATAAAAGGTCAAAAAAGTCTGTTTTCAACTTGCTTCAAATTGACTAAATTTTTTTTTCAAAATCATCTACGTGTTCTCAGAAATTCAAATCTGACTTAAGATTTGACTTAAGATTTGACATTTGACCTTCAATGACCTTCTCAATGTCAAAAAAGGTCAAAAAGGTCTGTTTTCAACTTGCTTCAAATTGACTAAAAAATGTTTTCAAAATCATCTACGTGTTCTCAGAAATTCAAATCTGACTTTAGATTTGACTTAAGATTTGACATTTGACCTTCAATGACCTTCTCAAAGTCAAAAAAGGTCAAAAAGGTCTTTTTTCAACTTGCTTCAAATTGACTAAATTTTTTTTTCAAAATCATCTACATGTTCTCAGAAATTCAAATCTGACTTTAGATTTGACATTTGACCTTCAAAGACCTTCTCAAGGTCAAAAAGGTCTTTTTTCAACTTGCTTCACATTGACTAAATTTCTTTTCAAAATCATCTACATGTTCTCAGAAATTCAAATCTGACTTTAGATTTGACATTTGACCTTCAAATCTGACTTTAGATTTGACATTTGACCTTCAATGACCTTCTCAAGGTCAAAAAAGGTCAAAAAGGTCTGTTTTCAACTTGCTTCAAATTGACTAAAATTTTTTTTCAAAATCATCTACGTGTTCTTAGAAATTCAAATCTGACTTAAGATTTGACTTAAGATTTGACATTTGACCTTCAATGACCTTCTCAATGTCAAAAAAGGTCAAAAAGGTCTGTTTTCAACTTGCTTCAAATTGACTAAAAAATGTTTTCAAAATCATCTACGTGTTCTCAGAAATTCAAATCTGACTTTAGATTTGACTTAAGATTTGACATTTGACCTTCAATGACCTTCTCAAAGTCAAAAAAGGTCAAAAAGGTCTTTTTTCAACTTGCTTCACATTGACTAAATTTCTTTTCAAAATCATCTACATGTTCTCAGAAATTCAAATCTGACTTTAGATTTGACATTTGACCTTCAAATCTGACTTTAGATTTGACATTTGACCTTCAATGACCTTCTCAAGGTCAAAAAAGGTCAAAAAGGTCTGTTTTCAACTTGCTTCAAATTGACTAAAATTTTTTTTCAAAATCATCTACGTGTTCTTAGAAATTCAAATCTGACTTAAGATTTGACTTAAGATTTGACATTTGACCTTCAATGACCTTCTCAATGTCAAAAAAGGTCAAAAAGGTCTGTTTTCAACTTGCTTCAAATTGACTAAAAAATGTTTTCAAAATCATCTACGTGTTCTCAGAAATTCAAATCTGACTTTAGATTTGACTTAAGATTTGACATTTGACCTTCAATGACCTTCTCAAAGTCAAAAAACGTCAAAAAGGTCTTTTTTCAACTTGCTTCAAATTGACTAAATTTTTTTTTCAAAATCATCTACATGTTCTCAGAAATTCAAATCTGACTTTAGATTTGACATTTGACCTTCAATGACCTTCTCAAGGTCAAAAAAGGTCAAAAAGGTCTGTTTTCAACTTGCTTCAAATTGACTAAATTTTTTTTTCAAAATCATCTATGTGTTCTCAGAAATTCAAATCTGACTTAAGACTTGACTTAAGATTTGACATTTGACCTTCAATGACCTTCTCAAGGTCAAAAAAGGTAAAAAAGGTCTGTTTTTAACTTGCTTCAAATTGACTAAAAAAAAATTTCAAAATCATCTACGTATTCTCAGAAATTCAAATCTGACTTTGGATTTGACTTAAGATTTGACATTTGACCTTCAATGACCTTCTCAAAGTCATAAAAGGTCAAAAAGGTCTTTTTTCAACTTGCTTCAAATTGACTAATTTTTTTTTCAAAATCATCTACATGTTCTCAGAAATTCAAATCTGACTTTAGATTTGACATTTGACCTTCAATGACCTTCTCAATGTCAAAAAAGGTCAAAAAGGTCTGTTTTTCATCTTGCTTCAAATTGACTAATTTTTTTTTCAAAATCATCTTCATGTTCTCAGAAATTCAAATATGACTTTAGATTTGACATTTGACCTTCAATGACCTTCTCAAGGTCAAAAAAGGTCAAAAAGGTCTTTTTTCAACTTGCTTCAAATTGACTAATTTTTTTTTTCAAAATCATCTACATGTTCTCAGAAATTCAAATCTGACTTTAGATTTGGCATTTGACCTTTAATGACCTTCTCAAGGTCAAAAAGGTCTGTTTTCAACTTGCTTCAAATTGACTAAAAAAAATTTTCAAAATCATCTACGTGTTCTCAGAAATTCAAATCTGACTTTAGATTTGACTTAAAATTTGACTTAAGATTTGACATTTGACCTTCAATGACCTTCTCAAAGTCAAAAAAGGTCAAAAAGGTCTTTTTTCAACTTGCTTCAAATTGACTAAATTTTTTTTCAAAATCATCTACATGTTCTCAGAAATTCAAATCTGACTTTAGATTTGACATTTGACCTTCAATGACCTTCTCAATGTCAAAAAAGGTCAAAAAGGTATTTTTTCATCTTGCTTCAAATTGACTAATTTTTTTTTCAAAATCATCTACATGTTTTCAGAAATTCAAATATGACTTTAGATTTGACATTTGACCTTCAATGACCTTCTCAAGGTCAAAAAAGGTCAAAAAGGTATTTTTTAAACTTGCTTCAAATTGACTAATTTTTTTTTTCAAAATCATCTACATGTTCTCAGAAATTCAAATCTGACTTTAGATTTGACATTTGACCTTTAATGACCTTCTCAAGGTCAAAAAAGGTCAAAAAGGTCTGTTTTCAACTTGCTTCAAATTGACCAAATTTTTTTTTCAAAATCATCTACATCTTTTCAGAAGTTCAAATTTGACTTTACAAGTTCTCAGAAATTCAAATCTGACTTAAGTTTGAACTCATAATATTGTGAGCAACTAGGTGGTGACATTTTGTCATGTTAATGCCTTGTTTAATTTGCAATCAAAAGAAACCAATGGCCTCCATTGGAATCTGATGATATCCACATGTTAAGTCAATGGAGCACATTCAATGTCAAGTCAATACACCCTTGCTTAACTTAATGACCTCAACCTCAGCCCATGTTGGTCCAACGCTTAAATATTTTCCAAAGTATTATGTGACATTGTATTTTTTATGTTACACCTAAAAATAATTCATTTTGTTCATGGGGTAATCATAATGGAAATTGCACTAGACCCTTTATCAAATTTATCATCGATTTTCGACCTATTGTAACTGAGGAAGAGGCATTGGAAATGAAGTCAAGTTACATTTTCCTCGCAGAGAGAAGCTTCAACACGTAGTTCTATGAGGAAGCTTTTGCTAAACTTTCGGAGGAGAGTGTATGCATTGACCCTTTCCCTTTCTTCTGATGAAAATTAAAGAGTAAGGTAGAATTAATAAGAGAATTGCTGCAAGAGAGAAGAGTTTGTACCTTCTGTGAATGGTACTATTGATATTCCGTCCATTTCTATCCATACTGATCCATTAGTAGTGTACAGAGGCTCTGTTATCAATTCTGGTAACTCCACATTTTGTTCGATTTTCACAAATATTCCCGATGTGTCTCCTATGGTTTTGCCTATCACCCAAATCGAATCGCTACTTTTAATCGGCAAATTGTAAAGGTAGAACTCTCCAGATTCATGTCGATACGATGGCCTGCCATTTTGAAGCTGAGTTTGATTTAAATTATCCACTTCTAACGTATACACACCAAGCGTATGAGGGTTATTTCGTGGTCTTGTTTCCCCTCCTATGTACAACATAGTACTTGGAGTAGTACCGAGATTAGTAGTAGCTGAAAAGATGAACGAGAACTAATAATGACAAAACTAAAGAAGATCCTGTAAAAGGTAAAACGAATTAGAAAAGTACATTTGAACTTCTTGTTTATTCAACACAGTTTTGCTGAATAAAGCTGACTAAATTGGCGGTCCGGAGTACTAATAACAAAATTTATGACAAGACCTAGTATAACGACATTGTCAAGTAGCTATCCGGTGCAATAATAAAAATAATTAAAACATAACTAAAATTAGATATATGATATCAAAGAAATGTTGGAATAAAACTTACCTGCTGTAGTACTCAATTGAACAATAATGAACAGTACCAGGGGTATCATGACCGCCGGCGCCGTTTTGGTTTAATTTGGTTTTAGTAAATTCGTATCTCATTTAGATAATGTAATGTCGACATCCTCAACTACCTCGGCCATGCTTGTTCATCTCATACTTGCGCAAAATAGAACTGTTTACTATACATGACTATTTAGTGAATAAAATAACGTGTATCCAATATTAAACATTAAACAAGGAAGTCAATATAATGTTGGTAACTATGGTAACAGACAACTCTGTAATATCTACCTTGAAATAGTATTCGGGCTATGTACGCATACACTAGATTTAATAACTGTAAAGTGACAACAAATTAAAAAAGTCAAACTCAATCTATAATGAATCTAAAGCGGTAATCCGTCAATGAAACTTTTCTTTGTTAATGCATTTAAAACCGGATAAAAAGCAAATTGAACGTCTTGCTCTCTGCGTCTTGGTTGCGTTGTGTTAACGTCCCAGTGTGAAAGAAATTATGGTCCCCCAGGGATTATGGTTCCCTTTCTTAACGGCCCTCACTGGCCCCGATTGTGTATAAGATAAGAGAAAGAGGTCACCATATAAATCAATGGAGAGTAGGACCATAAATTGATAGGACCTCCTACCCTTTTACACCTGCTGCTAAAATCGTGGGGTTTATCACTCGATTATTTGAATTTACTGGTGACTGATTCGCTTTTCAGTAATTGGATGTTCATATCAACAAAGGGGCAAAATATTTGGATACAAATCGACTTCGTTCTTGGTGGATATCATGAAAATAAAAATGTCCTCCGACTGATACGTCACGTCTTTATAACAAGGTAGAGACCAGTGTGCATACTTAACCTTTTAAATCTAAAGTTATTAAAAAACGAGGTGAAAAGTGTACACGCGCATGTAACGATCTCTGAACAAAAATTGTTTTCTGAGCGATTCATGTCGGTTCATTCTTAATATAAATCAAGCTTTGTATCGTATTAAATTGAGTGTGTAAGAAACTTGTTCCCATGATTGTTTGTTCCCTTTTCGTCCAAATTACGCATAATGCCTCTTTAAAAATATTGGCGCCCTACGAATGTAATGGCAGCAAGTCGTAAATTAAGAGTAGGAGAAATTCGCAATACTAAGTATTGTTTCGAGAATACATTTGAGATTATATTCTCGGTGTTTTTTCGTATCTCTATATCAATTTCAATGTTATATAAGCGAACATGGAACACCTTCGTGTGTTTAAATATACGTTTTAGCATCTAAACAGACCATAGTGTACGCTCCTCTCTGCGGACGATAAAAAGAACAAGAACACAAATGTGTACAAAATGTCCCCACCAAGTGGTGATCCCGTGAAATGGTTATCCTGAAAATGAGTAGACAAGACTTTACCAACACAATTTGAGGACGGAAAATCCAAAGTGGCCACCTTAAAATTTACCCAGAATGCCAAAAATTTAGTCAGTTCTAGATTTTCATACTAAGAACCACCCCTGAAAATTTGAAATTGATCCGTCACACAGTTAACCAGAAAACATGTAAACAAGACTTTACAGACAAGATTTCAGGATGGAAAATCCAAAATGGCTGCCTTGACATTTACCAAGAATGTCAAAAAACTAATCTGTTTGTAGATTTTCATACTAAGAATCATCCCTGAAAATATGAAATTGATCTACCAAACGGTTCACCTGAAAACGGGTAGACAAGACTTTACAGACAAGATTTTAGGACGGAAAATCCAAAATGGCTGCCTTAACATTTACGCAGAATGCAAAAAAAGTAATCAGATGTAGATTTTCATACAAAGAATCATCCCTGAAAATTTGAAATTGATCTATCAAACCGTTCACCTAAAAACGTGGAGACAAGACTTTACAGGCAAGATTTTAAGACGGAAAATCCAAAATGGCTGCCTTGACATTTACCCAGAATGCAAAAAAACTAATCAGTTCTAGATTTTCATACTAAGAATCATTCCTGAAAATTTGAAATTGATCTACCAAACAGTTCACCTGAAAACGAGTAGACAAGACTTTACAGACAAGATTTTAGGACGGAAAATCCAAAATGGCTGCCTTGACATTTACCCAGAATGCCAAAAAACTAATGAGATCTAGATTTTTATACTAAGAATCATCCCTGAAAATTTGAAATTGATCCACCAAACGGTTCACCTGAAAACGGGCAGACAAGACTTCACAGACAAGATTTTAGGACCGAAAAATCCAAAATGGCCGACAATAAAAAAGTCCTTATGAGTTTTTGCTGATTTCTTTTTACAAAATTATCACATATAACTACTGTTAACAATAAAGTAGGCTTTTACAGCAAAGTACATCTGAAATTATTTATAGAGCTACTAAATAGTTAAAGTATGAAAACTCAAAAACACCATTCAATATGATACAAAGTATTATCGCGCGCTAACTTTTCTTAAGACATTCAAAATGGCTGACAGGACTGAGCTAGCAGGTCCAAAACCTAATCAGATCTAGAATGAAGTGAGCTGAACAAGATGTTAAAGTTTTAAAATCAACTGTGAAGCAGTTTTTCTTAAAGTTTGCAGACAAGGATTTTAGCATTTGACTTCAAAATGGCCGACAGGAAGTTGGTTTCGAGTTAAAATTTTTTCATCCACATCTATAGGCACTCATAAGTTATTCCTGAAAATTAGAAGGTGATACCTGTAGCGGTTTTGGAGAAAACTGCCGGACGTACGGACGGACAGACAGACAACCAGACAGACAGACAGACGGACGGACGGACGGACGGACGCGCCTAGGACGACAATATGGCCCCACACTATGTGGTGGGGACATAATAAAAGTGAAACAGTGCATTTGAAATATGGCTTTCAACAGTTACGGTTGCTAAAATGCAGTTGTCAGAGAAAAATGCATTTTCTAGCGCAATTTTCGGGGAACTGTAATGAAAAATGTGATTAAAATTGCAAAAACATGAAATAAATACACTTGTTTTGGCGATCGGAATTATCTAGATGCCGTAGGGACAGATTGACGCGCGTGTGAGGTTGAATGCAAAAGAGCGTGGTAAATATTTTTGCGATCAATACATTGGAGGTGTGTCAGTTGATGAACATTCTGTATGATAAAAAAAACGGGTTAATTTCACCTTGATTGATTAATGAGGTTGCTTCAACCTCACCTTGAAAAACAATATCGCAATCTCCATTCTCCTTACTTCGTTTAGTGCAATTGTCCTTCTTTTCTCTGCAGATGATTGCATGAGTGATACACAAGTGATGTCAGGGGTATATCATACGTGGAAAATGTGATGTCGAGATGGGGGAATTGGGCAGAATCCTGGATGGATTGGAATTATGGAATTAGTCACGGTCGGTGTTATTACTGGCTCCAGATATAAAACAGAATCCGTGTCGCATTTATATTTCATTTGGAAACATCAGTTAATTAAAACATCAATCCAATGATTGTTTTTAAAATTATTTACATGCAAACCCTGGACTCATTGCATTGTGGAATTACCATTCCTTGAAAGTGTTGCTTTTTGCGCAGCATCGAGTGTTATTTTAGGAAACAACGCATAAAAGGAATTGTCATTTTATGAGCTTCAATTCTTTTCACATATTGCAAAATATTTTCTACCATGTCACTTAAAAGATATGAAATCACAAAAATAACATATTTTCAATGAAACTTTTGCAAGGGTCAAATTGGCAAAGAATCAACATCAATCTGTAGAGTCAAGTTTTCACCTTGACAACCACATCAGAATGACCCTGGATGCGTTGATTGGTTATATACTGCACTGCGGTTATATGAAATACTGTGTTCGGATTGGCTAGAATCGGACACACCTTGCCTAGCTGTGTGAAATTAATTTTGATGCGATTGAACTCAGTGCTTTGATTCCAACGGTTCTGTATTACAGCCTTACATTGGTAACCTCACCCATATCACATTTTGCCACATTCTAAATAAAAATTACTTGTTTTGCTAATTAACATATAACATATACCAGCAATATCTTGCTACATGTATGTTATAGACGTAACATTGCTTGTCCTTTTTACCAAGTTCAGACAGTCATCAGTGAAGGTAAATTATGCAGAACGTTTGGCTTTATCGATCTGTGTAAAGCTGGGAAAATGATTATCATTCCCCGTCGTACATTAAGTAAAAGGTTTATCCCCTTGGATCACTTATCTAAGCTTGTTTATGTTTGGGGATTGAAAGAAATCATCAATTTCTCATAAATTCTGAATTATTGAAAGAAAGGAACAAAATTAATATTCAAAGATTGATAGGCTTTGATATGTTATACAATGTATACTTCCGGTTGTCTTATGGAAGGGAGTGTACTGTATTGTGTTGTGTTGAATTGTATTGTGTTGTGTTGAATTGTATTGTATTGTAGTGTGTTGTGTTGTGTTGTATTGTGTTGTGTTGTATTGTGTTGTATTGTATTGTGTTGTGTTGTGTTGTATTGTGTTGTGTTGTATTGTGTTGTGTTGTATTGTATTGTGTTGTATTGTATTGTGTTGTGTTGTATTGTATTGTGTTGTGTTGTATTGTGTTGTGTTGTGTTGTATTGTGTTGTGTTGTATTGTGTTGTGTTGTATTGTATTGTGTTGTGTTGTATTGTATTGTGTTGCATTGTGTTGTGTTGAATTGTATTGTATTGTGTTGTATTGTGTTGTGTTGTGTTGAATTGTATTGTATTGTAGTGTGTTGTGTTGTGTTGTGTTGTATTGTATTGTGTTGTGTTGTATTGTATTGTGTTGTGTTGTATTGTGTTATATTGTTTTGTAGTGTGTTGTGTTGTATTGTATTGTGTTGTGCTGTGGTGTGTTGTGGTAGGTTGTGGTGTGTTGTATTGTATTGTGTTGTATTGTATTGTGTTGTGTTGTGTTGTGTTGTGGTAGGTTGTGTTGGATTGTTTTGTGTTGTGTTGTATTGTGTTGTGTTGTATTTTATTGTGTTGTATTTTATTATGTTGTATTGTATTGTAGTGTGTTGTATTGTATTGTGTTGTATTGTAGTGTGTTGTGGTGTGTTGTATTGTATTGTAGTGTGTTGTGTTGTATTGTATTGTGTTGTGTTGTGGTGTGTTGTGGTAGGTTGTGTTGGATTGTTTTGTGTTGTGTTGTATTGTATTGTGTTGTATTGTACAGTGTTGTGCTACTGTAGGTTGTGGTGTGTTGTGTTGTATTGCGTTGCATTGTATTAAACGTTATTGAATGATTTGAAGTGCAATAAGGATATATTCTGTTCGAGAAATTCTGTATTGGAACGAGGCGAAGTCGATCTTGTTAATGAAATAAAAGGTTTATTAATTTTTATCTATTTTGAGGGATTTTGTTTTAATTTTTTGAATACTTTTTGTTAAATCAACCAAAATTTCATTTGTATAACTGTAATATTGAGAGGTCTAAGAAAATGTTATATCTGCTATTTTGTTCCAACAAGGTTCGGAAAGACATTTTATTTCATTCTCAAGAGTTGGTAGAAATGAACAAAAAACAATTGCAAGAGAAAACAAAAAATGTTAACAAAAATTAAAAACAGTTATATAAAATATATGTAAATAATTTTCGCATTAAATTGTTGTCAATCAGTCAACCTTACAGAAAGGACTGTGTTTTTTACAGGATGTTTTCAATAATTGGTTAAAGATAAAAACATTATCTTTTTCAGTTCACCATATCCTATCCTTTTTTCAACACCTATAGCAATGCAGTGCATTATAGAGCATGTCGTGTTTGGTTATATTCAAATAGAAATTATGAATGCACAAATGAACTACTTTTCTATTAATAACGATGCGAGAATTTAAAGGTGGCAACTGAAAATATATATACTGATCATGAGTTATCTAGTCTAGTATTGTTTTATAGGGGGCACAATGGTATACCGACCAAAACAGGTAAGAATACATGTCGATTTCCTGAAGGTTTTGAGTTCTGTAAACCAATAGTTTTTTTATTTCTGAGTATTAAAATATAAGGGTCGTATTTTGGCAGGGATTTACCTGAATCTAAAATATTTGAGAAGATTCAAATAAAGTGGGCGCCAAAGGACCGCGAGTTGTTTGTAGAATGAATCTGGGGAGCTTTTTCATGCATTTTGCTTGTGTTTTTCATCAATACACTTTAAAACATTTTATTGACTATAAGATTACACCATATAATCTTAAAAATTATTTCTCATTTTCAAGGATTATCTATGGATTAATGACACCCAGGTATTGTTATTTTTCAAACTTCAGAGGGCTGCGAATCATTATTACGATCGCTTTTTGATCAAATTAATGCTGTTTTAAATAGATTTGATGGATGCCAATAATTTCTCAAGTTGTATAAATGGTACCTCTTCCTTAATCCATAGAATTTTCTCTTTGATGAATTTCCCATAGTAATCCAAAGGTATAGTTCCAAGCAGATTTTGATATAACAGGAAAATTAATCATCAATAAACACCTTGTTGGGTTGTTTTGGTTTATATCACACTCCATATTTAATTTTTTCTTTTTTCTTCACCCTGCAATCATTAATCAAGTGGCTGATGATGCCTTCAGCAAAGCCACTACAAGTGTATAATGTTTATGTACTTAATGTATTTGTAAAATAAATTCTATGAATAAAAAATAAAAATAAAAAATCACATTTTATATGACTCTTATTGACCTATTACAGACATAGGGTCTGCTGAAGTTGTTTTCTCTTAACCAGTGATTGATCCTGTACCTCTACTACCACACCAAACTAGTTCTCACTACGTTCTCGAAAACGGGCTTAAACTGTGCACGAACGGATTTGACGTACGAAGAACCGTTTGGGGTCTGTTTACAAACTTTAGCAAACTACCCGAACGAGTAGGTCATCAATAACTTACAGCATGCTCAAAATTTTCTGGTGAAGTTTCTGGTGAAGTCACGTTCTGCAATCAGAACTTGTGACATCGTACTTAGACGACATGGACGCACTGGGGACACACTGCAAACTGAACTGTCGTACTTCAATCCGACTACGGAGGTATTACGACGTTGTGCAGTCAGGCGTAAATTGCAGTCGTGAGTACACCGTTTGTACCTTATACAGGGTGTCCAAAAAAAAACAGGACCGTAAGAAAGTTGAATAACTTGGTCAATTTTGCATATTCTGCCTTGAAATTTCGGAATTATTTAGTTCATTCAATGTGAATTATGTTGTGAAAGTGTGATAATAATCTACCAATTGAGTCAAAAACTACAGCTCCTTACAAAACATGCCCCAAATGTGCAAATCTCATCTCTATGCACAATTCAATCCGGCGAACAAACCTGTTGATGTATCCTCCTACACACATGTCTTTCTGAATGGACAAGTTTGTTCCAAGAACAATTGCTACTGGGGCTTACATCCTCCTGATGAAGTGTTACAGCATCCACTGCATTCTGAACAATGCACTCCCTGGGTGGCAATGAGGAAACATGGAATCATCAGTCCCTTTTGGTTCGAAGGTGACTGGGGACTTGCTATCACCATGAACAAGGACCAGTAAGTTCTCACCAAGTTTTGGAGGTCACTAAGCACCAGAAGGGACATCTAAGGATATAATTAAGCAGTGGTTTCAACAAGCCAATACCACCCCAGCACTGCAAATGATATGCTGAAATGGTTTAGGCAATGCTTTGGTGGTCAGCTCATCAGTTGCAGAACGCAAACCATATGGGCAGCTCATTCGCCTGATCTAAATCCCCCAATTTTTTATCTTTGAGGATTTCTCAAAGCCAATGTGTATACTGACAGGCCCCTAACAATCTTAAGAGGGCAATAACTACCCCAATATTTACCATCCACATTAATGTGTATAGGTAAGGGTCATTTACAACTTTGCTCGCAGGATTCGTTTGTGCATAGAGAGGAGAAGTGCCCACTTTGAGCATGTTTTGTAAAGGACTGTAGTTTCTGACACAATAAACAGATTATCATCAAACTTTCAGAACAAAATTCACATTGAATGAACTAAATAATTCTTAAATTTCAAGGCAAAACATGCAAAATTGACCGAGTTATTCAACTTTCTTACGGTCCTGTTTTTTTGGACACCCTGTAAATGAATTAACAAAAATAGCTATCACACCAAACATGTTGTTACTGCATTCTTCAAAACGTTGCCGAACTGGTTTTAAACTGTGTGCGAACTGGATGAACGTAGCTACAACGTTCTACGGTCTATTTATGAACTTCATCGACTTGCCCGGACGGGGAAGGTGATTGAGACATGGGGGTTGTGTTATCAGATCGTCCAAGGATCGTCTGACAACGTACTTCAAACGAGATGATCTACTAGACCAGTACTTCAACCCTAGAGACGCGTATATCGCGGATATCGATTGCAATACGTGTGCACACCGACATGGTGCGATCTGAACGAACTGCGTATGAGATGGAAGTATTGAAGACTGTTTATGAGCGAAGTACAGGTAGCTTATTATTTTAGACATATATCACGATTAGTACAACCCGTTTTACGGCTTTTTCGTAGGGCTGGAAAGAACGGTTGCAGAAAACTAGTTTGGTGTGATATGGGGGTAACGTATCTCGATTTAGGGTGAAAATGTCAAAATAATTGTGGTCCAGTCTTTTTGAGCCACCATGCACTCATATTTATAAGATAACCTTGGACATGGTCAACAAAACACCACCAACGTACAGGTACAACGTACCATTTAGTTCCTCAATAAAAATACTCCTCAATAACTATCGCTAACTACAAATCACTATTCATTTCATATATCGATAATACCTTTTTCAATATTTCATTTTGCTTTTTTAAATGAGCTTAATAAAAAATAGACTTTGATATAAAGGTTTTATTGGTACATGTATTTAATCTATTTTTAACATTAAATATGAATTTCAATTTAGTACTACATGTAGTTTATAAAATCCCACCGTTGAACATCGATATGGATTTGACTTGATTTATACGAATCAGTCTGGGTTTTAGCAGTCGATATCCGGTAACCACGCACAACAGCAATGATATTTAGAGAATCTATGAACATTTCACACACATACACATTTTGCAAAATTATGTTCAGAAGCATATTAAATTTTACACGTCTACAAACTGGTAGAACGTTCGTATTTGGACTAAGATAAAATGTAGGGACTTATCTGCGTTTTCTTATCTAAGTCTTATTAATCTAGGTAAGGACGTTTACGATTATTAAATGGAGTACAGGGGATAATACGAGCGTAAATTTCAAAAAATCGGTCACAATTTTTTTTGATCAGATCATTCCACACCATGACTATTTTCTAACAATTCTGACTTTCTTGGGATAATCTTTGATCTTGAGGTTTTCTTGCAATACGATCGTCCCATTTCATTCTAAACTCTCATTCCCTTCTGATTTCTTTCATTCATTCAATAATGAAGGTTTCAAATATTTCAATGTTGATGTGAGGATGGGGTCGAATTGCGAATTTCGCCTACAAAGATATTTGTAGAAACATCTACAACTGGTAGAACATTGATGTTTGGATATGTCATGGCCATTTTCTGAAAAGTCCAACAATTCTGATTTTTAGATTTTAATACCAACGTTATCTTTGTTTGCCAATAGGAACGTTCCTTTTCAGAGATAACGAATGCATCTTTCTGCATTTTATCAAAATCTTAATTCTTTAAAAAGCTACATGTCTAAAATCAAAAAGCTCTGCTCACTTAAAATCTTTGCCGAAAAAAATCAAAAAATAGAGTATAGGTTTATTACCAGAATGTATTACTGTTCGTTGTCAAGAATGCGATGGACAAATTCTAACAAACCATTATCTGAGTCTCTAAGTTGTAGTTTTAAAATGTTACAGAAAACATTGTCATTGTGTTTCTGGCGTGTCTATGGAAAATTATACCAAGAATTGTCTGTCTCAATGAATGGAGTAATTTGCGTATGTATTTTTCCATTTTAGGCTTATATAAAAAAGTCTGTCTCGAGGAACCAAGACTTGTGTGTTTGAGAGCATATATTTTCACTGCCTTTGGTTTTTAACAGAATTTGTATTTTTACATTTCAGGCTTATATAAAAAAGTCTGTCTCTGGGAACCAAGACTTGAGTGTTTGAGAGCATATCTTTTCACTGCCTTTGGTTTTTAACAGAATTTGCCGTCATGAAGCAAGTGTGGTATATTTCTATATTTATAATAGTCTGCATCAACATCGAAGGTATGTTACTTTATCTTATAACTACATAAATACTCTTATTCCATAGTTAGCATGATATTCATAGGATAACATGTGAAAATAAAAACGGTATTTTTTGTAATCAGTGGTAAAATATGATATTTTTGACAAATTTTCACATAACCATAGCATACGATTTTTTAGCCATGACATACGGCGCCGTATGCGATGGTTTATGGATTTTTGCTACTTCAGACTCAAAACGAGGCTAAGTGTCAACATCGCCAGATCGTTTGGAAAATTAGAATTAAATCGCTTAATTTCCGACAATTTTGATGATGACTTTAACTATGGAATAAAAAGAACATCCTATGATTTACTCGTGATATGATTTTAATCCACTCATGGATATTGATATCTGCACTCTCTCGCTACGCTCGCTCGTGCAGAGATCATATCCATTCGTGGATAAAAATCATATCACTCATAAATCATAGGATATCCTCTATATACTCAAGTTATCATATTGGTTGATCGAGTCCCATGTGATACAAAATGCATTATCATCATGTTTTACATTTTCTTTCATTTCATAAATGGATAAAAGACGCATTTCATTGTGTCTGGCTTATTCATTGATTCTGGTTATAGGGAACTTCTAGCAATTTTATAATGAAATAAAACACATATCATATTTAGTAATAATTGTGCTTGTGTGTGGGCAATACATTTTGCAGTGTCAACTTCAATTGCCTTACAGTAAGTGGGCAGTGCACTGGCTGATCTGGTGTGTGTGTGTGGGGGGGGAGGGGGGGGGTGCTGCCCTCCCCTTGGGTGGGCCCAGAAAAAAAATTGGGCCCAAAAAAGATATTGGGCCAAAAAAGACCTTGAAGCCTGAAATTTGTCCCCCTTGTTGGTTCCCAGATAAGCCCCTGCATGGTAACCCCGCAAGTTCTGAACCACGAACAGTTCTTTTTCTCTCAATAGAATAACATGTTTCTATATGATATGATTTATCGGGATTAAATCTAAAATTTCCTATTTTTAAGAGATATTGCATTGATTGTAAAGAACAGTAAAACTTTGTTAAGAGGATTAATTTGTCTTAAACATGTACTTTAAATTCGACACATTTCCTTTATCCTAATGTTAAAATCTGTATTTCACAGCGTTTGTCGCTCTTAACAGCGCGTTTCTCCCTATACTATGCTCTATTTCCTCATTTTCTAGAATGTGAATCGGCTTCTTGCGTCGATGACAGTGACTGCTCCGCTAATAGGTGGTGTAAAGCTGGTTTTTGTAGGAAAAAGAAAGGCATTGGGGGCGTTTGTGAACGCAAAGAAAGTTGTAAAACCGATTTATATTGTGATGCAGATTCGCTACGATGTGGTTAGTCGTAATTGTGTTTCTCTTTCTAATTTTTCAATACAATATTCAGTTTCATGTTTGTTGTATAGAATTTAAAATGGAAAATAGATATCATACATCGTTCGAATTATCCTTTGTGCCATTAAATCAAAACACATTAAAATCTTATGAAGATATTAAAAAAAAATGTGTTATTTCAGTATCATGCGAAATCAATGAACATTGCCTTGACCCAACGCGACCTCAGTGCGTGGATGGATTCTGTGGTACGTAAGCTTATGGTTGAGACACCACAGAAATGAATATTTCATTTACCAAACTTGAGTAATTTTAAAACCAATTAATGTCATTTCCAAAATAGTTCACTTGAACACGTGATGACCAGGATACAAGCATTAGTTCAAGCCTGTAGAATTAGACAAGAGCTTGACTCTGTGTATGGCAGCCCCATGCTACTAATAATATTAAAGTATATTTTGCTAGAACCATCAAATTATCCAAATAACTGAAGTACCTCGATTCAGACTAGGGTTAATACAATTGATTCAATAACAAGGAAAGAGCAAAAGCAAAACAATATGCTTGAAGGTTCAATTCCCAATACAGTTGTTTTCCTGATATAGTGTTCGCTTACATCGCAATTATACTAACATGTAAGCACTAGCACAGGTACCGAAGGGAAGGGACGAAAGAGTTTAACAGAACCCAGCATAGCAAGAAAAAGAAAACGTTAAAACGTATAACAATCATAAGAAAAACAAACCCCAATTATTCCAAACAATGATCAGACGTACGTGAAAAGAAACAATGTCTAATGTCTCTCCATCATTCAAGATCCATTATCAAAATCAAGGACCAACCTACCAAGAGACATTTAATCCATACAGAAATAGTTAGCATTCAAACTAAGGCAGTTAGCAGTTGAATCCCATCGGGGGCGTAACTTGGAATTAAAATGGGCGGGGTAAATTTATTTGACAGGATTTTAAAATAAAGGGGACATTATAGCAATTATCATACTTTCATTTTCAAGGTTGCAATTGAAAAACATTTGAATTGATATTTTTCTGTGTTTTGTAGGTCAAACAACATGTACGACGAACGACGATTGCGCCACTTTCCACTCGCTTCCAGAATGCATAAACAACATATGTTGTAAGTTGTTTACAGTGTTAAATGCTCACACAAAAATATCTCATACAATATTGTTTTAGCGTGCAAACACATTTTATCACCATAATGATAATTGATATGTTTACAACAATGTGGCTGCTACATACTTTTAGCTAAAAAACCAACGACAACTACGTCTACTACAACATCAACAACGACGACAACTCCAACAACTACGACGCCTTCAACAACAACATCAACAACGACGACGACAACAACTACCACCACATCGCCACCAACAACAACGACGACGTCCACCACAACGACGACGCCTACGACGACGACGCCAACAACAACGACGACGACGCCCACGACGACGCCGACCACAACGACGACGTCGCCTACTACAACGACGACGCCTACTACAACAACGACGACGACGCCCACTACAACAACGACGACGCCCACATCAACGACGACGACGCCGCCTACTACAACGACGCCAACAACAACGACGACGACGCCCACTACAACAACGACGACGCCTACCACCACGACGCCTATTACATCAACGACGACGCCCACAACAACGACGACGACGCCTACCACAACGACGACGACGCCTTTCACAACGACGACGACGCCTACCACAACGACGACGCCAACAACATCGACGACGACGCCAACAACAACGACGACGACGATGCCTACAACCACGCCATCAACAACGACGACAACAACGCCAGAAACAATGACGACAACTACAGCAGTAACAACCGAATTGCTTATAATACATAGGCCTGTTCAATTTTTTAATCGTAAGTAGTGCGCTCCACATAATTACCGCTGCAAAGTTTATGTAACCATGAAGCCGTCTGCTTTTTCGTTCTCTAAGAGGTATCCTAGGCCTTCCTTTGCATATTTAAGGTCAAAATCTTAAAAAGTACAAACTAAAATCTTAAGCCTCCAGTTGACCCCCATTTACCGGTGAGAAACTATAGAGTACCCATATGACATGGTAACCTTTTTAAAGGTTCCTAATGCCTTGGTCACATTTACTCCGATTTTCACTATGGCGCGCGGCCGATTGAGTATTTTGTTCAAAATCGAATACAATATTGAACAAAACACTCAATCGTCTGGGCTCCGGCCGATGGATGTGACCCAGGCATTACTAGGCCCATAAATAACCAAAAAACGTGTATTAGTAATTATAGATAAAAAGAGGGAAACAGTATTTACTAGGATAAGAAATTAGAGTTAATCACTTTGAATAAAGTGCAGAGAAAGAGTGTTTAGTCTGAAAAATTTAAGCTGTGCCACTTTTGTCTTTAGCACCGGAAAATGATCCAGTGATTGCAGAAGATACAACAACAGTTTCTCCAAATATTCATACGACCACTGCTAGAACTATTCGTAAGCAATTGATACTACACTAATATACAAACTTGAGTGAGAGATTTGTAGATAGGGTGGTAAATAACTGCCACTCTATATTTTCTCATATCTTTATCTTTTTAAGGAATTACTTCTTTATATTTGGCATATGTGTACATCATTAAAAAGCCCACCAGCATATCATATTTCATGACCTTCAGACTGAAATGTTGCATCACTTTGAAAAATGAATAAACACAAGGGAGCACACGCGTCTCGAACTCGCAACCTCGTGGTTACGGCGCCCAATCACCAACATGTTCCACTTCAATGACCGCATTTATAAGCAGGAGAACAGATAATGAATAAGTGGCCCATAGTCCAGATATGTCCCAACCTGACCTCAAAAAGAGATCACGCGTGTCATAACCTGCTGAGGAATGCCGCAGTCGGGTCATTGACAACTTTTGTTGACGTGTACAGGTTTACCTACAGTGTGATGGTGGTCACTTTTATCACATGTGCTGTAACATCGTGAGTATCAGTCTGATGGTCCTCAATATGGTAGATTTATAGGAAATCACAAATGGTACAAATGTGCCTTATATGAGGCAGTAATTCCCTAAATTGACAAAAATAAAAGGATAATGCAAGCTTCCAGTTTCATGACCACCCTGTATCTACAAATCCTTATCGTCAAGTTTGTAAGTTAGATAACCAAAATGGGCAATACATGTAAGTTTATTGATTTTTTCAAGCTGTGATGTTTAAGAAAAAATTAGTTTTTTAATTGTGATACGGGCTATTATAAGTTTCAATGATTAAAACTACATTCACTGCTGTAAACACCCTTTTGATAAATGTGTTGAATATATTTTAGCCTGTGAATCAAGTTCAACCTGCAAAGATTATCACCACGCCTACATATGCGTTGAGTTTATGTGCGGTAAGTGAGAAAACCCTCGCCTCGATCGTTTTGCCCGAGGGTAATGTGAACACCCATCACCCCCCCCCCTACCGAATTTGGTTGGGGTGTAACACAGCTTAAATTGTATAACCAATAGCGTTGATAGAATTTAAGATGTCTTTGGTTGAACATGGATAAAACAAAATTTACATGCGTTTGATAACTTTTAAGATTTTTTCGGCAAACATTAATAAAACCCAATTTTCATGCGATGATAAATTTTAAGATGTCTTTGGCTAAATACAGGGGACCCCAAAAAATGCAACCCTCCATTTCTTCAATATTATTCTCTTCTGGGATTTGGCACACAAGGACTTCATTCGATGTAGGATCCTCTGGCAAAGTTTTAATAATCATACTCTTATATTGACAGAGTTATGGTTGTTTCAAAATATGCTCCAGATGTCGTCAATTTCCCTGAAAACAAACTTGCAATGTTCAAGGAAAACTCTTCATAACACGGGTGCATTCTTCTCCATGGGTATGGCTCAAATTTTTGCAGCCATTGCTTGTTGGAGTTCTGCAATTGCGGTAGGGTTATTTTCATACACAACATCCTTTAAATAACCCCATATATAGAAGTCAGGGGCATTGAGATCAAGACTGTGGGTTGACCATGGGTTCTCCGTCCTAGGAGAGATAATCTTCTCATAGAAATGACTAGTGAGCCAGGCTATACTATCATTAGAAGTGTTAGGAGTGGCTCCATCCTTCTAGAACCACTGTTCTTGTCTATTGAAGCCTCTATGTCACTCTAGAACTGCCTAGAACTTCCTGGGAACGGCAATATTGCGTTGTGTATTAACAGTAACAGTGTTGCCATTATCAACCTCAAACCAAAAGGGGCTGATGATTTCATGTTTGGAAATTGGCAGCCCAAGCTGTGCATTTAAAAGAATGAAGGGGCCTTTGAAGCACTTCATCTGGAATTTGTGATCCCAGAACACATTTACATGTTCAGAAAGAAGGGAATGTGATTCATCAGAAAACCTAACATTGGAAATGGACGACATTTGGAGCATATTTTGGAACGACCATAACTCTATCAATATAAGACTATGATTTTTGAAACTTTGCCAGAGGATCCCACATTGAATGAAGTCTTTGTTTGCCAAATTTCAGAGCAATTAACCTACATTTAAGAAAAATATTGAAGAAATGGAGCGTTGCATTTTTTGGGTCACCCTGTATTAATAAAAGCCAATTGCATGCGTTGATAACATTTAGGATGTCTTTGGCTAAACATTAATAAAGACAATTTGCATGCGTTGATAACATTTAAGATGTCTTTGGATGAACATAAATAAAACGCCAATTTGAATTCATTGATAACTTTTAAGATGCCCTTGGCTGAACATTATTAAGATGTCTTTGATTAAAATAAATTTAAAACCCAATTTGCACGGTTGATACCTTTCAAGATGTCTTTGGCTGAACATGAATAAAACCCAATTTACATGCGTTTGATAACATTTAAGATGTCTTTGGATGAACATAAATAAAACGCCAATTTGAATTCATTGATAACTTTTAAGATGCCCTCGGCTGAACATTATTAAGATGTCTTTGATTAAAATAAATTTAAAACCCAATTTGCACGGTTGATACCTTTCAAGATGTCTTTGGCTGAACATGAATAAAACCCAATTTACATGCGTTTGATAACATTTAAGATGTCTTTGGATGAACATAAATAAAACGCCAATTTGCATTCATTGATAACTTTTAAGATGCCCTCGGCTGAACATTATTAAGATGTCTTTGATTAAAATAAATTTAAAACCCAATTTGCACGGTTGATACCTTTCAAGATGTCTTTGGCTGAACATGAATAAAACCCAATTTACATGCGTTTGATAACATTTAAGATGTCTTTGGATGAACATAAATAAAACGCCAATTTGAATTCATTGATAACTTTTAAGATGCCCTCGGCTGAACATTATTAAGATGTCTTTGATTAAAATAAATTTAAAACCCAATTTGCACGGTTGATACCTTTCAAGATGTCTTTGGCTGAACATGAATAAAACCCAATTTACATGCGTTTGATAACTTGTAAGATATCTCCGGCTGAACGTGGATATTTAAGCCAATTTGCAAGCGTTGATAATTTTTTCAGACCTCCTTCAGTGAACATGAACATCACGTACTGAAGATGAATAAAGCCAATTGCGTTGATACCTTTTGAGACATTTCCTGACTCAACATGAACAAAACTATTGAGTGGTCAAAATTCATTGCTAAATTGTATTGTTTTCAGTCAAGGGAGATCCCCATATCAAGCAAAAGATATCAGGGACCAAGGAACACTTATGTTACGATGTCTTTGGTGATCCAGGAGAGGTGTACGAGTTCTTGACAGAGGCATCTACAGGTGATGATTGCGATAAAAAAGGGGGAGGGGGTAAATTTGCGCTATCAGAGAAGTTAAGGTACACGTTTTAAAAGAACTTGTACATTAACGCGTACTATATATTCTAGTAGTTTATTCATTTACGCGATTGAGTATCAAGGTTTGTTGAAAATAGTTGTGGTAAGGTCCCTGGAAAAAATTGAGATTGGGAGGGAGTAATTCCTAGGGATCATAATATAATATCACACATTCATGTTCAAGCTATCTAAAATCGTGTAGCCCAACCTCCCTATTTAAAAGAATACTTGTGAACTGGTCATGGTCACCGATGGACTATTTCACCTTTACTTTGTCCCATCGAATATGGGGTCATATTATTGCACATTGTTGTCCACCTTTCAACTGGTTTAAACAGACCTAAGTTCCACTTTTTACTTATACTTTAATATTCAATGGGACAAATGAGTTCGAAATGCCCCTAACCACTCCCCCTAACAAACATTTTCCTCACCATAGGCACCTCTGTTCGGGGTAAATTCACGACAGAACGTTCCGCCTCCAAGGCCAGCGGTCAAGCACAGTACGTTGGCGAGCTATTGGTTGCAACTCGTAACGTCACAATCTACGTCAGTCGGTCTGATATTTTGTTCTCTACTGGGAGGTAAGTTGCCGATCAATTTTTCAGGACAGGTGTAAAGGGGTAGGTAGGTGGTCCTATCAAATGTTGATCCTACTCTCAATTGATTTATATGGTGACCTAATTACAATTATTTTCCTTATTATTTATACACAGTTAGGGCCAGTAAGGGCCGTAAAGAAAGGGGACCATAATCCCCAGGGGACCATAATTTCTTTTACACCGGTTATACTCAATTACACTGGAACGGCTACTTTCCATGAACATTCATTGAATGAATTGTCTTATTTGTTCCTAAAAATGCAAATATGTAAAAATAAAAATGAGTATTGCATGAAAATTCCAAACGTACACACTTACCTTTGTTTAAGTTGTAGGTAATTGAAAAAAACAAATACTAGTATTGATATAACCTAGCGAACCTCGAAACCTTCTTTTCATTTCATAGCCTTAACCTATACGACAGCTATGTATGTCCCATTGACCTATTTTGATTTCGCCATGACATCATCCAAATAACATTGGCATAATTGGATATTTTTCATACCCATACTTAGGTGATCAATGTAGCGTTGGGGTTTGAAATAATCGAGTCTGCGTGATAATGGCTACTAAAAAGCTATAGATTTGTTATAATATTAATCAAAATCATTGTTTTATAGTCTATATGGTGAGCTTGACATTCGAATGTTTGTACGTGATCATGACTAAATTTAGTGCATTTAGTACATGCTGTCGGGCATACAATATGTACATTTATTTATCGTATGATCTGTAAATGAATCCCCCCCCTTATTGGTCAGTTTTTGTACTGTACCAATCTGTATTGCTACTGAGATTGTCTCCATTGATCATCTCCGGAGCAATACAGAAAATATTGGTACGGAGGGGACAATCTCAAAAGCAACTTGCAATACAGAGAATACAATAATTTCCTATGGATTATTGTATTGGCCTAAGATCACACGATAAAAACGCAATAGAATGATTTGAAGTGCAATACAGGATATATTCTGCTCTCTATATTCTGTATTGGCACTAGACTTCGTCTCGTTCCAATACAGAATTTCTCGAGCAGAATATATCCTGGATTGCACTTCAGATCATTCAATAACTTATAAATTTGTATCTTTAGGTCAGTCTATGTTGTTACTATGTGTATTGTAGTTGGCCCATGCTTCCATGATGGGCTACATCCACTCATGGGGACGAGATGAGTTGTCAATGTAGAATATTTGTATGTTATAGTGTGCCAGTATTTGAATGTTGTACACCATCACTTCTGCTTCTTAGTGTATTTGTATGCAATACAGTCTTTATTTGTATTTTGTAGTCAATCTGTATTTGCATGCTGTATTCAATCTGTATTTGTATTTTTAGTCAATCTGTATTTGCATACAGTATTCAGTCTATGTTTGTATTTTGTAGTCAATTTGTATTTGCATCTTGAATTCAGTCTGAATTTGTATTTTTAGTCAATCTGTATTTGCATGCTGTATTCAGTCTTTATTTGTATATTGTAGTCAATTTGTATTTGCATGTTGTATTCAGTCTGTATTTGTATTTTTTTAGTCAATCTGTATTTGCATGCTGTATTCAGTCTGTATTTTTATGTTGTCAATCTGTATTTGCATGTTGCATTCTGTATTTGCATGTTGTATTCAGTCTGTATTTGTTTGTCGTCAATCTGTATTTGCATCTTGAATTCAGTCTGAATTTGTATGTCGTCGATCTGTATTTCACGTTGCATTCTGTATTTGCATGTTGTATTCAGTCTGTATTTGTATTTTTTAGTCAATCTGTATTTGCATGCTGTATTCAGTCTGTATTTTATGTCGTCAATCTGTATTTGCATCTTGAAATCAGTCTGAATTTGTATGTCGTCAATCTGTATTTGCATGTTGTATTCAGTCAATATTTGTATGTCGTCAATCAGTATTTGCATGTTGTATTCAGTCTGTATTTGTATTTTGTAGTAAATCTGTATTTGCATGCTGTATATAGTGTACGTGTATTTGTATTTTGTAGTCTTGAATTCAGTCTGAATTTGTATGTCGTCGATCTGTATTTCATGTTGCATTCTGTATTTGCATGTTGTATTCAGTCTGTATTTGTATTTTTTTAGTCAATCTGTATTTGCATGCTGCATTCAGTCTGTATTTGTATGTCGTCAATCTGTATTTGCATCTTGAATTCATCATGAATGTGTATGTTGTCAATCCGTGTATTTGCATGTTGTATTCTGTATTTGCATGTTATATTCAGTCTGTATTTGCATGTCGTCAATCTGTATTTGCATGTTGTATTCTGTTTTTGTATGTTGTATTTAGTCTGTATTTAAATGTCGTCAGTCTGTATTTGCATGTTGTATTCAGTATTTTTCTGTTTGCCGTGGTCAATCTGTATTTACGTGTTGTGTAGTCAATCAGAATATATCTTCATTTTGATGTTGTAGCCATTTTGTAGTTGTGTATTAGCATCTGTCCGTATTGGCATTTTGTATGTTTAAGTAGGTCTGGATAATACTATATCAGAGTTATCTGTATTTCGGTGTTGCAGTTTGTCTCCGAGATTTGTTCACACGTGGGAAAAGGATGTGTTGTCCTTCTCAAGCTCTGATGGAGTGAATATCAAAGTTTACCGATCCGATATGGAAATCAAAATAGGTAAGAATCATAATATATACTAATACTTAAGGGTCGCGCATTGCCATCCATATACTACGAAAACGTGTTTTATTGAATTGTACTGATGATCTAACCGCCTGCGATCGATGAATGTGCATTACGCTAATTTGGAGGCATCTACATGTATATATCATTTGTTTTACTTTTTTGTTTGCTTGAAAAATTGATGAAATAAGATGAATATGAATATTAATTTAGACCATGTTTAATAAAAATAAAATTCCTTTTGTATACATTTCCTATTTTAGGTAATGTTGTGCACATCGTTGTTTCTAGACATCGAACGCATCTTGATTTTATGATTGGAGAGGTTCATAAACTCACCGAAGATGCTGGAGGAATTATGGGTAAGTACATACACCGGAAGAGTATTAGTAACTATGGGTAAATATGAAGTGATGGACGCACTAATCAATGATAAAAGTCAAACACTTGAGAGCTTAAGAGCTTAAGAGCTTGTAATTTTTGGGAGTATTCTAGAGTATGGGCTTTGAAGTATAACTAGTAATTGGAATTTACATAAAGTGCAAATAAATCATGGACATATTTTTCAGGTTTTGTGTCCTCTAAAGGTGTTTTCATGCCTTCAAGGTTTTCCAACAAAGGCACAGTACACTTAGGGGAGAACTACAGTGTTTCAGTACATTGGAGTCATTCCCAACTATGCTGGAAAATTTCAGAACAGGCGAAAGGATTCGATGATTTCCTTGCCACATTTTTGCAACGTTGTTTTGGCGATTAAGAAATTATTGAAAAATAGTGTATTTATGTTATGTTGAACAAAATACAAGTGCGCTGTTTAGGGATGCAACGTTGGAAAATGGGGACGATGTGATGTTGATATTTCATCTATGTAAATAGAATAGCACGGGCACTGGCAGTCAAAAATTCTGAGATACTTGGACCACTTTGCCGTTCACTTTGATTTGGAATTTTTGAATGTGCCTTTTGGAATCATTGTTTCCGAAATACTGTACATTATAATTTGCAGATGAAATAAAATTCTTCTACAGTGCCATTTACAGTAATAATAAACCGTTACAATTATTTTCCATATACACTGGTCAGTAGCAAGCGAAGGTAACGGCCGTAACCTCCGTATCCAAGATGGCGGACGATAATTGTCGATTTCGACATTTTTAGTTTTCATCGAATTAAATTACATAACAACAGTAAGTCCACCTGTGTAGCTCAGCGGTAGCGCATGTACCTCTTACGCAATAGGTCCCGGATTCGATCCCCGGTTCAGGCAAGACTAAATTTGCTTGTTTGCGTGAAGTACTCCAGGGTGTTTGACTGAGTGGTCCGCAACTCGTACAAAAGGCTGTGGTGTGTACTTGTATACATGTATCTATGTATACGTGCACATAAAAGAACACAGGGCTCCTTCAAGGAGGGGTTTCTGGGTCTATCTTCCAGGTTAATCACGTAAATTACGACAGTATATATATACGGGATATACCCAAGAGATATTGCTCACATTCATTGGTGGTAAACAAAATACAATACAACCAGTTTATGTCATGCTTTGATATTTGAACCAAATCAGAATTATATGACATGGGAACTCTAGAGTATGAAAGTTCGTTTATATATTGTGCGTGGGCGTCACAGTTCAACGGTACTGTAACTGGAAATATATGATACGGTAACGGTCGTGTAAGTTTTCAATACAGGGTAACTCTATTATAAACTCTCATTATGTTTCCGCATCACCGCGTATCAGTTATCTCATCATCTGTAAAAGTAGTTTAATTCATTAAAAACGAAAAATATCGAAATCGACACTTTTACACACTTTTTTGCTCACAATATTATGAGTTCAATCTTAGTCAGATTTGGATTTCTTAGAACTTTTAGATGATTTTGAAAAAATTTGAAACAAGTTGTAAAAAGACCTTTTTGACCCTGACAAGGCCATTGAAGGTGGAATCTCAAATCTAAAGTCAGATTTGAAATTCAATACAGGGTAACTGTCATCTCCAACTTCTGAGAACTTGGAGATGCTTTTGAAATAGAATTTGTCAATTTAAAGCAAGATGAAAAAAGACCTTTTTGACCTTGAGAATGTCATTGAAGGTCAATTTTTTTTGACCTTGAGAATGTCATTGAAGGTCAAATCTATAGTCTAGTCAGATTTGAACTGTTGAGAACTTGTAGATGATTTTGAAAAAAAGATCAGACAACTTGAAGCAAGTTGAAAAAAAACCTTTTTGACCTTGAGAAGGTCATTGAATGTCAAATCTCATATCTAAAGTCAACTTTGAATTTCTGATTACTTGAAGATGATTTTGAAAAAAATTGGGTCAATTTAAAGCAATGTGAAAAATACCTTTTTGACCTTTTTTTTACCTTGAGAAGGTCAATTCTCAATCTAAAGTCAGATTTGACCTTCTGATAACTTGTAGATGATTTTGAAAAAAGGAATTGGGTCAATTTGAAACAAGTTGAAAAGGGACCTTTTTTGACCTTGAGAAGGTCATTGAAGGTCAAATATTAGTCAAACTTGAACTTCTGATAACTTGTGGATGATTTAAAGAAAAATTGGTCAATTTGAAACAAGGTGAAAAAGACCTTTTTGACCTTTTTTTTACCTTGAGAAGGTCATTGAAGGTCAAATCTCAATCTAAAGTCAGATTTGACCTTCTGATAACTTGTAGATGATTTTGAAAAAAGGAATTGGGTCAATTTGAAGCAAGTTGAAAAAGACCTTTTTGACCTTTCTTGACCATGAAAAGGTCATTAAAGGTCAAATCTTAAGTATAAAGTCAGATTTGAACTTCTGGAAACATGTAGATGATTTTGAAAAAAATTTAAGTCAGTCTAAACAGTATTTGTTAAGTTATTGGAAGTTGTAAGAATTTGTTACAGACGCCAATCGCCAACTGGCGATCGCTGATCGCCAACCGCCGATCACCATCCCCCGTCAAAAAAACAAACAAACTGAGACCATAACAATATGTCATCACTTTTTGATGGTGGTGACATAAAAACCTATAGTTTAAATTTTGCCTCATTGATTTCAGTTTGCCTCACGGATATAAATTTGCCCCACACATTGCCTCACTGATATAAATCTGCCTCACATATTGCTTCGTTGATAAAAATTTGTCTCACATCAAAGATCCTAACTACATCCCTGACACAAGTACACTAACACATCAAACTTAATAAGAATCTCAGTCAATCACATTTGTTTTATTCATACCATCAGGTGGTTCCACAATATTCAAACATGTATTTGCAAATTCTGTAAATATTGGTTCTTGCATAGCATTCTCTAGATCTTTTGTTGGGTTTTCACTAGAGTCCAAGTAAACAAGCATATCTTGCAGATGTGGGTTCTTAAGTAGGTCTTTTATTTCTTTAGATCCCACTGGAAAATAAAATAAATTTTTTGAGGTATACTCATATATTATAAGGGCTGTCAGGTAGGGCTTTCGTTCTGAACATTCAACATGTATATGCAGGATTAAGTGGACAATGTAGGATCAAATAATGCCTTGCACTAATAAGGTCTAGTTTCTGTACAGTAAAATGCAATTCAGAATAACTTTTCAAAATAGTGAATTAGAGTGAGATGTTGTAAAAGTAAAAAAGAACAGAATCTACACTCCACTCATTCAATAATAAATTATATGAAAATACAAGATATAAATACATGTAATGTTAATTTTTAATGCAGCTATGGAAGAGGAGAGGGGGGGGGGGGTAGTGTACAATTGTCAACAGGTCATGTGTTGAGGAAAAATAAGTCGATTTATAAGGGGAAGAGTAAATGAGGATAAGTGAAAATGTAATTTTGACATATTATTCATATAAATGAACAACAATTCAACAATTGTTTTCAAAGTCAATTGTAATGGGGGTGAGGGAGGAGTGGAATCAATTATTCAACATCGATCAATTAATTTTTCCAGAATTGTCAACATTTGGATAGCATTTCTTACCAAGTCTCTCTAGGCACTCCTTGGATACTTTGTCTTCTGTCTCCATGTCATTTTCTGAACTCTCAGACAGTTCACCTTGAAAAGGGAACAAAACAAGTATATAGTCTATCAAATTATCCATTTCCCTGTACATCATAGTATGTGTGTACATCCAACTACAGTATAGTAGCCTATTAGCTAGATTATCTTAATATATTGATAATGATACAAAACATTGCTAATTGTGTATTTTGGTAAACATCTACCTACTTTTAAAATTGAAGTGAGTATTGCAGGTATGTGAAAACAATTTCTTTGCTATGGAAAGTTATGCTTTATCTTCTTCACATTTTAATCCTTATCAGAGCTAATTATTTTAAGAATTTTTAAATTTTCTGAATATAGAGACACTACAGTAAGAATATACAACTTCTGCTCCTTAGGTGTTTTCCAAATATGGTGCTTAATCTTATTTTTATCTATTAAGTAAAACCTGTATATTAGTGAACACCTAGGGAGCCAAAAAAGTGTTCACTGTAGGTAAGTGTTCACTACACAAGGGATTATGAGTTAAATCGTAAGATGTATCTTTGCTCTTGCTCCTCCCCATCTACAAGACAGGCCGGTGGTGCCACTGCCCAAGAGGGACAGCTTCCCACCTCGGCACTTCTACGAGAGCCTTCACCTAAGTGGTGTTCACTAAGACAGGTTTTACTGTATCTCAATATATCATCCGTTTTACAGCATGCGAAGACCTTAAAAAGGACTCTAATTTTTAGCATGGTGCTGCAATTAAATTCAGGTAAGATCACAGAGAGCAATACAATAAGCTCAATTCGCATTACACACAGTTTTATCTGTGTATTGATCTCCCTAGCATTAGAAAAAGTGAGATTTTATTTACAGACTTGAACCCATGTGAGAATCTACTTGCATTGACTTGAAACATCCTGAAAAATAGACTGATAAACCTTGCTCATATACTAGTATATGGAATATTTTCCAATTAACCTAAATTCACCATAGATTTCCTCGATTTCATTGTGCTCTGAAATGTTCGTAAGCTAAATGCTTCTGTGTACTGATCTCTTGTGAGAATACTGAGTGCATGTGGAATAAAGGAATAAAAATGAAAGAATACTGAGTACATGTGGACAATAGAACTGATGGTACATGAGAATTGTGAATATTGAATTGTCACAATAGAACTGATGGTACATAAGAATTGTGAACATTGAATTGTCACAATAGAACTGATGGTGCGTGAAAAGGGAACAAAATGTGAATGACCCAGTGACAACATACTAAGCAAGAAAGGTAGATTATGTAGAGAACAACTAAAAGTACATTAAAGTGCTGTAATTTGAGAGATCCCTTAAGGACTTGTATTGTTTATAAAGTGTCACTCAGACTGAAAGACAGCAGTTCAAGGGTCCAGCATCTAAAGGAATAAAAATGAGACCACACTCACCATCACTCATTGCTTTGTGCTTATTTGGACTTTTCTGTGAGACGTCACATTGGGTGTTGGAGGTTTCTTCATCTGGAACACATGTATCTCCTGAAATGAAAAAAATCATGTTAAAGTTAAGGCACAGAAACTTTTCCCACCCTCTCATCGACTTATAATTGGTCACATCATTAAAATATGACAGTGTAATATCTATTTTAAGCCTGATTGTTTTACAAACTTTTCTACTGTGTACAGGGTGATCCAGAAATTGAGTCGAATATGTTGCCAAATTTCAATACTAATTACTACTGGACCAATATTTTTGCTCTTGGTACAGATGTGCTCCAAAACATTGATTTATACCTCAAGAATAAAGCTTCTTCTTTTAGATTGGTTCATGGTAAAAATAATGGCCTGATATTAATTGGATATTGATGATTGAGGAACATCTGCACAAAGTTTTAATGTTATGGTCCAGTCGTATTGAAATGGCAACACCTTGGATATAACTTCTGGATCACCCTGTAGATGCCATGTTACAAAATCCTGGATGTATATTTGCATCAGACTCTCCCAACTTTCAATACATGTACGTTCTTAAGACGAAAAACATTAAAATGAATGAAAAATCAATACTCCATTATATTTACAGTAAATGTGCATATCTAAGTTACATATAAATAAATAGTATACCTTTTTTATGGTCCTTGAAACAGCCAACAGAGCAACTGAAAAAAGAAAATTATGAAAAAATTTGTTGGACAAAAAACAATAACTCAAGAACACATACAATGTAGGCTATTACAACTGTTTATCCTACACTTAGTGTACTAAATGTATAATAACATCACAAAATAAATTTGATATTTATTGGCAAAATAAATATCCGGAGGATATCGTAACGATATACTCTGGGCGGAGGATATCGTGATGATATACTCCGGAAAACCCAATATGCGGAGGATATTGTGACGATATACTCCGCTTGTTGATTTCCCGCCAAATTGATTCTATTTGGCATGAAATTCATTTTGCAATGATATTATACATTTATTACACTTCTTGTAAGTGTAGGATTATAAGAACATCCTATGATTTTTTTCAGAATATCATTTTAATCTACTAGGTGATATTGATATATGCACTCGTTCGCTTTGCTCTCTCGTGCAGATATCAATATCACCTCGTAGATAAAAATGATATTCCTCAAAATCATAGGATATCCTATAAATATCAAACTGTACATGTTTTTACTAGCCACACTGTACATTCTGCTATGTACATGTAATTGAGATGGCTTTTCAAATGCTACTTTATAAATTTCCCTCAAACCCTCCATTTTGATATCTCACAAGATAATATGTCAACTGAGGTATAGAGACAATTCCCGATAGATACAGAAGCGACTGATAACTTATAGACTTTGGTAAACAAAACCTTTATGCATATACATTTGCAGAATATCAGCTCATATCACCATTCTAATGGATTGTTATATATATTTTAATTTAGCTAAGTGGAAATTCATTTCAAAATGGAATCCATTTTTCTACTGAGTGAGCAGAAAAAGTGAGCTGAAAAAGAAGTTCTTGGTGCATATAGCACTTTTTCTATATTGCATTCAAAATCAATGAGGTTACATCTATAGAATCGAGTAAGATGATACAACGTAAATGTACAGCTGTACCTTGGGACATGTACAAATTACTCGAGTCTCTAGCCAATTCTTGGCTAGAAGTGATTCCATCTGGTACACAGTGAACTATTGTAAAATTTTCAGCCGTCGTTCAATAAATTTATGTAATATTCTTAAAATCGTTCTGTTAATATTTCATGAATTGAAATGGTAAAGGCTTGTCTTGTTTTACTCGAGTCTCTAGCTTACAGCTAGACGTAACTTCATTGATTTCGTATGAACTCTAGAAAAGGTGCTACACGCACCTACATGCACCTAGTACTCATTTTTTATAAATTTTATAAATATTTTTAAGAATATTAATTATATTTAGGATGAAGCGTTGCTTGTCTGGATTTAGATATTTCAAAATTTCATTTCGGAGTTTGACACATGGTGACATTTTCTCGCTGTAGCTAAAAATGGCTTCCGGTTCTGGACGTGAATAAAATGGAGGAAACTTTGAAATTATTCTCGCTTAAAGAAATCAAATATAACAATAGATTCAGACCGGGATGTGAGCTGGTGTTCTTCAAATCGTATACATAAAGGTATATTTCATATTATTATGCCATATTTACTGTGCGTGTAACACAATGGTTTACAATATTCATAGTACCAAGGCAGCTCAATCTTCTACTCAAAGCCGGAATATAGAGAAGGCTTTGGACCGAAGTAAGTCTTGTTGATGAGATATTAAATGTTTTCATTTAAAATAGACGTCGTCTCGTTCTCCATTTTGAAAGCATACCTTTTTTCTGCTATAGCGATTTAGTCAAGATAGCCGCTTGTTGTAAAATATTGCTTTCAGTTTTATTCCAATTCTTTTGTGAATAAATATCCTGCGAAGTTGACGAATGTATGAACTAGGACTGCGTGTTAAGATCAATGAAGGTGAGTTTATTATGTTTCCATCAATAAAAATAAGACGGCTGGGCAATTACATTGTAAAGGCAAATTCAAAACAACAAAGAGTGTCTTATTTATAAGGCCGCGCCTGGAGAGCCTTAAAATTTAAGGCTCTCTAGCCAAAATGCTAAAGAGCCTTAAATTTTAAGGTTCTTTAGCATTTCGGCTAAAGAGCCTTAAATTTTAAGGCTCTTTAGCATTTTGATAGCCAATTCTGCTAGAGAGCCTTAAAGGAATTCCAGGCGACAGAAATGACGAAATATTGCTTCTGGGACAAGATCAAACGACTTTGACATATTCTATACCCAACCAGCTATTTTGTAATTTCACAAATCAGCACAAATATACATACCATACTAGCAGATATCGGACAAATTCAAAAAGAAATATTTTTTGATCGATAAAATCACTGATTATTAAACCGGAAGTGTCTTCTCTGAGGTCCGCAAAGAAGATGAAGAAGAAAACATATAAAGATTTCAGTCAAATTCAATTTTGCCGTCGATTTAATTTTAAATGGTTTTGAATAATCTTTGAATGCTTACTATGACTTCTATTAGTACTGTTTTGACTTCCCCACTTCATAAACAGAACATTATCACTTTTTACTCGACTCATAAATTTACTTCCGGTCTACCGCGAAAAATAAACGATCTAAAACCTTGTCAATCCTCAGTCTAAATTTGGCTTTTTAAAGGTTCAAACGTTGACTTTGAATGGACCTTTATAAATATATCGAAAATAGGTTCACCAGAGAAGGTGAAAGACCAGGCAACCACGTAAAAATGTCTGAGAGTCACATTTATTGATGACTTTGATGCTAGCCTAAAATCGTTGATACATAACAGACTTTTGAGCGGAAGTTTTTGCAAAAAGCTTTGAAAAAATATCTTATCAGATGGAAAATCTTAAAAACAGCATTGAAATCAGCATTATTACTTTTTACTCGATTCATAAATTTACTTCCGGTCTACCGAGAGAAATAAAAGAACCTTTTCAATCCCCAGTCTAAATTTGGCTTTTAAAGGTTCAAACATCGATTTTGAACGGACCGTTCATGCATATATCGAAAATATATGTCTCTGGTTCACCAGAGAAGGTGTAAGACCAGGCAGGCAATCACGTATATAGCCAGAAAAATGTTATTTTTACCATTTTTTCTACTATACATATGTAAATTGCAACGTCCGTTTAGTAAAGATTTTGATGTATAGACATTTATTGATTGATTGAAGGCTAGGATAAAAATGTTTTTGTTGTGTTGCATAAGCCGCTGTTTCCTCCCGGTGTTTCCTCGACAGATTTTCTTTGTGCTCTCTCATCGATGTGCTTGAATTTTCACTTGTGAGGAAAATATTATGCCAAAATATCTCGTCACGTGAAAAATTCTAAAATCAGCATTGAAATCTAATGTGCAATAGATTTGGAAGTGAATTCTGTGATGTCCCTGGGCTGATGTCCCTGCATTCACGATAAACTGCGTCAAGATGTGCTGATCTAGAAGAAACAAGATCCTTTTTCATCCCCAGGTCTTCATCATACTTTTTGCTATCATAAAATGGGATTCCCTGTATTCTCGTGACTATAGCAAAGCCAATACAAGTGATTGATTTCATTAAACATTGATGATTGAGCGATGGAGCAAGCCCAAGAATTCTAGAAAAATTGTGTACATAATTTCCGGACCTCAGAGAACAAACTTCCGGCTTGTTATTCAAATAAAAAGTGCTCCGTCCGGAAATCGAACCCACGCCGCAGAAGTGGATAGCGAGCACTCTAACCACTATACCAAAGTGTTTTTCCATGATTGGGATAAATTTTTTGCAACTCTATAGTGATATACATGTGTGAAATTTTTAAGTGGCATTCTTGGTTGAAAAACTTTCGAGAGTGTTGTTTTATTGTTTAGATGACGAAAACTTCAATAAAAAACAATATAAACACGGATTATAAACACAAAGGCTCTCTAGCCAAAACACTATGTTCACAGCTAAATAGCCTTAAATTTTAAGGCTCTTTAGCATTTTGGCTAAAGAGCCTTAAATTTTAAAGATGTTGATTTAAGAGCAAAAAAGGCTCCAAAACTTAATGAAATATGTAGTTTGGATGTTCATTTATGTCTGTGGATTATATTTTATACCACAAACACTTTATAAATACCTGAAATTTGCAATAAAAGTGCCCAAAAATTGTTGTTTCGAAATTCCCCATTTTTCCTGTATCGCGCTAGTCACGTGACCATTGCGCGTAGCAGTCAATGTACAGATATTACAGTACATATAATATGTTCAATATGGCAAACATCAGCGATTCTGATTCCCGGGTTCTGAAAAATGACTATATAAATCGGCGAGAGGGTGTAATTTGAATGAAGACGGCGAAATGTGTGCAAGTATGGCAGTAAGAGAGCAGATATGGGGACTTTAAACAAGAACTATGACGGAGAATCAACTAAAAATGTGAGTTCTGGAATGAAGACCCGTTGCCATTGACTGAAGATTCCAGCGATCCTATTATCATACTCAGTTTGAATATAGACGCGGAAAACAGATTATGAAAACAGGTTTTCTGCAAAGTTATCAAATTTAGAAGATATGGATCTTGTTTTTGAGTGGCTTAACAAGCATTTAGATACCAGACTTGGCGCTATCTCTTGTCAAATACATGCACTGGACTTGCAGTAAATTGGCCATTGCAAATTGCAAAATCAGATCGTCAAATTAATCGCTTCGTTTTTAAACCTAAGCTTCATATCTTCTTCCAGAACTTTAGGATTCGATAGAGATAAGTTATAACTTGTACAGGAAAAAATGGCAGATCCTACCTTAATTTAGAATCGCTGATTTCTCTGGACAAATTCCGAGAAGAAATTGTTCAACATCGCGATCACCCCAGACAACATGTCGCGTGCGTGTCACTCTGAACTCACGTGATAAAATACGGCATCTTGATTGGTTACTACTCGTGTTGTCATGACGTGAAAAGCAGTAGTAAACACTGAATATGTTAATGAACTGCCATATATGGAACAATTGTCTTTCTGATTGGTTAACTTTACACGCCTCCTAAATGAATATAGTAGTCGTAGTAAATGATTCATTGATAACTCTGAAAGTGGGCGTGACCAGCTTCATTTTGACACCAAATTCAAGATGTTTCAAATCAAAATGGCCTCGCAAGACGAGGTTGAAATATCAGTAATTTGATACTGATATGGTCTACGATAGATCAAAATTGACTGCCCCGCGTCACATGTCACGTGAGCCTATATTTGTTGAAAAATGAAAGAGATAGTGACACTTTTTAATCTTAAGTTTATACCAATATTACAAACACATATCTATTTTTTTCATTATATATTTATTTCTTCATAATACATACATTTGTTTTATAATACATTGATTTATTTTTGCAAAACCTTTGCTATTAGATCTTTAAGGTACTCCAGACACTTCGTATTTATAATCTATGGCCACACTCAGTGGCCATAGAATATGGTAATGTACAAATATTTGATTTTTAGAAAATACTTACTTTGCTTATACATTCATATTTTACAACCAAAACATTTGTTTATCTTTGATTGCTTGTGATTTGGCTATTAAATGTCGAGCAATTTTTCAAAATCAAAAAACAAGTGAAAATTATTTTGAAAACTCTACTCACTATTTCAGCCTGCAAGTTGGACATTTGTACTTGGATACCACATCTTTACAAACCTCGCACTTCAAAGTTTCTTTTCCTAGAGTCATTGTGTAATCTTATTGAGTATTTCTACATTTATCACAATTACTACACGAAACGAATCTCACATGTTTTTAACCCGGAAGTGACCAAAGAGCACTTTTTTCAACCACATGCGAGTTAGAAAATTATTCATTTAATACTATTGCATAGTCCTTCTAAAAGTCACGAAAGTGGGAGAATATGACAATATAATGATGAAATATATTGCCATACCATATCTGTGATAAATACAACTGTAAAAAGATAGAAACAGTATGATAAATGTTGGCGGAGTAAAACATCGTCTGTACAAAATAGTTCCTCCTCAAAAGTAGGTCAAATTAATCAAACATCTAGGAGCTGATTTAAAGCAATTAAGAAAATAAGAATAACCAAATGATAATTGATTTATCAAAATCAAATTTAATGCTAATTTACGAGTATGAAAACAGGTGTTTAATACTTAAAACTCATATTAAACGATGCGAATGATTTTTAGTATTCACTCCGTGCCAGTTCTAGTAAACAAAACATGGAGTGCGAAGATTCAAAATTCGGTTTCAAAACTGATAAGAATGCATCACCAAAAGAGCTGATCGGGATTCTTATACCCAGTACAGATGGAGACAGATACCTTATGAACAAACTGGACGACAGGGGTTGGTGGTTGCCGCATTGTAAATGCAACACTTCACATACTTTGAAAGTCACTGCAAATAATTTTGCAGAAAAGGTGAATTTATTTTCAATTGGAATTTTATTTATTTATTTCAATCACAGGCCAAGTAAATGCATCAGACTAGCCGGGATTAACCAAGGGGGTTCTATTTATCCTGGCAGGGTGTTTGTTCCAAGCCTGTCAACTTGGGAACACCTAACATGGGTGACTTATAAATTGAACACCTTCCTTCAAATTGTGGACACCTTGGTCCAAAACTGAACACCTTAGTCAAAATATCGGACACCTCAATTTTTCCTGCTCCCTATCGCTCGAGTTGAAAATTTGGTAGGGGCAAATAATTTCAAAACAAATGCATGACATATGCACAAATTTCAAAGCAAATGCGTGACAAATACGGAATTCCCATGAAAATTCTGAACAAAGTGCATTAAAAAATTCTCCATCTAAAATGTCCCTCGACTTTTTGGCAATTAAAAGTCTCTGCCTGCATTTAGGCTAGTAGTCATATATTGTCATGTGCATAATTTTGAAAGCATATCCTAATTATTTCACAAACCCTTTGTTGATTCTGCCATAGTTTCCAATTTGTGAACAGCATTTAGCCTTTTTAATTGGGAACTTTTTTGAAATTTCCAAAATGGCTGCCATGTGATTCCAGAATTAACATGAGTGTGACGTGACATCACAGTTGCTCGTTCCTAGGTAACAACAAGATCACAATTGCTCGTTTCTAGATAGCAACAAGATTTTTGATAAAATGGCACAGAATCACCCTGATTAACACCCTTAAAATCTGATTTTCAAAGAATATATTTGGAGAAACAATAAAAGGTAAGTGGAATAAATTAGAAGATGGTTTCAAGTTACCACAGAAGTCAATTTGAAACTCAAGAATGCTTTCTTTGACTCATAATCACAAAAAAGTCGAGTGACATTTTAGATGGAGAATTTCTTAGTTTTTCTTCGGCGTTCATTTTTTTGATGTATTGGCATTCACTTTTTGATGTATCAGCGTTCATTTTTTCATGTTCTTCTACAGAAATATTTTTGCTCAACAATTATCAGGTTTAAATGCGTATTTGCGTGACATATTCTGTCACACTAAAAATGCTGGCATGACTTCATTTTCTTCAGCAAATAAGTGACAAATACGCAAATTGCGGGACAGTTGGACAGCCTGTTGTTTAAAACCAATGGGGAGGGGACTCGAGGAAAGAGTGGGAGGGGTCTGAACAATGGCAACTCCTCATACTTCATACATAAGCATTGTCTTGGGTTTTCAAAATTAATTAATTTGGAGGAAGGTTTTCAAAGAAATGCTTCCTGTACACATTCCAAAGAAAATCTTGTTTTGTGCTTTTCATGTATGATATTAAGAAATAACCAAAAAATAAGAACATGATTACTGTATCTGCTTACATGTCAAAAATGAGACTAAACATTCCCCCACAAATTATATATTAAATATTAACAAATCTTTTAGCTGACAGACTTTGGAATGTGTTCCTACCACATTTTCTGACGCCCATTCACTACAATATTAAAAATACCTTTGAACTGAGTATGCATGTTCTCATTTTTGTTTCAACAGGTTACTGGAGCAACCTGTCAATTAAAGGGAATCTTGCGGTTAGATAAACAAATGGGAGGCGATTGCAATCAAACACAGATCTTCTTTATGACTGAACCTGTTGCATCAGAGACAATAAAGGTAAGAAATGCATTTCTTCTTCGATATTGACAAAGCCCATGGTACAAAAGGCTAAACATTAGGATCTTTTTATAACTGAAAAGGACTGGAAGGCAAGGAGGTTAGAACCAATGTCATGCCTATTTTCTTTTAAATTTCAGTTTCAACTTTATTTCCAGATAAACTATTAATTAAAAGACAATGTGGCAAAATTCTGAAAAAGTCAGACTTACATAGATCTCATTTCTTATGTTATAAAAGATTTTTGCATCTTCCTTGTAAATCCACAAGAACTACTCTGTGCTCTCCCCAGGATTTTCTGGGTGGATAATTTTGCTATCTTTTAAAAAGAAAATTTTCAAATTTTATAATTTTTTATGCAATATGGTGACATATTGTTGTATTCTCAATTCTTTTGTGACAGCGTTTTGGCAAATTGACCATTTTTTCAAAATCATCTACAAGTTCTCAGAAGATCAAATCTGACTTAGAATTCAACACATAATATTAAGAGCAACAAGGTGGTGACAATTTGTCATATTATGTCTTACTTATAAATGACAAATTTATTTCTATTTTTTATTTATTTTTTATTCTTCTTTATCAATTTTAGTACATACAAAATACACATACAAAGACTGCCAAAGTTTAAAAACATTGGTGGCAGCGGCAATGACAATGTGTGGTTTATTTTGTGTTGCAGGATCTAGAGGCATTCAGGTGGTTCACAATAGAAGAACTGAAACTAATTACAGTCTTGGATGAGCACATACTTGGTCCTGAACCTTATGAACTCGCAGAACAAGCCAAGAATAGTGAGAATGTTTTAATATTTTCAGCTTCGAATTAAAGGAAAGTTTATTTAGAGTATTTCTGAACCATCCTTAATATAATGTAAGATATTGTCAAATCAGAATTAATGGGAGAGTACGACATAGAATTGAATTGTGAAAACTAAAGGTTTAACAGTAGAATCATTTTTGGCTCACCCTGTAAATGTCAGTACTAGTAACCTATTTCAAACTCAGGTTAAATGTGAAAAATTAAAAATGTATATAATATGCCAGCTGATTTGCTTTAATTTTAGATGAAGTGCATCCACTGAACATGTTACATGATCAAATCCCTGATTTAATTGACACAAAGCAGGTAGATTCTTCCCAGAGTTCCATGCAAGAACTACTGCTACGGGCTGCAAAACTAGGGAAAAAAGGTGATAGTCTGATATTTTTACTTCCAGGGACATTTGGTGGTATGAAAATCAAGTCTACAGTAAAACCTGTCTTAGTGACTACCTCTCATTAATGAACACCTGTCTCTAGTAGACACCCTTCCTCCGACATACTCAACTGACTTCTGTATAAATTACCCTCTCCATAGGGAACACCTACCAACACTGAACTTTTTTTCTTGGCAAAAAATGTTCAATATACACAGGTTTTACTGTATTTGTTTTAGGCATGCTGGGTAAATTTTTATGGCAGGCATTTTTGATTTTTTCGCGATATTGTTCATCATGTGCCTAGTTATACTATTGTCTCTAGGGGTCAGACGCAAAATTACACTCTGCAGGGGCGGATCTGGGAATCAACAAAAAAAATTTGGGCCCCTAAAACCCCAAAGTGGGCCCAATATTTGAAATTTTGAGGCCCATTTTCTTCCAAATTTGGCCTGAAATTAAAAAATAAGGCCTTAAAAGGCCCAGTAATGACCAAAAAGGCCCACTTTTTGGGGCCTCAAGGCCTTTTTTGGCCCAATTTTTTTTCTGGGCCCAATTTTTTTTTCTGGGCCCACCCGAGGGGGGGGGGGGGGCCCGGAATCCGCCAGTGCTCTGACACTGTAAATCAAGAACTGGATGGTTCTACACAAGTTCTAAATTTTTATGTACAAAAGCAAAATAATGGTAGAAATAGTACTCAAGCCATCCTCCTAAGCAGGTATCCAGAATCTGTACCTCCTTCTTCCCCCTGCTATAACCAATTTGGGGCGCCCGTTTTAACTGAATCACGTGATCTAACTATGCGCAGTGACTTACACATGATTTCTGTCGCAGTGTTGCGACAGCCAATCAGATTGCGAGTTCTTAATCAGGGAAATGCTAACTGCTTATCGCAGGAGGTAAAAAGAAAGAATATATTCTGGATTTTGAAGCCCTGTGATCGGAGGTTGTACTCAAGCCTAATAGTGAAATTATATGCAATGGTACAATAAAATATCAGACAGATTCTGAGCCCATTTACCATCATAGAGTCAGAATCCCCGGATGCCCTGAAAAATGTCCTTGGAATAGCAGTGTACATATGTATTGAGGAGTAATTTAAACACAATTAATGACTAACATGATGAAGACACCTGATATACCTGATACCTGATATAGCCATGCTCATGTTGTTGAACTTACATTTCAGAACAAGAAAAGATATACAGTCAGTACACAGACGCCTGCTACCCAAGTTCAATGATGAATGAAACTTCCTTCAATAAATACATTGTGAAAAAGGGGTTTAAAGGAGATAATGATAGTCTGAAGTCTGCTTTTAGGTATTTCCTTTTTACTTTTAGTTTCTATTTCTTTTAGTGTCAGTTTGTGTTGTAAAAGTCAGTTTGAGCTCTAATGAGTTCCAAAGGAGACAAAATGGATATGTTTTCAATAGTCTAAGAACTTGATGATTTCATATATGTGTCCAGCATAAAGCACTCTTCCTTTACTTAATCTGGAATTAATCTCAATTGCTTTGAAATGAAAAGACAGATTTCATTTAACTTAAGTGCATGAAATCATAATTTTTGTCCATTTTCTGAAAAATGCACATTTAACGCATGGAATGTATACCCATATTGATCTTCACTCTTAAACTTATTTCCAGGGCATTTGATCGCCATGATCGTAAACTACTCAGTTTCCATGACATTTTACAAGGTTTGGGTTGTATGGAACCTGCAACTCAACATGGAGGAACCCCAGCTGAAATAAGATGTAGATATATTTTCCGTTACTATGACAACAATAAAGATGGCATCCTGCAATTTACAGAATTCAAGTAAGTTACACAATGCAACCATGGCATTCATACTATAAATTTAGCTGCTTATAAACTGCTTATGATAATTGAATTATTTTGAACTTAAGTTTTTGGACACATGTATAACTAAATTAGACCTACCACCACATATCTCGGTGGCATTTTCAGAAAATTCTCAATTATCTCAATAAAATTTCAAAAATATTTTGGCTTCATTTTCAGACAATTGGTTAGAGATATTAGAAGGCTGAAAAACCTTCCCATTGATGAGGAATCAGTTGATAAAGATGCCGTTGCAAGTGCCAAGTAATGACAACATCTATTTTATTAAGATTGATTGGCTCATTTTCAACATTTGTTATTGAACTGTATGTAATAATTCCAAAGTAATAATTGGAAAATTTTTCACAGTTTCCAATAATTAGTTTCCCCATATTTTTATTCAACATGTTCTTTTCCAATCCATAAGTTATTTTCCACATGTGTTATTACTCGTCATGTGTTAATTTCCACTTATTTTCATTCTGCATGTTATTTTGCAGAGTGTTTGCTGTTGAAGCAAAAGATAACCTTCCCCTGGCAGACTTCCTTGCTGCAGTGGGCCAGTTAAAGTTTAGGGGAACATCTCTACTCTTCAGACTACCTCATTCTTGTGTCAGATCTGACCATGTGTAAGTATTAAAAAATATGCTGTGTTAGATAGAGTAGGGTCCATTTTGTAAATTAAAAGCACTGGTACTCAACTTGATTACACTGGTTAACCAAAGTGAGGTTAAATCGACAATTCTACTGTCTTCTGAACTATTTGTTCACAAACATACTGTAGTTACATAGGGTTGGTATATATTTTCGGATCTTTTAAGAAACCTGCTTCACCTCAGAATGGCTCTCCCATTTCTTCTCCCAATAGCTCACCCACAAGTTCACCCCCTCATAGACCTGCTAAACGATTCAAGACATCCCCCTATTCAATCATGCTTGTGTTTTTCAGATCTTCTAAGAAACCAGCTTCACCTCAGAATGGCTCTCCCAATTCTTCTCCCAATAGCTCACCCACAAGTTCACCCCCTCATAGACCTGCTAAACGATTCAAGACATCCCCCTATTCAATCATGCTTGTGTTTTTCAGATCTTCTAAGAAACCAGCTTCACCTCAGAATGGCTCTCCCAATAGCTCACCCACAAGTTCACCCCCTCATAGACCTGCTAAACGATTCAAGACATCCCCCTATTCAATCATGCTTGTGTTTTTCAGATCTTCTAAGAAACCAGCTTCACCTCAGAATGGCTCTCCCAATTCTTCTCCCAATAGCTCACCCACAAGTTCACCCCCTCATAGACCTGCTAAACGATTCAAGACATCCCCCTTGGACATTGACATCTCACAGTTCAATACAACAGGTAAGTTAAGGTGGGATCTAGTCAGTCAAATTGTTGGCTGTCAAGAGTGTACATCTACTGGTATGTTAAGGTGTGACCCTTTCTGTCAAATTGCTGCTTCAGGATGCATATATTTTTCACATTAAACATAAAATACCATCTTTCATATTTTAACATCCAAGCCAATTATCATAGGCCTATTGTTTGACATTTTTGCATGTATGCAATATTGTTTCACATTTATTTACATGTAAGCCATATTGCTTTCATTTTGACATTTTAGCCATATTGTTTCACATTTTAACATGTTTCACATTTTACCACATATGTAATATTGTTTCACATTTTAGAGGATGCCTTTGAGGACTTTATCTTCAAGTCACCAGAGCCTTCCCCCTCCCCCTCTGCATCCTCACATCGGATATCATTTGAAAAATATGAGCTAGCAACACATACGGTGAAAGTCAGGCGAACAGGCACATTGTCTGATGTCATGGCAATATGGGACCTCCAAGGTAAGAATATGGGACCTCCAAAGGTAAGAAATCTTAGGGGGTAGAGTTTTTCAAAATATATTGGTGACATAGTTAATCCACAGCCGCTTTGGCAGGTGTAATAAATGTAACAAATAGTTAGGTGGTGACATTTTGCTTATTAATGCCTTGTCTGATATTTTAGTATGTAAAAATTATTTTCATATAAGTTAAAAGAAACGAACAGGTTGATATTGTGTTATCAATTATATGCAGGCCTTTGTCCATAATCTTGTTTGTAATCTAACCTGTAGTTAAGTGTTACGTATCACTCTCTCTTTTAGGTACAGCTGCTGTAAGTGCTGGAGGAGTAGGTCCTCTAGATCTGGAGGGAGATAAGACAAGGTTTCAGCGAATGCCCTCAGTCGACTCCTTTAATCAGGTACACATGAACAATAAAACACATTTGTGAAACACCTCTGAGTATGTGGAACACCTAGTTAAGTATGTAATATGATTGGAACGGAACACCTTTATAAGTGAAAACTTTTCCAAAGTCACGTTTCTCATCAACACTTTTGAAATGAATATCTCTATGATGAACATCTTCCCAAGTGGAAAACTACTTCAAAAGCATTCCACTTCAAAGGCATTCACTTTGTTTACAGTTGTTTGATTCCACCCTCTCTATGGTGGATGTAAAGCTACAGTTAATTTAGCCAGAAATTGAACTCATTGTTATTTAATGCATCTGTAAATTAATAATAATTGACCCTATCATATCATTTTAGAAAGTCATTTGACATGTTTAATTTTTTAAGAATTATTTTTAAATTATTCCAATATTGCATTTTTCAATAACTTGTCATGTCTACTTTACATTTTTAATTACTATGTACAGATTGAAATAGAATTGTTCAGTCTCCTATGTAAAAATGTTCTATAAATCTATACTGTGTATCTTAGTTTATGTTTTGTGTTCGCAGCGGTCCCATCCCAATGAGATGTTGACAGGGCTGCGATACTTTGAAAGACCTATCAAAGGGGCCAATGGTACATTAACAAAGGTATGTTATACAGTTTGTATGTTATTCTTATTGTTCCGAGTCTCTTGCTTTTTATCTTGCATAGGGGAGCTAGAGGGGGCAACGGTTGTATATAATGTTAGTTTTTTATTAAATCACTCGCAAAATTCATAATAACCGCTTTAATGAGTTAATTACTAAACAAGTGGATAACCTGAACAATCCAGTAAACATGCAGTTGTTTTAATATGCCCTTCATATTTTTGATAGGAGCCATTTGACTGGGGCCAGGTTGATAAAGCAGCATTAGCCAAATGTCTGCTTGCTCTATGTAGGGAGGTTAAAGAGATCCTTTCATCGGAATCTAGGCTTTTAAGACTAAAGTCTCCTACTTATATTCTAGGTAAGTGTTTCAGGTTAGACTTATGGATACATTTCTTTTTTAAAAAATTACAACCTATCATGATAAGGCACTCAGAAAGACTGAAAAATAATGCAAAATAAAAATAAAAGGGTATATTAGCTTTTAACCTATCAGATTGTTGGATTTGAAATTATGCGCATGATTAATTACAGGTGACATCCATGGGAACTATAGAGATCTTGTATGCTTTGAGAAGTCTCTTTGGCGTATGGGTCCCCTCATTACTCCAGCCAATTTCCTCTTTCTGGGTGACTATGTAGACCGAGGAGAGAGTGGTATAGAGGTAAGTGTCAGTCTTTAGATTTATGTACAATCCAAATATTTCAACCTTTCAGACTGTAAGAATAAATGTTATGTTCTAAAACATTCAATGTTACAGAATTTTTTTATGTGTTTTACATAGACTGTGAACATTATTTTTTTTTATAAAAGTATAATGATTGTTCTCGCCACTTAAGTTTTGCCTCTTCTTTTTAAATTTGCCTCCTATTTTGGAATTGGGCTATGTTATTGTATTGATGCAACATTATTTAAGTCTTATGTTTAACTATTTCAGGTTGTTGCCTATTTGTTTGCTCAGAAGATTCTTGCCCCGAAAAAGTTTTTCCTCCTCAGGGGTAACCATGAACTAAGAGCCGTCCAAAAGATGTTTTCATTTGAAACGTAAGTAGTTTGATTTCACTCATTTAAAAGAAAGATTCATATAAATGTAAACGTATAGACAGTGGTAATTACAATAAGTACTTGGGTCTTTGTAATAATTCAAGTGAAATGGAATTCAAATTTGAAATAGAAATCAATATGAAAACATACAAAATCTTTGTGTATCATATCTTGGTAAATCTCCAGGGGTCGGTGTTTGGAACTGTCTTTACTTACAATTTGGTCGCAAGTCATTGTTCATCAAAAAATAGACAATAGTTTTCTCAGTATTGTAGATTACGATTGTACCAAAAACGAACAGCTATGTAACATACTTTCAAAAGTAAATATGCAGTATTTTGAATGTCAAATCCCTTATGTAATTAGTAATATCTCTTAGTTGCTCTTATTGCAGTGAATGTCTCGAGAAGTTTGGAGACAACATAGGATCTCAGATATGGGAAGCTATAAATGATTGCTTCGATGTCATGCCACTAGCCGCTACTGTAGATTATAAGGTATGGTATTGTAATATTTTTGAAACATTTTGAACCATGAATAATCTCTGCTCAAATTACTATCCCACTGAACAAAGACTTTGGTTTGGTTTGGTTTGGTTTGGTGGGATTTGCTATGCTGTGGAGTTGGTGTTTTCTAGTTTTTTTTCAATAATTGGGCATATAGCGAGATCAATAGTGCAAGAAAACAGGCAAACAGTTCATTCATGGAACGAAGCATGAAACTTTCCACATATCATCAGAATACCATTCCCTTTGATTTAAGAGCCAGAGCCATTTTTGTGGTCCACTAGAATGGTCAAAAAATAGTAAGAACCCCCTCCCACCAAATCCCATGGGGGGTGGGGAGATGTAGGAATATTTTTTTCATAAAAAATTTCTTTGAATATGGTCATACTACAGTTTTAGTGTGCTATTTTCATGGTAAAGAAATTTTGCAAACATAACAAGATGATTTATCATTGATTTCCATCATTGTTAAAGACTAATCATGGGCGACGCCCACTTTTCGTACCTTGAACATTTAGGTTATTAAATCTCTATCATGGGTTGAACAAATGAATGTAATTCAGTTTTCTGGATAACACCAGATACCTTTTTGATGTTAGGTGCTATAATTAATTGTAGCATTTGTTAAAGGCTTACACCATATCACAACCCTGTTTAGAAGAAGAAAGCAAGCAACAAATGTCCCAGATCTACAACATGTATCCACTATTCTATGTACATGTATGTCGAGTCTCTATTTTCTCCTGAAGAGAACCTATGCTACAGATACAAATTTCCAGAATTTAGATGATGATGTGCTTAAACAGTTTGATGAATGGTGTGCTGACCCAGTGCCTAAACAGTTTGATGAATGGTGTGCTGACCAACAGAATGTACCAGTACCAGTGAACATTTAAGCTATTTAACCTCTTTCATGGTTTGAACCGGAACCAGAAGGGCCGCCACAGTCACAGCCTGCAGTCTCTAAATTCTCAAGAGAGCCTATACTACATACACAGCTGTCCAGAATCTAGATAATGAAGTGAGAAACAGTTTGATGAATGGTGTGCTGACCAACAGAATGTACCAGTCTTTAAGTTTTGGTTTCAGATTATTTGAATTGAAATACTGTGCCATAACTAAGTGTGGGCTATCAGAGAGGGAAATTTCCCTCTTTATCTCCAGTCAATGAGCAATCTTATCACCTGGTTTTTTGTTTTTTGACCTTGACAATATGTTTGCTGAGTACCAGTTCAGTATATCATCAGAACTCAAAGTTCAAAAATGGATAGCTTTTGGAAAAGTAAAAAATTAGAGATATCTCACTTCCCATGAAATTGCAGCTGCCCTTTGACATGGTAGGAAGGACTATGTGTCACCATCATCCCACCATTAGTTGCATAAGTTGGTTCCAGACAATTATACCTATGTCAGTCCTCGCTTCACCCTCACAATTGAGTTGGGAATCCATTACTACAAAGGCTGGGAAAATAATTTGGGTGCCAGTGTGGAAAACATTGCCCAAGCTCCAGATGCATGCCAAATGCTAGTAAAATGCAGCTGCAAACAACAGTGTTCAACAAAAAGATGCAAGTGCTTTTTTGTCATTCTAGTGAACCACAAAAATGGCTCTGGCTCTTAAATCGAAGGGAATGGTGTCCAGGGGGTCATTAACAGAACTTTCGCAAAGTTACGAATTCGTAATTCGCAACTTTATGAAATTCGTAATTATTTAAAAAGTTACGAATGACTTACGAATTCGTAAAGTTACGAATCGGCCATTAACAGAACACTTTCGTAAGTCATTCATAAGTTTTATCGTTCGTAAGCGAATTTCAAATTGTTACGTCATCTTATATCATTATTTAGCACAAATAAAAATATGATGTCATTTGATATCATTGCGCGCTGTGATTAAACCTGACTCGGCGATTTCAAAGATTCCCAGCTCAGGAACATATTTGCTTATCATGTGAGAATAGGTGGATATTTTAGCTTGAAACTTAGCATGCATATAAAGAACAATTTCTTTTTGCCAACCTGTATCCCTTACATAAGAACTGGATGAGAAATATGCCATTCGCAAAGTTATGAAAGGGTCTGAGGTGCTATTAAAGTTACGAACGAAAGCACATGTGATGTCATTTTTTCGTAACTTTGCGAATCGTTCGTAACTTTACGAAAGTTCTGTTAATGCACATTTACCAAATTTGTAAAATTAACAATTGACTTGCGAAATCGTAACTTTGCGAAAGTTCTGTTAATGACCCCCTGATGATATCTGAAAAATTGCAAATGAGGAGGAGAGTATTTTTTTGCTGATTTTTTTTGAATATGATCTATATTCATTTTTAGTATGTTATTTTCAGTGTATAAAAATAATTTTCAAGATTGCATCCGTATTTCTCATGGATATTCATTATTAAAGCCTGACCAAAGGCGACGCCCACTTTATCAACATGTTAATATACAAGTTAATGAGTCTTCTATTATGAATAGGAAAATTACCTAATAATAAAATTGATAAGATTAAGTCAGTTATTTATGTTAAGATGATGAATTCTTTAAGTAAGTCAATTAAAAGGCCACATCCCTTTTAGATATAAAGATATAATAATATATAATTCATAATTAATGATACATTATTTTGGCTTTTAATGAGAGCACTTTGACTAATTGATACAAGTTACCTTATTAGGTATCTTAACTGCAGTTCAAATATCATCAATTATCATTATCACTAAGCTATGTGTCATGTCCATTACAATCCCTGCATTTTACTAGCATTTGGCTTGCATCTGAAGCTTGGGGCAATGTTTTCTACTCTGGCACCCAAATCATTTTCCCAGCCTTTGCTGGTGTAGTGTCTGAACCTGTGGGAGCATGAGATAAGGGGAGAACATAGTCCTACCATGTCAAAGGGCAGCTGCAATTTCATGGGAAGTGAGATATTTCTAATTTTTTTCCAAAAGCTATCCATTTTTGAACTTTGAGTTCTGATGATATACTGAACTGGTACTCAGCAAGCATATTGATAAGGTCAAAAAACGAAAAACCAGGTGACAAGCTTGCTAATTGACTGGAGATAAAGAGGGAAATTTCCCTCTCCAATAGCCTACACTTAGTTAAGGCACAGTATTTCGATTCAAATAATCTGAAACCAAAACTTAAAGACTGGTACATTCTGTTGGTCAGCACACCTTTCATCAAACTGTTTATCACTTCATTATCTAGATTCTGGACAGCTGTATATGTAGTATAGGCTCTCTTGAGAATTAAGAGACTGCAGGCTGTGACTGTGGGGGCCCTTCTGGTTCCGGTTCAAACCATGAAAGAGGTTTAATAGCCTAAATGTTCAGCATATGAAAAGTGGGCGTCGCCCATGACTAGTCTTTAACAACTATGAAAATCAAAGAGAAACCATCTGGAAATAAAGAGGAAAATTCTCCTGTCCTATAGCCCTCACATAGTCAAGGCACAGTATTTCAATTTGAATAAGCAGAAACCAAAGCTTGAAGACTGGTACATTCTGTTGGTCAGCACGGCATTCATCAAACTGTTTAGGCACTTGGTCAGCACACCATTCATCAAACTGTTTAAGCACATTATCATCTAAGTTCTGGACAGTTGTATCTGTAGCATAGGTTCTCTTCAGGAGAAAATAGAGACTCATACATGTACATAGAATATTGGATACATGTTGTAGATCTGGGACATTTGTTGCTTGCTTTCTTCTTCTAAACAGGGGTGTGATATGGTCTAAGCCTTTAAGAAGTCAAATGCTACGATTAATTATAGCACCTTACATCAAAAAGGTATCTGGTGTTATCCAGAAAACTGAATTTCATTCATTTGTTCAACCCATGATAGAGATTTAATAACCTAAATGTTCAAGGTATGAAAAGTGGGCGTCGCCCATGATTAGTCTTTAACAATGATGAAAATCGATGATAAATCATCTTGTTATGTTTGCAAAATTTCTTTACCATGAAAATAGCACTCTAAAACTGTAGTATGACCATATTCAAAGAATTTTTTTATGAAAAAAATATTTCGATATCTCCCCACCCCCATGGGATTTGGTGGGAGGGGGTTCTTACTATTTTTTGATCATTCTAGTAGACCACAAAAATGGCTCTGGCTCTTAAATCAAAGGGAATGGTATTCTGATGATATGTGGAAAGTTTCACGCTTCGTTCCCTGAATGAACTATTTTTGCACTATTGATCTCGCTAATAATAAGATTGGGTTAGTGTAATAATGTTTTGAACCAATGAGCTACATGTTCCTGTAAATGAGGCAAATTATTCAAACTAAATAGCTCTACTTATTAATAGCGCAGTCAGATGTCCAGAAATGAGCCCTTTATAGTTCGACTTTTTCAGGAAAGCAACAAACTTGGCACAGTTGTAGAAACACTTGATCTGAGTGGAAAATGATTTCGGGGCAAGTGATCTGGAGTGGTCTTCATGGATTTTTTAGTCTCTGACCCCAACCCCTATCAGGCGGGGAGGGGGTACATTATAAAAAATAAATAAAAATGGTTTTGAAGTAAATTTTTTTAAATGACTTCATTTGGTGATTGCTCTGAGCCTTGAAATTGAGACAAACCGATTGTAGAAGTGGTGTTTAGTGAGGAAAATACATTTTGACCCAATTATCTAGCGTGAATTCATATTTTAAAGGGTCAAATATGGGACATCAAGTACTGTATTTCAAGAATGTGATGTCTGATCATGTTGGAAAAAATCATACTAATAGGCGTATAGGTGTTCATCACAAATATAGAATATGGCTTGGGTAGCTCACATATTTTTTGAGATAAAAATTATCGAAAATTGAATTTTTAAGCCCTTGCGGCCTAGGGGTAACCTTATTCTACCTTAATAATTTTTAAGATATGCAATGTATGAGTCTCATATGAGCTCAAAATGGTGCATTGAGTCTTGTTTTATCATATTATTCCTAATTGGATTGAAAAATGATTGGAACTTTTCAAAAAAAAAAAAATTTCATTATCGCTTCTGAAGGGCCAGGGGTAACCATATTTTACCTTGATAACTTTCAAGGTTTGTAATATATGTATCTCAAATAAGCTCAAGATGGTGCATATAGTTCTGTTTAATCATAATACCTCCAATAAGATTTAGAAAATGATTGGACATTTCTTAAAATTTGAAATTTTCATTTTAGCTTATGATGGCCTGGGGGGGGGGGGGCTTATTTAATCTTGAACTTTTCTTAATTATGAGACGTATGCATCTCAAATGAGCTTAAAATTGTGTCATATACTCTTGTTTTGTCATATTATTCCTTAGGAGATGTAAAAAATAATGGAAATTTGAAAAATGACATCTTTAGCTTTTGACAGGTCAGAGGTGATTTTATCGTATATTACCATTATATAGAAGCAAAGGATGGAGTGAGTTTAGCAGCCCCGTCCCCATGACCAATGCCATTGGCAGCTTGGGTCTTAAAGCATTTATGACCCAAGCTGCAATAAACCATGCTGACCTATTCTCAACCAATCAGCCAGCTTAAATGAACAAGTGCTAAATGCGTGTACATTAATGATGCGATTTCGTCAGAGAAAATGACCATATAGAAAGTCGTCCTTATTTCGACAACAAACTCTGATTAGCGCAGTGAGTTCAGAGATTTATTGAAAACTGATAGAGTGAAGACGAAGCTCTCTTTTGAGAAGGAAAGTCGAATGAATGCAAAGGGTAGTAAGTCCAGTCACCTTAGCCTGATGGGGGGGGGGGGGGGTTAAGGTGAGCTGCTTCTGTCAAGGATTCTGTCAGTGAATATTGACAGTCAATGATTGGGCACAAGAATGCCAAATGTTATTAATTTTCAAGATAAAATGATCTCAAAATGGGGAAAATAGTCTGTTTTTCACTTTATTCCTACTGAGATAATGATTAACAACAATTAGAAAACTCAGTGACACATTTAAATCTCAATCCATTCATTCCATTTTTCCATAGCAGTAGAATACAGATGTAACATCACATCCAATGATTGTATGAAAAATGGGGAGGGTTAAACTTTGGCCATGGGCAGGTAGATATTGATAGGATTTCTCCCTTACCATATGCTATCCAAATTGACTTTTTCATTTTTTAACATCACATATATGCCAGGATAACCACATCAGAATTAAATGTAAGGAGTATTATTCTTTCTCTTGAAGGCCATGATTGAAGCAGTCTTACTGAAAATATTGAGAAATATCCTTGAAGCTGCTTCTTCTTAAGAGCAAGGGCAGAACCTCACTGTTGGGCTAAAACATTGCATTGCCTCCTTAATTTATGTGGTCACTATCTTCTTTCCATCCATTTCAAGGGTTTCAGTTTCCTCCTTAGACTATCCTTGTTCCAGTTCCACAAGTCTCTCTAGTGCTGTTTTAAAGGTGCAACAATTAGTGCAAAGGGGCCATTCAACGATCATGGACCAGTGTCAAAATATATTCAAGTTTGGATATTTCATCAAGACTAACATATATGTTTATTTTTTTCCAAAGAAACCCCCTGGATGAACATTATTTCAACTGATTCCTCTTGAAATGTTTTGGATCTTAAAAATCTATAAGTGGGCCTCCCTTTATAGAAGCTTTGAACTGAATTTACACTTCTTAATGCTAAAATTGATAGTTTATCCATACATTTTAAGAAAATAGGTATGTCAAAGAAGATGTTGAGCCAAATATTACCCTGATAGCTCAGAAAAAGTAAAAAAATTGAATCTTCTACAGACCTTGTTGCCCCTTTAAGCTAGTGTCCTGGTAAACATTCCAGCTGACATCAAGGCAATGAACTATTTGCAGACTTTTACTGGGTAATATCATATTTGCATAATCACCCAATTTTCTTTATATATCACTGTTAGCATGTTTAACTATACATGCCCTGTCTATTATTTTGGCATCTACTATGTAGCTTAGTCATTCAACCTTGATGTTAATGAGCATAAATACAAACAGCACAAAACTGGAACAGTGAGGAAAGTATATCCTACTAATTTTCTTCTGTGGAATTGGCAAGATTTCCTAAGATAGTTGGAACAAGAGGGAGCTGTTTTCCTTCCAGGCATTAAAACTGAAACCCTGGAGGAAGATGGCAAGAAGATTGTGACCTCACAATGAGGTAATGCAATATCTTAGCCCGATAGTGAAGTATCTGCCATCACCATTCGCTCGTATGAAGAAGCATGCCAAAGACTGCTTCTGTCATGACCTAATAAGAATCATAGTCAATACAGTTGATTTTGGTGTGGTTTAAACTGGCAGTAACTTGTGCTGAAAATGTCAATTTGGATTGCATATGGCCTATGGTGAGGGGAAATTCCTCTAGAATGTACGACCTGTCTTTGATATTTCAAGGCCACTTGGCCATGAACGAAGTTTAGCCCTTACCATTTTTCATACAATCTCTAGATGCATTCTGCTACTACTCTTAGTCAACTGATTTGCAGGAATAGAAGGTGTACCCAGAGGTTACGCAAGTGTTCTAAAGCTTTAAATCTTTTTTGATACCCTAAAATTAGAAGACTAGAGTCCTTATTCATTCTGATGCATTCTTAACCACAGTTTCTATCACCACATGAATGTGGCTGGCCTACTCCCACTGCTGATACTGAGGCCACAACATAAAATGTAGGTCATGGGGTAGATACCTGTGTCAAGAGAACAGATGCAAATGTTTGAAAGCAGATCTGATTTGCTCTGAGCTATGTAGCTGTAGGGGAGACTGTCAGAATCCATAAATTGTGACTCCTTTGATTAGGTTTTATAGATTTGGATTATATACTCAAATGATAATATACAGAATCTTAACAATGCTACTACTCGTGCTAGTATGAACTGGACTTATCAAACATTTTCACATCTTAGAAAATGTTCTATAAAACTAGATAGTATTGCCATTGGTACTAGAAAGGAATAAATGGCTGTTGAGGTTCAATTTTTATAACTGTTAATCATAATTGTATATCTCAGTAGGAATAATATGACAAAACTAGACTATATTCACTATTTTGAGCTCATTTGAGTAGACAATATGATATATCTTTGTTTAAATTTTTAAGGTAAAATTAGGTCATTCCTGACCTATCATAAACTACACTACCAATCTCAAATTGCATCAAACAGCATAGTTTCATAAATAGTGCTGTAAAAACAGTACTGTACACAGCTGTTTTCTAAAACAGTACTGAGCTGTAAAAACAGTACTGTACTACGCTGTCCAAAACTGATGGTGTTAGAATAGCATTGTACATTGCTATATAGTGCAGTACTCTGACTGCACTGTTCAGTACTGTTTACAGCACTGCAAGAAGATGTTGCGGATTGGGGGTGTAATATGAAAATGTAATTTTCTTATAATTTCCAATCATTTTTTCGCTCCTTGGGAATGATATGATAAAACAGGACTAAATATACCATCTTAAGCTCATTTGAGGTGACTATGTCTCATATTTAGAAAATTATTAAGGTAAAATAAGGTTACCCCAGGGCCATCAAGAGCTTAAGTGAAAATTTTGATTTTTTAGATATATCCGATCATTTTCTACATCTTATTGGAAGAAGTATGATAAAACAGAACTATATGCAACATCTTGAGCTAATTTGAGATGCATATATTATATATCTGGGAAATTATTAGGGTAAAATATGGTTACCCCTGGCCCTTTAGAACCGAAAATGAAAATTTGATTTTTTTTTTATTTTCAATAATTTTTTTACATCTAATTAGGAATAATATGACAAAACAATACTTAATGCAACATTTAGAATTCATATGAGGCCCAAACATCGCGTATCTTAAAAATTATTACGGTAAAATAAGGTCACCCCTAGGCCGCAAGGGCTTAAATATCCAAATTTCGATAATTTATTTCTCAAAAAATACATGACTAACACAAGCCATATATCATATGAGTGATTAACAACAATATCTCTATTAGTATGAATTTTTTCAGGATGATCAGACATCACATTCTTGAAATACAGTACTTGATGTCCTATATTTGACCCTTTGAAAGATGAATTCACGCTAGATAATTGGGTTAAAATGTATTTTCCTTCCTAAACACCACTTCTAAAATAGGTTTTTCTCAATTTCAAGGCTCAAAGCAATGACCAAATGAAGTCATTTAAAGAAATATACTTTACAACTATTTTTATTTATTTTATTATAATGTACCCCCTCCCCGCCTGATAGGGGTGGGGGTCAGAGGCTTAAAATCCATGAAGACCACCCCGAATCAATTGCCCCGAAATCATTTTTCATTCAGATCATATGTTTCTACAACTGTGCCAAGTTTGTTGCTTTCCTGAAAAAGTCGAACTACCAAAGGGACATCTGACTGCGCTATAAGAAGTTTTTCCTTTTGAAAAAATTCAATGAATTGTAAAGTAATTATGAGTATTACGATTTATTTTCAGATATTCTGTGTTCATGGTGGTATTCCCTCCATACATGAGCTAGGGGGCAAAATAGAGGCAATAAATAAAATACCTGTACCCTTAAAAGACCCAGAAGAAGAGTCACAATTAGCCTGGGAGATTATGTGGAGCGACCCTGTAGGGTAAGAGATATGTTGGCCTTGCTTTGGCTCTGTGTAATCTGAACACTACAGGGAATTCCCAAGTGTTCAGATTGTCAGGTTTACATATTTCGAGGTTTTTAACATAGAAGTTTATGGTACGTTATAAAAATTTGTCTTTCAAAACTTTTATGTTAAGGGTGTTCAAATTAGTTAAGTGTGCAGATATACAGGTTTCATTGGATTAAACAGGCAATGCGCCTATTTTTGAAGGAAAAGGGACAAAATATTATTTGAGACCTATTACTTTCACACTCAATCAAATATGATAAAGACTTTAATTTGTGTCAATACTGAAGTGAAAAAATCACTTGCATAGAAAACAGCATTTGAAGTTCAGAGATCAAAAGAAGTGAATTACCCCTTTTCACAAAGTGTATGTTTTAAATAACTCTTGGATTAAAAGATGGCGTATGGTTGAAAATCCTATCAAATTTGAGTGGATAATTAATGCAAACAACAATGCCATCTTCAATGGCATTGCTAAAAACTTGAAATATATAAATTGATACATCGAAAATATTTTTTCATGATCTATTTTCAACTCTAATGTGATCTGTTTGAGCTGTTTTTGGTGTCAAATGAAAGATCAGGTACTTAATTAATCCATTGGAAATACTATGAAGATCATAAGTGTGACTTCATTTAAGCATTTTGTTCCTTTAATAGACCTTTCCAATAGACTCTGTCACAAAGAAACTATGATAAATTTCCTAGCTTGATGATGTCAGAGATTGCATTTATTCAAAATAAGCAACAAGTTAAACTATCAATATATCATAGTTTATTGATGTATCAAAGAGTAGTAGGGTTTATAAGATGGGTAACAAACAATGCTCTTGGCAATCTAGAGCTACATACTCAAGCATTACAGCTACTTTTAGGGACATTTGAGCATCATGTCTATATCAAAAATAGAGCGTAGTAATTATAATTGCTAGGGTTAAGTGTAGTGTATTACTACACTTGTGTATACTGGTATATCATTTTTTTATTTTTATTTTTAGTTCCGACTTAATGACAAAAGAAGTCGCAGCAGATTTGGAGGAAAATGAAGGTTTTATTCACAACACACGTCGTGGGACTGCATATTTCTTTAGTACAGCTGCTCTTATGTCATTCTTGGAGCGCAACAATTTGTCTCATGTTATACGTGCCCATGAGGTCCAGCAAGTAGGATTTCAGGTATATATGGTAACTTTATGTCCATCAATATATGAGATGCTTTATTGTTAAGAGGCCACCCTGAATATCCCCCACACTTAACTGCTGTGAATATCCCCAACATCGACCCACGCTGGATATTCCCAACATTGACCCATCCTAAATATCCCCACATTGACCCACCCTGAATATCCCCAACATTGACCCACCCTGAATATCCACCACATTGACAAACCCTGAATATCCACCACATTGACTCACCCTGAATATCCCCCACATTGAATCAACCTGAATATCCCCAACATTAACCCACCTTGAATATCCCCCACATTGACCCATCCTGAATATCCCCAAGATTGACCCACCCTGAATATCCCCCACATTGACAAACCCTGAATATCTCCCAAATTGAATCAACCTGAATATCCCCACATTGACAAACCCTGAATATCCCCACATTGACAAACCCTGAATATCTCCCAAATTGAATCAGCCTGAATATCCCCAACATTGACTCACCCTGAATATCCCCCACATTAACAAACCCTGAATATCTCCCAAATTGAATCAACCTGAATATCCCCACATTGACAAACTCTGAATATCTCCATCATTGACAAACCCTGAATATCTCCCACATTGAATCAACTTGAATATCCCCACATTGACCCACCCTGAATATCCCCAACATTGACCAACCCTGAATGTTCCCAACATTGACCCACCCTGAATGTTCCCAACATTGACCCACCCTGAATATCCCCAACATTGACCCACCCTGAATATCCCCCACATTGACCCACCCTGAATATCCCCAACATTGGCCAACCCTGAATGTTCCCAACATTGACCCACCCTGAATGTTCCCAACATTGACCCACCCTGAATATCCCCACATTGAATCAACCTGAATATCTCGCAAATTGAATCAAACTGAATATCCCCAACATTGACTCACCCTGAACATCTCCATCATTGACAAACCCTGAATATCCCCACATTGGATCAACCTGAATATCTCCCACATTGAATCAACCTGAATATCTCCAACATTGACCAACCCTGAATGTTCCCAACATTGACCCACCCTGAATGTTCCCAACATTGACCCACCCTGAATATCCCCCACATCAGCCCACCCTGAATACCACCACATTGAACTCCACTCTGATTTTTCAACACCAAAATCCCTCTTCTCAAATGTCTTACTTGAATGATGTGGGAGGGGGTATAAGACACTGTTTCTTTTCACATTGGATTATGATTTTGGATAGTTGGGGTTTGTTTTCCTTGTGACTGGTGCACTCTTAGATGTTTTCTTTTTCTTTCTGTGTTTTGTAACAATTTCATGTACTTTCCCGCATGCGCATTCATATTCACATTTACTTGCAGGTCCAACAGAGAGGTAAACTATTGACAGTGTTTTCATCATCCCATTACTGTGGTGGCTCCAACGAGGCTGCCTGTGTATTAGCTGACCAGCATAAACTACGCATGATACGACTGGATACTTCTTGATACAAATATACAAGTGTCCAGCATTATATTGTTAATATCTATAGAGAACTACATAGACAAGGATGTACCCAGTCATGAGAAAGTCGAGGAATTGCCTCTGGACGTTTTACCAAAAAATATTGATTCATGGCCGTGCCCTACTAGAATCCATTTCAGTGTTTTATATTCGTCAAATAACAAATAGCGAATCTAAAGACCACAGTGCTGTAATATATGAAAACATATATTCATATCATTATTCTCTGCCATGCTGGATTCAAAAAATTAAAACGGCTGAAACTGCTTAAATTACCAGAGGCCAGAGGTTTATTATTGTACATAAAACTAATCAATCTGAAATATACAGATGTCATTCGTGTACAATATGAATATGTTTCTCCATATATTACAACACAGTGGTCTTTTGATTCCTTATTTTTCATTAGGTTTTATCAAAACAATGAAATGGATTGTAGGCCTTCCTATATACTATAGCATGGAAGACAGGACGATTGGTATATAAATGAAGAATTTATAGTTGTTACTGCCTACAAAGGTACTTGTATATTACCAAAATATATTATATTTTAAAAGAAAACAAAAATCATATTTTCATAAAGTAGACTCAGCTCGCATTTTCATAAATATTATACCTATAAAATAAATGTATAAGATATATCAAGTACAGTAGAAACTGTGGAAAGTGGAACACCTTACAAGTGGAACGGGGTTTTCAAAGTTTCGCTAGCCTTTGACTCCATGTTAATCGAGCTCTAAATAGAACACCTCGCAAGTGGAACACTTTATGAGGTCACACGGGTGTTCGACTTAGACAGGTTCTAATGTATATGATACTATAGAGCCGAGGTATGATCAGTCGAAATAAGAACATGACAGGCTAATTGATTACGAAATTCTTTGCATAGTATTCATCACACTTGATATTGAACTAATATTGTGCTTACAAACAATTAAGTTGTAGACACACAAGAAAATTCTGATCACATCTTTCACGACTTGAGCTAGAATCAAAAAATGGCGAAAATGAGAAAATGCATTAAGATTTAACTATAAAAGACTCCCCCTAAATGAAATTTTCGAGTTGTTTATTGATGCAAGGCTCTCATAACTGAAGAATAAAATTTATTTCCTCGGCTTTACCAGTTTTGACACGCTATTCAGTGGGCCAATGCAATTGCCTATTAAGGAGGAGCATTTGTGACATACACATGGTTAATTAAACTGATCTTAAAAATTATGTATTTTATGAAGGAATGTTATATATTTTATACGTTTATAATACTAATATATATACATGTATGATTGTATGACGAAGATGAAAAAATATTGACATTACGTAATACCTTATACAACTTTTTGTCATTTAGTTTGATGTCCTGTACAAATTATCCAAAAAGACTTGTGAAATTTTGTGAGTTCATAAACCAGTTTGAAAAGGGCGTGACCATTTTGACATACATGCACTAGGATAACTTAGATTACATTTTCGAAGTGGTGAAACTGTGTCAAACGGGGGTTGATAATCGTACGGGACGAACATATTGCAAATCTTCATTACGTTTGTTTAATCAATAATGAATTCCTATCTAGTATCATGTCAAGTCAGTATCATTCAAAACGGAGTATTTTTTTTACATGTACACTTTCTCAAAAGTTTAGTGAGGTCACCGTAACGCCATATTTCATTTTGGATACTATCAAAGAATAAAGATATGTTTCACATTACGTACAATAGTGTCAATTTATTCACATTAATAATATCATCATAAATATGTACAGTGTAGTACTTCTAATTTCTGAATTATGTAACGTAATTTGTGGACAATAACATCTCTTGTTGTCAAGATATTAAGGCCAATGTTAATCAATCTAGAACAGTCCTTGTTGCATTTGTTGGACAACGCTGAGTCTCCTTACTCTCTGCGCGGTCTCTCCACCTTTCAGGCACAATTCGCCGAGCTGGTTTCCGGCTTCTTCATTTTCTGCCTCCTCGTCACTGTCCAGTTCGGGATCTTTTGGTTTGGAGACAACCCAGATTAACTTAAAGCGGAACAGAGCACGTTAGTTATTACCCTACATCTTAGTCATAGATGAAAAAGCATTCAATTTTAAAGAAACTATCGAAACTTTCTCTAAAAATTTATCCAATCATTTGAAATTATAAAGACTTAGAATCGGTTTAGACTTTTACGTGCGATTTATGAAAAAAAACTCTTAAAATAGTGAACGATTTTAGACTGATATGTCCTGTAGTTCGCAGTTCATGTCATTACCTCTAGAAACTCCTCGAAATCGATTCCATTTGATCGATCTACGTCTACTTGGTCGAAGTATTTCCTTCTTGTCGCTGTTGTTGTTTTATCCCCCAGCTCGTCAAGGACAGAACACCTTGAAGGTAAACTATCAGACTGTTAGTCAATTGAACGCCCGATGTCGACATTGGAAAATATGATAAAGACTAGCACTGCCCCGGGAAAATGTTAGTCTGTTAATTACTCCAAGTGTCGACATTGGCAAATATTAGCACTGCCCAGGGACTATGGTAGTATCCAAGGCACATGCATAAGGGTTATGTACTGGGAGGTTTTGGATATAGGGTATATTCTGAGGTATATATTTATTTGTATCTCATACTTGAGTGGGTTTGGGGTAGATATCACCCGGGAATATATATCGTATCTGAGGAGCGGGCAGGATATATTTTATATGTCCCGCTCCAGGCCAAATGCGGGCAGATATAATATATCCATCCCGCTCCCGGGAATTTTTAAAAAAATTAAAAAAGTTTAAATATCAAAAGTTTTAATTTTTTAATTTTAAGATTAAGATTTTTTAAGTTTAAATGTTACAATTTCATTGTATTGAACAAAAATAATATTACGAAAATGTTCAATATAAATATCTTGTCATCTGAAAAAGGTGGAAAAGGTTATATCTACCCTAAACCCACTCAAGTATGAGATACACCGGTTATGCACGGTCGGTTTGGATACATGGAATATCCCTTGGGATATACAATACATCTTCCCTCGGTCCCTTCGGTCCCTCGGGGAGATATATTGTATATCCCTCGGGATATTCCCTGTATCCAAAACCTCCCAGTGCATAACCCCTATATATCCCTCGGGAAATATTTATATCTCCCCTTGGTCCCTTCGGTCCCTCGGGGAGATATAAATATTTCCCGAGGGATATACCCTATATCCAAAACCGACCGTACATAACTGGTGTATCTCATACTTGAGTGGGTTAGTAGTTAGTTAGTGAGTTGGGATTCCACCTTTTTCAAATGACAAGATAGGCGGCCTATAGTAAAAGCAAAATTTATATTTAACATTTTCGTAATATTCTTTTACAGTGAAATTGTAACATTTAAACTTTAAAAAATTTAAACTTTAAATTTAAAACTTAAAATTTTTTGATTTTTAAACTTTTGAAAAATCCCCGGGAGCGGGATAGATATATTATATCTGCCCGCATTTGGCTTGGAACGGGATATATACAATATATCCTGCCCGCTCCTCATATATGATATATATTCCCGGGTGATATCTACCCCAAACCCACTTAAGTATGAGATACATGGTAGTATCCAAGGGATTAATCAATTTCCCATAATAATACCATGTTTTTGAAGTCTCAAATTCTGGTACAAAAGGGGTGTACATCAATGTATGATTAGTAAAGCGGGGGCATTAGTATTTTGAATACTACCCGAGAGTCATTGTTATATTTTTAGTAAAGCGAAATAAACTAGTTTAAAGCGATCTTTGGGTCCACTACATTTTATAATAGGCATATATTGCTCTTCAGAAAGTGGAAGTCTTATCAATTGCTAATCAATTACTAGTTTATTGAAATTGTGGTCCACTATTTCCCATATGGTAGCTTTTACACATAGACGAGTTTTTCTAAAAGCACCCCGAGGCAGAGTTTTAGTATTCAACTGGTAAACGTCGAACCGAGTAATTTCCGCAGTGGACCCAGAGAGACGAACAGTTCTTAGAGAAACAACAATTTTAAGGATTTAAAGGCGTATTCTCATTTTTATGATAACCCTAAAATGTTTTCAGTTCTTAAAGATACGTATCTTACACGATCATATATATAACTATGTATGATAAATAAACATATAAAGACTTGGACAAAAAACCTTCTTTTCTCAAAGTTTTAAAGCTTGAAAAATCCTAACCTAGTATGCAGTACTACAAGTTCCAAAATTAAATTAACTTCGAATTAATGATTTTGGTAGAGCAAAAATCAGCACAATGGAGTGAACACCATGGTGGCGTATTTCCCTCAATATCCTTTAACTAAACCCACTGATTTCCCAAAGAACTCTGAATAACATCGACTCACAATTCATTGAAATCAATGAGGCCATCAAGGTTAGGGTCGAACGTCTGAAATTGTGTTTTATAGTCCTGAATGTCATCTGCGGTCCACCGGGGATACCTTGCGAGGATGGCCTCCATATCCACCTCTGAAACGCATTATATCTTCATGTTCATATTTGGATAATTCTTCATTTTCAATGTTGGTGGTAAAATATTAAGTTAGCTTCATTGAGGGATGACACTCACAGCCCCCTTAAGTAGTTTGAAAATTGAACCAGATGTTTTCTCAATTCAATACACATCCTGTCGGATAACTTCGATGAGAGATTCATACCCAATTTATGCTTTGATGACCTTCAGATTTCCAAAATGTACCCCGACCTTCATATCTTCACATCTACCATCATATTTTAATAATTTAGACCCTACATTCAGAAAACCCAAGGGGCAACAATTTCATAAGCCGTATTTCAGCCCAGTCAAAATATATGATGGTCGTATTGAACATCATCTAACTTCGAATGTATTGAAGAGGACATCATGATCTCTGCTGCCTAAAACGTTAACCATTCGATTTTGAGATGCTGATCGAGTCAATTCTTAATTGATTTATATTCCTAGCTTATTTTAGAGGATGTAACGTGAAGTTCAACGTACAAATAAATTGACCTACATCTTATTGAAGAATCTCTCAAATGTAGGCCATAGTGGAAGACTCTTTCTCATATATAGACCGTAGTGGAAGATTCTTTTGAAAATAAAGACCATAGTGGAAGACTCTTTCTCATATATAGACCGTAGTAGAAGATTCTTTTGAAAATAAAGACCATAGTGGAAGACTCTTTCTCATATATAGACCGTAGTAGAAGATTCTTTTGAAAATAAAGACCATAGTGGAAGACTCTTTCTCATATATAGACCGTAGTAGAAGATTCTTTTGAAAGTAAAGACCATAGTGGAAGAGTCTTTTAGAAATGTAGTGAACCCACTGATCAAACATCATAAAACTTAAGAAAGTAAAAACCAACACGCACATAAACCCAACACGCACATAAAAGAGTAACTTACATCTCATTAAAATCAATTATCCCATCGCCCTGTTTGTCTATAATCTGGAAAGACGCTCTCATGTCTAAAATATCTTCATAATTCCAATTTGGATATCGCTTGACGATCGCACTTGTGTTGAGGTCTAAAATAATACAATGGGAATCATTTATCGGGCATTGTATTTCTTTGTGTGCTTATTACAAATGTTGCCCCTTGTTCTTTCAGGTCATTTTGACAAAAGTCGTTAGAGTATTTGAGTACTGGCTGATTCCAGTGCGATTGTATGTTAAAGGTCGAATCAAATCTGGTGAGATGAGTTTTTTATGGAACTAGGCTAAACATTAATAACCGTAGGCCTGTATAGGCTCTATGCATTTAATATTTTTAAACGCACCTAGAAACTTCTGCTTTGCTTTGATGATTTCCGCCCTTTCCTCTAAAAGATATTGAAAGAAATCTTCCGTGATTCTTTCGAATCTGTTCGTTCGTCTTTTTTTCTCTACAATACGTTCCCCTAGAAAAATGGAATATTTGACAGTTTAGAACAACAGTTATCGAAAAGTTAGGCTTACCATCATGGACTTCATTAAACTATTAGGAAGGTCATGTTGTCACTCAAGCTTTTTGGCAATTAAAAAGTACACATCTGCATTTTATAGTGATGCCTCGATGACATTCCGATTTTCACTAGGGCGCCCGACCAATGAGTAGGACTATTTTGTTCAAAATCGGCCGGCAAGCCCGAGTAACGTACGCGCCGGACGATGTCAACAACGGCCTATTTGAAGACGTAGTACTGGCGCCGGGAGAGTTTTATCGCGTAAATAAAGGTTTCCGATGTTTTCAGTGCCGATTTTTCTCAACCAAACTCATAGTACGAATCGGAGCAAATGTGACCTCGACATTACCTAATGTGACCATACTAAAGCCCTGTATACACTATAAATAAATTTTCAATCGTTTAATTGTTTCAATCGTTTCAACAAGTTCAATCGTTCCCATGCTTGTGCAATTTCCTACGTCTCAATGCTTGCGTCATTTCGAGCATTTCAATCGTTTCAACAATGTTCAATCGATTCGCGAAACTTTACATTCATTTCAAAGGCGAAAATCAAGACATCGGAGAAAAGTCACAAGCGTCCGGTCGATTGAGAAATCTGCCGATTACTACTATCGGCCGGCGCACGGTGTAAATGTGACCCTGGCATTATTCATGCGCTGTGCATGATTTTGAAACCGTATTCTAATTTATTTCACAACCCCTATGTTCATTCCCTCCGGTCACTCGTGAATATATCATATACTCACTTGAGTATAAACACGCTATACAGCATCAATCATTATATAACGTAATACATGATCTTTGAAATTGTTCCAAAGATAAAATTCAAGCGTTTTTCATATTGGGTGATTTTGGTATGTTTTGGCATTTGGAGCATGTTTTGTAAAATAGCCATAAAACTGTGATCATTGGGGATAAAAACTTGAAATGAAACTTGATAGAATAAAAGAACATTGGACAAGGTTCGGAAAAATGGAGAAAAATGAAAAGCTGAAATGAAAATGAATCTAAAAGCATTAAAAGAAGCAACACTGCAAAAAGTTATAATCATTTTGAAGTGCTGGACCCATACTTTATGTTTTTTGAAAAAATATGAGAATATGCAAATGAGATAGTGTCATTGTGACGTCATAATTCAAGATGGCGCAGTTGGATTTTTTTCAAAATGGAATTATTTAAGCAATTAATTTTTTATTGAGACTTCAATTTAAAAATCTGAAAACGCAGAATTATAGATCTTTTTATGCTGATTCCAGTGGTATTTGTACCACATAACTCCTACAAATAATTTTTTTGGAGCCTCGAGACTGAAAAATTCTGGTTTTCAGATTTTTAAATTGAAGTCTCTATAAAAAATCAAATGCTAAAATAATTCCATTTTGAAAAAATACAACTGCGCCATCTAGAATTATGACGTCACAATGACACCATCTCATTTGCATATTCACATTTCAAAAAACAAAAAGTATGGCTATAGCCCTTCAAAATGATATATAACTTCTTGGGCCTTGCTTCCTTTTCTTGCTTCTAGATTCATTTACATTTTAGTTTTTCATTTCTTCCCCTTTTCCCAAAAAATTTCAGTCATGAGAGAGTTAAGACTATTTTGGCTCACCCTGTATTAGAATGGTGCCATAGATTAAAGATGGCGTCAATTTGAAATCTCGGAATGCTTTCTATGGCTCATAATCACAAAAAGTCGGATGGCATCCTAGCAATGACCAACCATACCATGATTCTAGCCTTCTTTTACAGAGTTTAGCAGGCTCGCCTAAGCTTTACCACAAACCAGCAACTTTTGCTGCACTGTATTCACTACTAAACGGTTTACCTGTTGGAGCAAAATCGGTGTCCATCTCAAACGTTATGGGGGGATTCACCACGGGAAAGCTTATTATATTCCCCATTCTGCTGTTTTTAAAGATCAATCTTAAACGTTTTTTATCTAAAAAATCACATTTTTCTCACACATCCTCATCCGCCATATTGTTACCAATGGTGATATTTGACGCCATTGTTATTGTGACGTCATATCGCAGATTCCATGAAAACATAATGTATGACGTCAGGTATTATGAATACCACCCTAGTAACAAAAAACAATGTTTAGCAAAACGATGATGTGGCTGCGATTTTTGGCAAATAAAACACTTTCCCTTCTTCCTACGCTGGCGGAGCCCAGCACAAGGCCAATTTGCGGTCAGGTGATCTATCGGAACACATTAAAAAATATTGGTCAGTTTTTGAAAAAGGTCAGATATGGCCAAGTTACTAGCAACTTAGAACCAATAAGATTTCAGTATCTAAATAAGGTGAATAATAATAAAGTATGCATGTCATGTGTTTTCACGGTAACAAAACGCGTAGCTGTGACGGAGGAGTCGTTTAAAGATACTCTTTAAAGCTCCCGCAATGAATCACGATTTAATGAGAAAATGGCCATGGGGATAGCTCAGTGCAATTCTTATTTGATTTTTGTCGCCCTTTCTCGTCCTTTACCGTTTCCATATTGCCAACCTCCGATCACTTCGCATAGGATGGGACCGGGACAATTCCACACAACCCAGGGGTATTCAATTTCTTTTCCTACTTATTTATTTCATTTCTTAAGAACAGTGTCACTCACAATGACGCCATACGATGCGAATGCTTTTATTCGTTTATTTGTATTCCTGCCGTAATTTGATCCAAATCCAAAGACGTTTCTGTTGTTTCAATATTCACATTAAACTTTTAACAAAATCGCTGAGAAATAGCGAAACTGAACTTAAATCTGACACACATGACACAGATCCATATTTCATTACATGTTTAATCACACACTGTTATTCTCTGTCAAAGTCTCTATCAGTCCCTGTCCCAATTCTTGGCAATCTAGTCCCCATTCAAGTCCCGATTCTTGGCAATCTAGGGGCAGCACCCGTTGTCTTAATTTCAGTCCAAACATCAACTTTAATATTCATCTAGCCTTTTTAGACCGTTTCTCCTTCCCGACTTCTTTGCTCATTACTTTGATTTTAGATACTGTCCCCATGCGGCGTAGTCGCTTTGACATGGAGCTGCTTAGTGGCGTTTGTGAGCGTGAGAGGTTAGCTAACTGTCCTGAAAATTGCAAGGAGATTCGTGAATAAATGTAAATGCAATGGGTGAACTCGAGGTTTATTCAATGTTTCAATCCATTAAATTCCTTGTTAAAAGATGGATTCACAGCCTATTTCTCAAATGGAAAATACAGTTTAAAGAATACATATTTCTAAAAGACAGATACATATTATATACAGCCTAGTGCTCTAAATGAGAAACGGTGTAATCTGAATACTTATTTCTGATAAATGAATGCGGATACAAGTACATTCCTGATAAATGAATGCGGATACAAGAATTCCTAAAAGAAAATACAGTTTAAATCTGAACACATATTTCTAAAACACGGACACATATTATGGACTAGTTAAATGGAAAATACATATAAAATCTGAATACATATATTTTAAATCTGGTACATATTTCTAGAATGGGAAGCACATGTACCTCTTAAATCCGGATACTGCTCGTCTAATATTGTTCTTGATAATAGCGGATGGTATTTGTCGGGTAATGCTTCTCCTTCTTGCTCTGGAATATAGGAATTGAAACAGTCTTATAATATGTGCTTACATTTAAAACCGATTTCAATCATACCTATAGTGCAGTTAACAATATATATTTATTTATTTATTTATTTATTTATTACAGTGTCACCCGTAATTATACGGCCAGCCTCCAAAGGCTTATGAGACACAATTACAATCATATTATAAGCAGATAAGTCAGAATTAACACTTACTTTAATCTATTTTTAGCCTCCAAAGACAAAAGCAAAAAATTTGAAACATATTTACAGAGTGATTTAGAATTAATAAGTACATTGTTTTCTTTTCATTATCACAAGACTCAAATAGATCATATATACCTTTTACTTTACAAAACATTTCCTCTCTTAATTTATGATTAACTTTACACTTGAATAAAAAATGAAACTCATCACCTATTTCATTCTTACATTGCCTACAATATCTCTCTTGACTTGGTATATTCTGCCACCTACCCGTTTCAATCTCTAAAGGTAAAGTGCCAGATCGAAATTTAGCTAAAACAGATCTTTGTTTTCTATTCAAAAAATTACAAAATAAATATTCAGACCTTTGAAAAGATAATTTAAAGCTCTTATAAAAAGTCAATTTTCTTTTTTCCCTAATTGTCTCCAACCATTGAGTTTCATGTAATTTCATTAATTTTCCTTTCATTTGATTCACAAATTTTTTTAAATCTTTACATTTTTTAATATCATCATACATATTCAGCATGTCAACACTTTTACATATGCTCTGGATTTCTTCGTTCCAGGTAAAATCACATTTCAATTTGGCTAAGCTTAAATCCCATCTAAATGCTTTCTTTGCCATATTGGCTTCTTCACAATTAACAACTAATCTATACAATAATCGAATACCTTCTATATAATGTCTTATATAATTTGGGGTCCATCCACACTAGCCTTCTAAAAAGCTGATAGGGCATTTTTTACCGACACCCAAGAAGGTCCTTATGGCATTAAATTGTTCTTTATTGGTAAAACTATGAGTTTTTCTATGCAGACCCCAGATTCCAGATGCATAATCCATTACCGATGCGACTGTGCTGTGATATAATTTTGTGTAAATATCAAAGTGTAAACCCTTCAATTGTAGGTACTTTGACCTCATAGCTCCAAGCGCTTTACTTCCAGAATAACTTACTTTTTCAGCAGTTAAGGAAAAATCTAAGTTATATGTAATATCTATACCAAGATAGTGATATTTATCTGTTACATCAAGTGAAGATTTACCATATTTGAACTCTAAACTTTCAAAGTTTTCATATTTCTTTTTTGATACCACCATCACCTTGGTTTTATCAGTATTAATTTTCAACTTCCAAGTATTTGACCAACGATATAATGTATCTATCTGTTTTTGCAAACCATCTTTACTACTCGATATCAAAACAACATCATCTGCATACATTAACAAGCTTAACATGCCTTCATTACCCATGTGTACACCACATTTTAGGTTGTTAATACTTTCACTTAAATCATCGATATAGATAGAAAATAGGGTCGATGAAACGCTATCACCTTGTCTTATACCCTTTTCCATCTCAAACCAATCAGTTTCTATGTCATTTAGTTTAATGCAACCTTTTACATTTGAATACAGGGTCATTATAATATCTAACATTTTTCCGTTTATACCTTTCATCTTCATTTTATGAAACAATAGATCCCTATTTACAGAATCAAATGCACATTTGAAGTCGACGAAACAGAAATAAGTATCCATATTAAAATATTTTCGTATTCTAGCCACAGTCGTTAATGTAAAAATATGTTCTATGCATGAACGAAACTTTCTGAATCCATTTTGCTCTATACAAAGTATCTTGTGCTCATTAAGAAACCTCACTATTCGGCTATTTAAAATAGATGTAAATGCTTTAGCAACAGTTGATAATAAGCATATTGCTCTATAATTTAATGGAACTTTACTGTCCTTTCCTTTTTTTAATATAGGATGAATGATAGAATATAACCAAACATCTGGAATAATGTTGTTTGTAAAACAAACATTAAAAAGTTTATACAATAACATTTTCAGCGATGGTAGTTTCAGTATCTCATTTGGAATATTATCCATACCAGTACTTTTCTTATTTTTCAATTTCGATATGGCATACCCAACCTCTTCTAGAGTAATGGTACTGTTTAACAACTCGTCTTCTTGAATATTCTCTTTTGCTATATGCTTATTTTCGTCAAGCTCAAACAACGCGTTAATATTATCTACTTCAATTTTATCATTAACATCTTTCTTGTAAACTGTTTCAAAATCTTGTTTCCACTTTTCCAATATAACATTCTTATCTGTTGAAACTTCATTATTTTCCAGTAACACAGATGCAAAAGTATTCATCGATTTCTTTTTTGGAAAAGTCTCATTTAAATATTTCCAAAATGACGATCCATCGTGTCTAAAATTAGACAAATTGTTACGTATATTAGAATAATGCTGCCGCTCCTTTTGTCGTAATAGCTTATCAAAATCTTTTCTGATTTGTATATAACGCATTCTAAGGTTTTGCTTATCTTCATGCTTTCTAGTCTTTGAATACAGTCTTTCAACATTGACAAGTTTTTTTCTCATCTCAGATAGTTCAGCATCCCACCATGGTTTATTTCTTTTTATTAAACGTTTCTTTGATTTGGGTTTAACTTCTTTGAATGGTAAGCTTTCATCCATTTCAGAATGAATTATATCTAAAATTTCACCAACAATTTCATTTATAGAACTGTTCATTGAATCATAATCGTCTAATTTTGTAATCATACTTGAGATTCCTGATCTGAAGTTTTCGTTATCCAGAATGTCTTTTTTCATATCATTCATAAAGTACCTTTTTTTCGGGATTTTATTATTCTCTGTACACGGCATGTTAGCGCTTCGCCATTGTTTATCGTCCTTGTGATCAATGGGTTTACTGTAATGTACACTCGGCGATATATTAATGGTACAGCATAACAATGAATGATCTGGCTTATTTTTTAATGGTAACATTAAGTTAAATCGTTCAGCCAACTCACTAACCAATAAAACATCGAACGATGTAAATAAATCAAAGTACAGTAAATGTGTGAAAAAATAATCAACTACAGATTTACCTATTTTCGACAAATACGTACAATTATCTAAACCCTTAAATCTACCATTAACTACACACATATCGCTATCATGCAAAAATTCTATAAAATATTTACCATACTTATTTTTAACATCGTCAATAACCGATCTTTCTGGAATATGTACAGGTAATGAATCATATGCAATATCATTTAAATTTCCTATTCTACCATTCACATCACCACAATAGAATGTAGGAAAATCATCATCAAATATGTGAGTAGTATATAAAAGTGTGTCATAAAAATGTTGAGCATTGTCACCTCTACTAGATCCTTCGGGGGATAAGTAGCATACACATACTTTAAAGCTATTGGTATCATCATTTTTATCTGAAAATTGCACAAGATAAATGTCATCACATGCTTTATACAATTCCGTCAGATTATACATATTCAAAATAGAGTCCTTAACAAGTATTCCAACGCCACCAGACCCCCGGGGACATCTTGGATTTATATCGTGTGACCTGTTGTTACCATACCACGTATACCCATCTATGTTAATACTTTCATCTTGCTTTAGGTGAGTTTCACAAAGGGCAATAATATCATAGCTTGTTGCTTTAATGACATCTCTTCTGAATGTCACTGAACTAACGTTCGATTCATACCAACCACCTATATTCCATTCTGCTATCGTTAAACGTCCATCATGATCACTTGGAGACTGGCTCCTGTCCTACCAATCACTAGTATCATTTCTCATCTCCCTGACATCATATTCATCATCATAATAGCGGCCTCTGAAGTTGTTGTTAGCTCCGTAATAGCCTCCTTTATGATCATCATTGTTGAAACGACCTCCGTAACCAGGATGCTTATTATCATAGTAACGATCATAAGCAGGATAACGATTCCTGTCACTATTGTTGAAATAACGACGTCCAGAGTCGCGGCTCTCGAAGTGACGATCTCTATGATAAGCGTCATTATTGCCACCATTGGGATCTTCGAAATCTTCGTTGCCACGGTAACGCCCTCTATTCGGGTTATTTTGCTGTTGTCTGTAGTTGTCACGTGTAGAGCCTCTTTCTATTTGCAGCCTCCCACTATTGGTAAAAGAGTACGCTTTGTTTTCAAATCCGGGTATATTATTCAGTAGTTCCTTACAATTGATCTCAATCAATCTCTCCTCATGCGATTTTGACGGTAGGAGGTACACGTTTTTGAAGCGATCGTCATTCTTCAACATTTGCTTCTTTTTTAGAATTTCTATTTTGGCTTCCGGGTTTCTGACCTGCATTTTTACAACACCAGGCTTGTGTCTATATCGCTGTCGACACCTTGCAACATTTGAAATGATGTCAGGTGACATATTCAGGCCATCCCTCATCAATACCTTTATTTTTTCGGATATATTCTCATTTTCCTTTTGTGGAACATTTAGTACAATTATTGTCGTCTCCTTTTCAAATGGATATTCAGCCATCCGAGATGGCTTTTCATGAACATTATTGGGAGAATTTTGCTTTCTCTCATTACCCTTTACGGTAGCTTCCAATTTTTGTATTTTACATTCCATTTGGCTTATTTGCTCTTTATATTTACGTTCTATGTCGTCTAATCTATTCTCTAAGCTCTTGAGCTCTTTTTCAACTTTGTGTTCAAACACAAGACAGCCCTCCTTTACAGTTACAAATTCTCTTTTGATTATTCCTTCATATTTTGTTAACGTAGGTCTTATAGCGTCAAAAACTTCCTTTTTAAAGGATTTTAGTGTTTTCATGAATTCTTCAGCTTGCGAGTTCGACGAGGGGTCCGACGACGACGAGGGGTCCGTTGAAAATAGGTCAGGTGATATAGGAAGCTCATCTTATAGATTGTTATTGATAATGTTTATGTCATCATCCAATACACGCGGATATGTTGGACTGGAGGGACTATTCAGCTTTTGTTTTGCCTTGCGGCGATTACCTCTAGAGTTCCTTGGTTTCATGTTCACCGGTTATATTTACCACAGTTGCGAATTTTTACTTATGTAAATCTCCCGGGATATATTTACACTGAACGAAAAGATTCCTGGGCTACGTGACACATTCCATTACGTTATAGGCTTTTATATTGATTGGAAGAGGTCTCTTTTGCACTAAGCAGGGCCAAGGTCAACATTTTCCTCATTCCTCGTACAATGTTTTACCACCTGATTTGTCCAATAATTTCGACTTTCAGTAAATTATGATATAATTATATGACACTCCATCTGCCGAAAGTATGTTATTTTCCCAGTGATACGACCTTCTTGCCCTGACTCACCAATAATCAAATACGTATATCACCAGATACAGAAATTGTCTGCAATAAGTGCACGGATCGCCAGGTACTGATGTAGAAGTTCGATTTACACTGAGGCTCTAGTGTCCTGATATGTAATTTACTCCGGTTTCTAATGTTCCAATAGATTCATCCTAATGGTATCATCTCATGAACTTAATACAATAGTATTTGGTAGCGTTAATTCCGTTATAATTTGTTGACAAATGGAAAAAATGGGTACATGGTCAGGTTGACAGCTCCAAATATGGTATATTATCGTATAATCTGTAAAATGAAGCCTTCTGATTGGTCAGTTCTTGTGCTGAACCAATCTGTATTGCTACTGAGATTGTCCCCATTGATCAAATCCGTCGCAATACAGAAAATATTGATACGGAGGGGACATTCTCGTACTTCGTCTCGTTCCAATACGGAATTTCTCGAGCAGAATATATCATGTATTGCACTTCAAATCATTCAATAACTTATAATATATCTAGGTGCAAGTTGTGATAATAACATAATATATGCTCCCTACATGTAAACCTATAATAGCTTTTGATACAGTGTACTTCAGTGAAAATGAAAGACGGATTACCCATTCTTCTTCAGCTGTGAATCTGCATGTATGTACAGAACATTCTCGGAAATATAACACAGATAAACCAGACATTTAGATTTTATGTGCGCTAATCATATACAAGTGATGAACACAGTGACCATAATCACCCTCTTCTATCTTCCGAAGTCTAATTATCCTCAACTGGCGCTTTATCAATACTCAAACTTGGGTATTTTATTTCAGTATGACAACAGTATTGAGATGAGACACATACCCATGATTCTGTGAACTAAGGATGCATGGGCTCAAATCCAAAAAGGGCCATCAAATGCCATTATCAATGGGTAGTTGAGCAAAATATAGCTATTGAGCAAAATACTGGCTATCGCTATACTCACTCTCGACTCTGATCAGAATGAACGTCCCTCTACTCCTAACTTGTTCACTGGCGTATTCGTTTGGTTTTGACGACAGGTGCTTCACTCGTCCATCAGGGTCCACGAGATCAACAATTACTGTAAAACATAAAAACAAGATAACGGTCATTGGTGTGAACATGGGCTCTATCAGAGGGGGGTGTGAACAGGCACATAACCTATTTGAAATTGGCTTCTCCATTAATTCTCATCTTATTTGTTCTCTCAAACGAGAATATCTGATTCCAACACCACCACTTTCCTTAATATTATGCTTACCTCCGTCGGCACATTCTGCTGCTGTGTGTAGATGCTCCAGGAGAACCTTGCATCGGCACCAGGGATTCAGCACCAGTTTTTTGTTATCTACAACGATAAACATCTTATCTACAATACTGGATATGTAAATATGCCTGTAAATATGCCAGAACTTTTCATATCGTGTGTACAAAGTTTGAAGTCGATATAAAAATCTATTAACTAGGCAGTATTTTTCAAACGGAGGTGTCAATTTCAAAATTACTTTGCCAGAGATATTCGGCTTCGAAATTTATCAATCCTGCCTAACGCCACCGTTGGCAACATTTGAAATTCAAAACAAGTCCCTTGTACGCCTTATGTACGATTCAAAATTAAATCAAAAGCATAATCCTACCTCCATATTTGACAGTAATGAATTGCGGCGTTTTGGGTCTTGTCAGGTAATCATCCATAGCAATGCTTGAAGCAGTCCTTGTTAAGATTTTTCCTTCCATGGTCCAGTAACTTGTGCATGTACAGTTTATTTGTGTCCTGCACTCTTTGTTTACTTTATCAACGTCACTTTCGTCAGCGATTTAGATTTTAACAACTTTTCACAAGTTTTTCACGTTTAATACCAGTTGTCTTTTTATTTGATTTGCAATACTTAGAGAGGGGGGTTGTCTCAGCTTTTATTTCCTCCAGATATGCTTTGTTGAAATATCCAGGTCGCTCAGTGGTGTTTAACCCTGGGGCATGACCAAGAGATGATTGATTTGTGACGTCAGGATTCTCCCTGTAGTAACTATGAAGATATTTTCTAGCGTCCCATGCGTTTACGGTAAACCTGGATGGTGTCAACGCAGGGAGTTCCTTTCTCGTGTATGTTCTTTGTGTGTACTGTCGAAACCAGATGCTTTGTGGGGTATCGTAGAAAAACTGGTATGTTTCACTTTTACCCGGCATATTCCTTCAAATTACATTCACAAATGCGGCTATGCTGAACCTAATTTGTAAATAATAACTGATATCTAAATCCAGATTGTGTTTCTTTCTTGATCTCTAGAATACGTTTGATTCAAATTGAAAACATATCATGTATAATTTACATTTGTGTTGTCCAGTTGAACGTACCCCCTGCTATTCATTTACCTCCGCGTAGATCTTGGTTACAGGTTCGATACACACAAATACATTTATGATGTACAATGCGTGACACAGGGGGCAATATTGATTGCATTACTATTTTTATAAGATTAGTCATTGTTCACATCTGGCTGCATTCAAGGTTAATAATCCCATTTGATTCACTTATCATTGTTGTATTAATATATTATAACTATATCGTTAAGCTGGATTAAAGGCTACTACATTTTAAATCCTTAAGTATATGTTCATTTCTTAATAATTGTATATTGAACGATCTATTTATGCGATGAAATCAAATTCATGGTGTTCGATGATTGTTTTTACAATTCTAATTGGTTTCTTCAGATACAAAGATTTCTTATTTCTTTTAGGGCACAGCAATGAAATGGAATTAGAAACTCCCTGTTTTTATTGAACTCTCCGTAGCAATGTGACGTAGAGCGTCCAAACGAAGAACTGGCTTTTGTATTGTTCTAAGGAGGTTTTTCAAAGATATTGAGAATGTAAAACATTATACTTTATCACATGCTCTGTAAAATTCCAGTAATCTGATTGGTTGATTACCGTGTGAGTTTTCCCGTCTCACACGGCCGTCTCACACGTTACTAGAGGCAACCAGTGATGATCGATAGCAACGATGTGACGTCACTGATTATATCACTTCTAGCTAAGGAAAACAATATGACGTCATACTATTTCACAAACAAGTACGAATACAACGGTATGACGTCATATTGTTTCAAAGCGAAATCAAAAATTATAATAGTTACCAGAAGTACACGGGGTTCTGAACACAATCATAACTGACCAAATCAAAATGCTTCAAAATTCCTAGACATGTGATAAAATCGTCATCACACGTTTCAGCTTATGTGATACAGGAAATATTCCACTCGGGTAACAATGTATCACCACTCAAGCTTCGCTTTCGTGGATGATACAATATTACCTTTCGTGGAATATTTCCTGTATCACATGCTGAACGTGTGATAACTGATAGTTTGGGTCATTGCGAAGAATAAAGATGATACAAAATGTTGCATTATTGAGTTAGAAGTCGCGAAGTCCTATATTTACATTTTAAAAATATGCCATTTTGACCCTGGTCTTTTTTCAAATTATCTGAAATTTTCTTTCGATTTTGCATGGCAGCCTTGCTTTATGTTAATCCAATCAGAAACATTTATTCAGAAAAATATAGATGAGAAATAAGGAATTAAAAAAACAAGAAAAAGAATGGATTAAATAAGATTTTTTATTTATTTTCCATTATATCACATAATTCATAATTGGAAGATACAGACTACTCTTGTCCCATATTTACATTACAGATGTAATCTTAAAGAACTCTCGGGGCGTTTAAACAACGTTGACTTATATCATAGTTTTTTTTTCATGTTATCAATTTATTTCTAATATAAACATTTACATTCAATTACAAATTCTAATTGCCAAGGTTTGCAACATTAGCGGCAATTTAATATATATATTATATATACATGTAGATATTAGATAATGAAATAAGATAAATTTGTTAAGGTTATTTCAAAATACCTGAAGGTTATCCCATGGGCCAGGATGTTAACGGAACTTGAAAAATAATTCGGTCATTGCAGAAAAAAGGACTTGTCAAATTACTACTAGATAGATAATAAAACAAGGCTTGTATGTATATAATAGCTAACAATATGAATTAAAGCTTCATTCATAGTAGCATCCAGGTTAGTGCTTCCAAACAGTAAAAATTGTAATTTGTCATTCAAGTTGTAGTTATTGAACAAGTCACTTAAATTGTAAGTACGAAGGCCTGCAATGAGGTTGTTTCTTTCATTCTGTAGCAGTGGGCATTTTAAAAGAAAATGCATGGTTGTCATTGGTACACCACAATGGCACAAAGGATCAGTAATGTCTTTGAAGTTGTGAGCATAAAGGTGTGATTTTAATAAGAGGCCAGATCTTAGTCTATTAAGTTTTATTTCGAGATGTCTGGGTAAGGTCACATTTAATTTAGTAGTTGGGATTAAAGAGACAGGGCTCTTGTACTCTCGCACTAATCTTTTAAAACTAGAAATAGGTTGACCCCTTCTAGTATCAGGTGGCAAATCATTCCACAATGTTATAGCCTGAAATATGGTACTTCTTTTAGAAGACATGCTCAGTCGAGTTGGAAGAGAATAATCTCTTTGATCTCTTAAATTACGGGCAGGTATATGCTCATATTTACGAAGTAAATCACAAATAAACGGGGGGTTGATATTATATCTGCATTTAAAAACAAACATTTTTAGGTGCTCGATTCTTCTAACGGATAAGGATTTTTCAATTCAAAGAATTTAAGACTTTAATAGTATTGGATCCATGAATAGAACCAGATACCAAACAGGCTGCTCGGTAGTGGAGTCTGTCAAGAGCTTGTAGTTTCAAATTTGAAGCCTTATTGTAAATTACATCGCAATAATCAAAATGTGGCATGATATACGTATTATATATTATCTCTAAGTGCATACTATTTAAAAGTTTGCTCAATTTTTTCATTGGTCTTAGGAGTGAGGTAACTCTTTTTATAATCTGATCAATATGGTAATTAAAGTTAAGGTGTTTGTCAAGATTAAGCCCTAGATGTTTGTGATTCTCACAACTGGGAATAACATCTGCACCTAATCTCAATGGTGGTGGGTCAAAAGGAATATTTCTTCTAGAGAAAATGATGTCGGCGCTTTTTTGAGCTTTGAATTGCATCTTCCAGGTGGCAGCCCAGAGAGCAAGCTTGTCCAAATCACTTTGAATTGGTTGATGAATATTGAAAAACACTGTATTTTTGTCATATGGGCAATAAATGGAAGTATCATCGGCAAAAATGAACGATTTTGATAGTAATTCATCTGGCAAATCATTTATATAAATTAGAAATAGTAACGGTCCAAGGACAGACCCTTGTGGCACTCCAGCATTGATGGTATAGTTCACAGACTGCTCATTAGGTTCATTTTGATTGTTAATATTATTTGAAGACCATTTTGAAAGGGTGCCATTCACGCGGACTTATATCATAGTCTTTATACTATAGTATAACATGGGCTTTCAAATTAGATAGTTGAAAGCCCTTGAGTATAAAAAGATGTGATACGTTTAATCCCTTTGTACAACTTTTGCCTTTTAAATTTTTCTTCTCCGGCCTTGAAATAGCATTTTTACACCTCTGGGTTGTAACAGATACATACACTGACTGATGAAATGAATTAAATACACATAATAATAAAACACACATAATAATGATACATAATATGTAAGGTTCCAAGAGATATCGATTGTATTTTAGTTGTTGGTCATTCTTCAAGGCTGGTATTGTTTGTGGTTAAGACCTTGAATTCATCATTTGTAGTCGCTTGGTACATGTTGTCATATTGCTCACTAGAAAACATACAATTTTAATAAGAAAACTTAAATATGAAGGGCACACTTGTAACACAATTTGGGGTAGAACATGTGCATTCCTACATCATTCTGATGTTAGAATAAGTTACATTATACTTATGCTCAGTAATACTCTTTTGAAAATGGATGCAAAAAATTATCAAAACGTATTTATAACAGAAATAAAAATCAAGAACAAATTCACGCTTAATTTGGATAAAATACAAATCTTGATATTCATTTTCAAAGACAGAAATGCGATAACATGACAACAAAGACAAAATTAGGGGCTACATATTGAAAACGCCAACCCTTTCTCAGGCTATTGGTTCAAACTCACGTTCCGAATAGCTCAGCATCTTTAAGCGTATCGGGAAGTCTCCTCCCTTTTGTCTCGGGGAGCAAAAAGCATAACAGACCTACGATAACAGGTACACTGCCCAAGACGAGATAAGGTAAACCATACCAATATACGGACTGAAACATGATAATCATTTAACGGTTATTGGTCGTCTTACTGTAATATTATCAAAGATATATGGAGAATGTATAAGCACAAATGCCAAAAAGGAAGGGTGACTTAAAACTTTAAGGAAACCCAACAAGAAAAGCAAACTGTAAGTGTAAATCTGTCATAAGAAAAGTAGACCCTATATATCCCAAAACCATGATCTAACGTGAAAAGGAACAATGTCTAACATCCCCCTCCAGTATGAACACTTAGATGAGCTAAGCTTTAATCATCAGAAGTTGTTGTATGCATATTCTACTAAACTATGGAAAAAAGCTTTTAGTAAAGATGTCATCGTTTAGGTTTCATATTAAAATGACGTTAAACACCAAATGAGAAATACATGTATAACGGAATGTATAGAGTATGCTTCGAATTGCCGCTTCGATCAAATAAAAGCTTCATATCAAAATGAAGGAACATACCAAAAGAGGCATATAGGGTGCGACCAGCCCACACATCCTACCAAAGCTAGACCCGCTGCCAACTGCTATGTTTCTTGCCTCGGTTGGGTTAAGTTCAGCGGTGAAACTGTATGTGAGAGGCCACAGATTGTTAATTAGTACGCTTCCAATAAATGCAAGCGCGCTTATTACACCAGGAACACCTAAACAATATTTATAGATTACTAGTTGATTTAGTTCATGTTGCATTCGAGCAGGTACCATCGTTACTCGTACGGGATTATCGCCCATAAGACAGCCGACCATACCTAAATATACGCCTGTGTCTATCTGTGAAAAATCTATAGATTGATGAACTTAATCACGACCTCTACTTATTATGGGAGCATATATTTTCCCCAATCACATTTGAAATATGTTTTATCAGGCCTACCTACCCCTTGAAAGTAGAGGAACCATTATGAGAACGCAGCAGCCATTTGCGATCAAATATGCTGACAAAGCTATCTTTCTTCCAAGTTTATTGAACGTGAAGTAGGCCAAGGGTAGCGCTACAATTTCACTGACGCCTATCAGAATAAATGTGTTCAAATAAAAATCCCCGGGAATTATTTTTCCAATGTTGAGCTGCATACCGTAAGCACTAAACACCAATGCTCCCCTGAAAAAAGGGAAAATATACTTATTGTGGCATAGTGGCATTTTAAGATGAAGAATATTAAATTATTTGAGGTTAATGAGATTTACTTGAGAAATCGAGATGGATGGCTGTACATTATCATGCGATCCAGATACTAACGCATGTCTACCAGGAAGGAATCTTTTTTTAAAATGAGGTCACATATGTGTATAATATGTTGATTTTTATGTAGACATAATAAAAATTTATGACTGGACCGCATTGCAGTCTCGTTTTCAATAGACAAGTGCGTCTGGACCGCATCTTCTGTTGCCACCGATATGCTTTGCATAGATTATTCGATTACCACGCATATGATCCGCATCCTGACTTCAGAATTTCGTCCTAGCAAGTCCGAGACTGTTTGTTTTCTTTTTTTTACTGAATACTGATAAATATGGCTTGTCCGCCCGCTCGCGTGGATTGGAAGGGGGTCTTAGGTTGGATCCTCCGAAATCATCAGGTAAGAATAAATAGCTAGTGGTGTATTCGGTACTAGGTGTTTTGCAAGATGTTCATAGTGGTTTTATTTATATATGTTGGCTATTCATCTTATTTCTTTGTATAAACGTCCTAACTCAAAGCATCAATAAGCATGCTTAATATCGCATGGGCATTTACGATAATTGATACATTCAAATTACGTTATTCCTCCAAGGCCTGTACAATGTGTGTTAATTTCAACATATAATGTGTGCTATTTCGATGTCAATACAACTGGTTATCATGACCATGCGATATATATAGATTGCTTATTGATCTAAAAACAGCTTTAATGATGATATTTTGGACAAAAATCAAATTACAAATAATTCATCATGTTCTTCGATTATTTCCAACTTGTTACCCTGCTATCAAACCAAACAAGTTCTCACTACGTTCTTGAAAACGGGATTCAACTGTGTACGAACGGACTGGACGTACTTAGAACCGTTTGGGGTCTATTTACAAACTTCATCGAACGTACCCGAACGGGTAGGTCCTCTAGAACTTAGAACATGCTCAAAATGTTCTCGTGGTCGTCAAGTTCTACAATAAGGAGTGACAACGTACTAACGACGAGCTGGACGTACTACTAACGGAACCGTCGTACTTCAATTCTACTAGAGACGTTTTTACAACGAGTTGTACTGTCTGAGGACGTATTGAGAACGAGGTAGAACTAATTGCAAACGGGTTTAAACTGACTAAGAACGTATTAAAGACTGCTTATGAACGAGTTAGCAAAAATATAGCTATCACACCAAACAAGTTGTCACTGCGTTCTTCAAAACTGGTTTTAAACTGTGTGCGAATGGAATGAACGTAGCAGCAACTTTCTAAGGTCTCTTTACGAACTTCATGAACGTTCTCAGACTGGAAGGTGATTTTAGAATTTTGAATCGATTCTAAATTCGACGGCGACCATACCGTTCTGTAATCAGGTCATGATGACCTTCTAGACTAAGGGACGCGTTACACGACGTTGCACACCGACGTGGTGCGACCTGAACGAACTGCGAATGAGATGGACGTATTGGAGACTGTTTATGAACGAAGTAGCCAATTATTTTAGACATATTTCCCGACCACAGCCAGATTGAGCCCGTTTTACGACTTTTTCGTAGGACTGGCAAGAACGGGTAAGAACTAGTTTGGTGTGATAGGGGGGTTAGTAAAGTAATAATGTATGTTTGTAACAAGGCCTCAAAAGGTGATTTCTTTTATACTTCATTCATACTAATAAAACAGAATACGTTTTATTATATCAATATGATATATACTGTACATACTCCATACAGGCTATATTCTAAATACATATGCCTAAATGTTTATGCGTCGACTTATATCTCAAGCTTTCAGAACTTACAGACGCTGCTTGCAGCTAAAATGCTCCAGTAGAGACAAATTCTAAGCAATTAAAAAAATCTATGAAATGCAATAAAAATATACAAGACGACAGATAATTCTGATGAAGCTCTGCATTTTCTTTTGATAAACATGCACATATTGCATAAATCGATCAGGTGAAGGTTATAGTTCAACACAAGGAGTTCCAATTTACAATAGTATGTCTTCTGACAATTTGGAAAATATATCATAGGGATGAAAATATTTTTGAAATAAGATTCCCAAACTTTTCCGGAATTCCATAAATTGCCAGAGGGTCATACTGTCACAGAGGTTTATCCAAAATGGGCAGAGGTATAAGATAGCAGTATATCTCCTCCGATTGTTCCAGTTAACATAAGATTCGATAGTCTATTATTCATTTCTCTATTTCATTGTTTTGTTATTATTTTCAACTACAATCATCACCTCTTTATACCTTAATGATCTTGAAGTGTTTTATTGAATCCCCCTTATCCTGGATTTTAAATATTTAAATATGCTAAGACCTATTTATTTTTCTGGTGCACATCGGAAATGGTTTTGATAGAGCGTCCCTTTTATATCTGAAAAGAAAAAAATGATAAAGAATAGCTATTTAAGATAGCACTTTCTGGTCAGATTATCATTATTTATTTGCCTTTATTTAAACAGAGTAGCTTTTCACACAAATTACAACTTAAGCCAATATAATTCGGCGCTGTTTCGGCATCGAAAAAATTTGGCACCATTCTGGCACCGTTTCGGCACCGAAACCTTTCGACACCAAAATTTGCCACCGGACTTGTCAGTCCATTTGGTGCCGAAACGGCACCGAAATTTTGCACCGAAACGGCGTCAAGAATCAAATTGCATTTATAGACTATATTTTATATCATCAAATTAAAACAAAATATGAACTAAATGTACATGTCTTTGTTAGTTTGTCTCTTACTGCTTTTGTAAATTTTTGTGAAACCTCTTTGGGAATTTTTAATGGGCGCAGCACCAGTTGATGTATTGCTATTTTTGAATCCAAACTTGGAGGAGGACGTGATTAAAAAATTCAGCTGGCCACCATTTTTCACTTCAGAATTTAAATTGTGAGTTCCTGTCTAATTTCTGAAAATTTCATAAGATTTCAAAACACACAAGAAGTCATCAGGATATTAATTCAAATCTTTTTGATCATGCATTTGAAGTCAGTTCGGATTCATTGCTGAAAAATATCGAGATTGCATTATGGGATAAAGTCTTCTTTGATTGCTAGGGAGATCATTGAAGGAGAACGTACTTACATCATCAATACCCTCTCCTTCATCACTATGACAATTATCGTAAGTGATGTTATCATCTTCAGCTTTAGGAGTGTTAACGTTCACATTGATCTTGGCTGAAAACATTCATAAGAACATTATTTGTTATTATGGATGAAAGAAACAAATCATTCTGCAATAGTACTCCTGATTACCACGCCCGGCGATCGGAAAATTAACGGAGTGGGGGGGGGGCTAAGAGTGGCCGATTCTGGCTAGAAAATTGAACAAATCTTGAAGATTTATTTTTGCAAGAAAAAGTTAACTAGTGAATTCCTAAATGAATAAGCGCACGTATGCCATCAACAGGTGTTACAATGATCGTTAGATATAAGTACTGATTTGAATCCCATAGCGACATGTATTTCTTATATCATGTATTTATTTCACCCACCAGTTTCTGTTAATTCTCCATATGCTTTTAGGTTGATGGCCTCTTCAAGGGTGTATACGAATATAACATCTGCCTTTGCATCTCGATAGTCCCTTAATTGTAATAATAAAATATCTCCAACATTAGCCTAAAATGAGAACACAGAATTTATATCTATATTTTCCCATCATTTTTACCATATAAATGCATGTAGCTGATTAATTTTTACTTTATCTAGGCTATTGTATTTGGGCCTTCAGTGTAATAATGTAAAAAAATGAAATAAAATCTTGATAGGAAAACAAATTAAAAATTATTTACAGTTTGTTTTGTCAGCCAGTTATAATCACATTTTCAAATAAGCCACTAAAGCGGGTGTAAATGCTCAGGACGTATCGAAACCATTACATCCCGGAAAACCTTTGTTTCGAATTTTAAACCTACCAGCCGTTTGAAAATTAAAGTCCCCATATAAAGTTTAAACCACTTTGGCTTATATTGTAGTCTTACCCAATGTCTGATATGTGAAACTTTTTATTTTAATTTCAAAAAGTGGTTTTTGGTGGACTTTTTGTTCGAAAAATCGTGAATATCTTTAAAATTAACTTTTAGAGATCACACATCTCTTTTAATAAGCGATAATTCATATCAGTGCACAGCATTCATCCTCACATGTTTTTTTGCCGAAAAAATTAAGAAAATCAGTTCATAAATAAGCGAGAAATGAACTCATCAATCCATGAAAATGGTTCAGAGAAAAATGCATTTCAAAATTTTAGTTCTCATAGAAACCAATGGTACATTAATATGTACTACATAATATATTCTTCCTTTAACCTGGTTAGACAATCAGCATTCATTTAATAGACTAGATGCGAGTAGAAAAAATCTTGATTTACGCCATTAAATATTCAAAATTCAGTCAAAGCGATGTTATATTTGAAATCTACATGTAAAAGTACATCTAGAAATATGGTTTAGAAAATTGTTTATCAAGTTTGAAGATTTAATTATTTTTGAAAGTGTGACTTCTAGTTCGGGTTGATTCTCCATAGAGCCCATGTTACAAAATCACAAAAAAGTGAAATATCTTTCATGTATTGGTCAGATAACATTTTCATTTACTGGACATATTTTGATTTGCATAACTGTTAGATACAATTTAAGTTAAAGGGAACTTTCTACTATATCCGCCATGCTATCTGACCCGAACGAGCCACCTGGTGGTGAAACTGGTAACTACCTACTCGCATCTGCGTTATTTGGAAGTGTAGCATACTTAGAAAAGTCATTGAAATAACGCGTCCTTTATATAATCTTTGCATAGGTGTTAAAAAGATGATCTTTTTTGAAATGTATGGTAGAATATATGATGATTAAAAAATATTTATCAATCTATATCAATTTATCAATATTTTTTTGAAAAATTTGGGGAAATTTAAATATATCGAACATTCGAACATGACTGTATTCCCGCCTTCTATAAACTGTAAACAAAGTCAATGCTTCAGCTGGGTTATATTCGAGATCAATAACCCAGTTAATACGTGTAATGTGTGACGTCATAACGGTGGGTCGTAGTAATGGCGGACCATGATGAATATTCGAAACAATTTGGTGAGTTTTCATGTTCGAATCGTAATATATAGACCTCAGAGCAGGGGTAATATCGTCGAATACACCCCTTGGGGCTAGGCACAAAAGCTTTCGAACCCCTCACTCCCTTCGGTCGTTCTGTGTACAGAAAACGTTTGTGCCTAGCCCTGCAGGGTGTATTCGACGATATAACCCCCGTTTTTCGGTCTATATTTCTTAATAACACGGGGATTTCAACTATAAGGATGGTTATCTCGACAAGCTTCTACTCATGCTTGCCAATAATTTCCATATGGACGCCCATTACGAACCACCATACATTTTGGCGTTAGACGCAGCAGTTTTGAAAACACAGTCACATATAATTAACAATTGATCAATATGGGGGAATTCCACTTTAAAATTGCCTTGTTCGATTTAACTGGATATCATGGAAAACTTGTAACTAATTATGTAAAAACGAAAATTGCAGGTACCCAACCCATCCCAATATACCACCGAGATAACTGGCTGGTTTGAAATTCAAATTAACTGTTTTGCGGGGCATGGTTTGCATACGCCCCGAGAATTTGGACCCTCGTGACACTGATTCATCAATTAGTTTATTCATCTTAAATGCTTACCTTCTTTCTTTGTTCTTCTCTGATATAAGCTAATCTACTGGTTCCATCAAAACAGTTTGTTTCTACTCTCCCATTTCCTAGCATTTTAACGACTTGCGCATACTCTTCAAGAAAAATTCAGATAAAATTAATTCAGTGATATGATATCATTCGTTTTAAGAAAATTCAAAAATTTATAGTTTTGAATCAAAATCTTCTCTGACCTTTACTTTGACATTGATCTGATAATAAAAGTTACAATAGTAAAACGAAAAACTATAAAATATGAATCTCGATTCCACATCACAAATACAATCCAGAAGTCAAATATCAGAAACACAATATGACAAACCTTGTCCTTCTTTTTTGAAGACCAACTCTCTCGTTTCTTTGTCATTTTCATTTTTATCTCTCCTAATTCTCTCTCTTCTTCCTGAAACAGGGATATAAAGGTACAGTCATTGGAGGCATTCATCGGGAAATAAGTTTATTTCAGAACATATTAGAGAGATTTCGCACCTAGTGAAAGTACAACTTATAACGTATACTTATACTTATAAGCAAACGTACAAGGTGTTTCATAATGTGGGCTTTTCGTCAGGAAAGATCTTCTCGGACTGTAATAAATAAAGGTCAAATGGATGCCATTTGTTCTTTCTTAAATTGAAGCATGTTTAGTTGATCCAAATGTGTTTGTCTAGAATAAATTAGGCTCATATATAGTACGTATGTTATAGACCTATCTCTTCTCAAATTGACTTTTTGAGATGCTCGTTATGAAACACCCTGTATGTCATTTGTTGAGCTACTGAATGGGTCGTTTCCAGGAATTGCTGGAACCTACTGGTTTGATTGGTGTTTCAAATTGATAGTTAAAGTGTTTGATTGGATACTGTTCCTACCCAGCCAATTATTTTAAAAAAATGCTTGCGGTCAATTGTTCCACACACATGCAGGTAAAGCTTTATACGGAGATCCAACTGTATACGTTTATCATATCGTATATATACCGTTTTGTAAGTTCATTGAACTTATACTGATCATGAAAACTTTGAAATAATCAACTTGTTTATGTAATGACTCACTTTAAAGGATCGTGACTAACTTTAAAGGATCGTGTTTATAATACACTACAACTACTAGGACACGGAAGCAAGCATTTAATTATAATGTGCATAATCTACACGTGCAGATGACAGTGCATTCACAGTCTCTAGTTGATGGAACTTTTCTATATCGGGAATAGTTATGTTCCATTAAGTACACTTTGAAATTGATTTTAGTAAATATAATAGTTCGACATGACCCTTTAAAGTATACGTATACGTATAAGTTGTACTTTCACTTATGTGCGAAATCTCTCTAAAATCACATAGGAGAACAATGATATTTTTTTTGAAAAAAGGGAAGGGAAACACCCATGTTTTCATACCCTATTTTGAACCAGAAAATTATATCGGCATCCATCCGGGTTTCAAAGCTCATAGAAAAATTGTATTTTTTGATTTAGACGTATGGACAAACCTTGTTGTTATGATGTGCATCTAAAAGGCTTAAAATGGATGCCCTCCTGGAGACGTAAAGTCCGTTTCACCTTTTCTCTTCGTCGATGAAATCAAATATAAGATTATGAAAATGAATTTTTTCTGCATCTTTATTCGATTTTCACACTTTTGTATTTGATTACAACTATTCGATATTCCACTCTATTAAAATGATTCGAAACACGTAATAAATTTGTTTGTTTTTACACATTTATATTTGATTTATGTACCTATATATGCGGTAAATGCACTTGTATATGCGGTTTATGTTATTCAGTGTTTGGTAAAATATCACATATTTAAGTCCATGTACACACACGAACAAAGACAGTTGACACATATATTTAGAACACGCATCAAATACAAATACACTTTAGAACCAAACAATGTTCATTTACCGAACAATCATAGAGTACAAAATAGCACGGACATATAGTGACTTACCCCACAAAATTAATGACATGTTTCGCATAAAATTATGTGGGGTAAGTCACGTGACTTACCCCACATAAATGACACATGCTGCATGTAGCATAAAACCATTCGGTAAATCACGTGACCAGTGACGTAGACATTTCAAAATGGATGAAACAAGCGAGGAAAAATAATTTGAATATGATTCATATTCACAATTCAGAGAGGAAATTGAGAAGTCATTAGATCATTACAACAGGCATGAGGCTACATAAGCGACCCTTTCTTAATAGAAGATACGTTTTCGCGATTGGAGAATCACACCAGAGCTCTTTGAATATATAGATGGCGCAAGTCACATGGTCAAAGTCACGTGACTTACCCCATATCAAAACAGTGAACAATGGTTTATATAAAATCATTCGGTAAGTCACGTGACTTACCCCACAAATGAATATGTTTAGCACAAATGAATATGTTTACCCAATACGAATGGTACTTGGCATCGCACATATCTAAAATACTTATCAAATTTATATTTGATCGGGTCGAATACACTTTTGAAGCATCTTACATATTTGTTGTGTAAGACAGTCAATTATATGTGGGATAGTAGGTACCATTTGTTGTAACTGGTTTTGTTTATGTTCGGTTTAACTTACTCCGTGGGGTAAAAACCGAAGATATTAATGTTACGAATATTGATGCAATAAATACACTATATTAAGTTACATGTACCTACCAGTATTTGGTGAACAATTATACATTTGACTTTATGCCCACGGTATAAAATCTCTAGGACGTCTAATAAAGAAGCTGGTAGCACACTATAGCGCAGCGATATTTGACCTAATATTAACATAAAGGCTTAAAGGCTGAATTATGCCTGTCATTAGCAGAGGTAAAAAATTGCCAAAAACTGAAATCACCCTTTTCACAAATTGGAGTCCACAATGCAACAGGAAATGCTTTGTGCATTTGACGCATTTGAGGCTATATTGGACATGTAAACCCAGATGATTCACAGAGCTGCTCAAAATAGTATATCTGGTCTGACATTGGCTCTAATACAGAAACAGTTATAAATGCAAAAGAAAAAATGACTGAATCAATGAATGAAATGAGGGGAAAATGAAACACCAGTGAAAATTTTGCCATTTTATGTCCATATTTTCTTATTCTCATTTTCGGACCAACTTAGTTTTCGATTACAACAAAAGTAATAGTGAACGTACCCCTATTCTGCGACATGATAACTTAGTATGTTTAGTCTCTTTCTCTTCTGTATTTATTGCATAACATCCACTTGCTTGTCAAAATATTTATGACTGGAATAAGGACATCTGCAATCTGCAACTGATTCAGTTTGGTTCTAGTTCGTGAAAGTGCGCATGAGCAAAATGCGAGTTTTTCCCCATGATATCTTTCGATTGAAGTCTGGTTCAGTCATCATGCTGTGAACGAAACTACTAGGTATGTCGGTATCGTGCAGTGATTAACGTCGTTAGTGCGTACATCATCCATTCTCACACAATATGAACAACCGTGACTTACAAAACTTATAAACTAGGATCCTACAGTAGCAGATGTATCCGATGGGAGCACTCAGTGTTAAAAAATTGTCTTTCACCACTGTCACCATTCTTTGTAAAAATTACCGGGGAGTATTAAAAAACACCTAGAAGAAGCGGTTTGTGTAATTTAATCGAACGATCCTGAATGATAATACAGATACAGGTGGTTAAAATTATTAATAAGGTTGAAATACATATGGATTGAGATGTTAAATTAATTGAGCAATATGGCCATTATTATGTACGCGGCCCGATCAGAAAGTAAGTAACCAACTGCTCTCATTTTTTTCATTATTCAATCACATTGAAATTTTCACATATGATATGATGCAGAAAATATTAACCTATTATATAATTATACAAGATCAATGACAATTGACCTTTTGCGAATTTTGTTTATGGCTTCTGTTGTCACGTATTTTGTCTTATTGCTGTGACGTCATATAGAAATGATATTAGACATGATGGAATCACGAAATGGCGGACACGTGGCAGTTGTCGTTTCTTTTATGAAAACCATGGGTCGGATATTTACCAGGTATGCCGATTTGACTAGAACATGAGTAGATCTATATATGTGCGAAGTTTGGGTGAAATTCATACTAAACATCGATGCCTATAAGCGCCCTCCGTTTTTGTCAAAATCGGGGGGCGCTTAACCGCTATCTAAATCATGTCAGTAAGATCTTAGACTTGGTATGTGCTTAGGCTGAATGTTGATCTAGTCAAATCGAACGCTTTCGTGAAAAATAAACCAATAAAGAACGAAATATAGAAGATAATCTCTCAAAATCAAGCAAAGCTGGATGGCCTAATTGTGACGTCACTAAAAGATAGAATCCATTCGGTGATCGCAAATCATCAATTGGGTTAGCTTCAATTACATTGTTATGTGCGTTGCTATGGTGACAATTGTTTTGGGTAGGCGGGGCACCCTTTTGAAAGCGGGTTTGGACTGGTAATTTGTAGACATTAAAGCTTATTAACTAGGGCCTTTTTGAAGTTTTTTGATCGTGCTATCTCTGTTCCAGGCCTTCTTGAACACTTGTGCAAAGATTAAGCTTAATGGATTCACATGAAGCACGAGTTGACACATACTACATGTATTAACGTCTGTTGTAGAGTTATATCATGATTAGAGTAGCTCTAATTACTTAACAGAAGGCCGAGAAAACTCACTGACATCTTTTTCCAGTGAGCGCTCGTTGGGAATGAGGTCATGTTTATGCTCCGATTTGCATCAATAGTCAACACATATGAATGCACTAATACAAACATTTTGCAGTTACATATGTTGGCACCGAATGCGCCAAACTATTCTTTCTTATCTTATGTCATCGAATAATATAATATAAATCCCTTTCGACACTTTCAAAGTCTGCTCGCGAATGAGGCGCCATATTTATCGGGATTTAGTAAAACCCAACTCGGGTCATGGACTTGCTGTAACGAAATTCTGAACTCAGGATAACGATCATACGAGGTGATTACCATGCCAGCCAAGTAATAATGGAATGTTTTCTGAGCCTTGGAGTACGAAATAAATCCAAAACAGTCGGCATCTTAGAAGAACTGTTGACCTCTTGATCGTCCTTCATACAGGTAATTGGGAATATGAAAAGTTTGATTTAAAACATACTAGTATAGATGAACGTTTTACATATGACATATGAGCCAGGCCACAAGAAATGGGGTCTTATCACAGAATTTTTCAATAATTTGATTTTTGTTTATCTTACAAAGCACAAAGAGACCTTTTAAATGAGCCATGGCTTATGTCTATACAATTTCCCTCGTGTAGATCAAAAATACGGATTTGAATTTTTGGCCGCGTAGCACAATTTTGGATTTTTTGTGATAAGACCGGTTTTCCTATGTTGAGGCTCATATGACTACAAAAGAGATTCATCTTAAATTAGACTTAAATGAAGCATATAGATGAAAGTTTTACATATGACATATGAGCCAGGCCACAAGAAATGTGGTCTTATTACAGATTTTTTCAATAATTTGATTTTTGTTTATTTCAAAAAGCAAAAAGAGACCTTTTAAATGAGCCATGGGCTATGTCTTAAAGGCCCCATGTAAAGTTTAAACCACTTTGGCTTATATTGTAGTCTTACCCAATGTTATCAAAGTGTAATATGTGAAACTTTTTTTTTAAATTTCAAAAAGTGGTTTTTGATAGACTTTTTGTTCCAATATTTGTGAATTTATTTAAAACCAACTTTTAGAGGTCACTCATATCTTCTAATTAGCCACAATTCAAACCAATGCATAGCATTCATCCTCCCATGTTTTTTGCCGAAAAAATTAAGAAAATCGGTTGATAAACAAGCGAGAAATGAACTTATCAGTGCATGAAAATGGTTCTGAGAAAAATGCATTTCAAAATTATAGTTCTCATAGAAACCAATGGTACAATGATATCTAAAACATAATTTATTCTTCCTTTTAACCAGGTTAGACAATCAACGTTGGTTTTTTATGAAAGTCTAGCATATTTAGAAAAGATTGACATTGAAAAAAAAATTTCAATTTTTTTCAAAAAGTTTTTGTTACCTTAGTGACATCACTAATGTTTCAAAATACTTTTGATATGCTAAAACATTGAAGTGGCCCATTAAATATGGCATTTTATTATTGAAATAGTGTGTCATTTGTTCAATCTTTGCGTTGGTGTTAAAAAGATAATCTTTTTTGAAATGCATTAAGAAATATTTGATGATTAAGAAATTTCAAAATTTAAGAAATTTCAAAAATGGCGGGAAATTTGAATATTTGAGAAATGAAATGCTCACAACTTTTTTTTCAAAATTTTTTTTTGTTCAAAAATCTCTAAAATCACTTTTTAAGTCCTGACAAATAGTAAATGAATGATAAAAAAATATTTTCAAACTTTAGACGGGGACTTTAACAATTTTCCTTGTGTAGATCAAAAGGACGGATTTGAATTTTTGGCCGTGTAGCACAATTTTTGATTTTTGGGATAAGACCGGTTTTCCGATGCTGAGGCTCATATGACGTACAAAAGAGATTCATCTGTGAATTTAAACATATCATGTTAATATATCATCATATCAATATTTTGTACATTTTAGAGTATCAAATTCGGGCGCCATTCAATAGCTTTTACTTTCCAGGGTTTCAGCAAAGAGAAGACAAAGTTACTAGCAAATGATATAACCATTGTATGAAGTAGATATAACCGGTGGAGTTTTTTTAGTGATTTTACAAATCTTTAGATCACAACCCGCGAAAAAGTATCTAAGATTAACTTGACGCTTCTTACCATTGTAACCTTTTCTAAACTAAACGTTGGACTCAGTTTAGTATTATTTATTTTTGCTATACGTTTGCAGACAAGTTCCGCCTCCTGGAGACGACCTTTCACAATTAGCCATCTTGGGGATTCAGGGAGGAGTCTGATAAAAAATAAAAATTATTAAATTCAACAATATACACAAGTCAAAACACATGACTAAGCATGCAATATTGAAAGTAGTTAAAGCCTATGTATAGGATTTCTGAACACACTTGCTTGGCCATCCTCCTAAACAGGTGTCCAGAATCCGTACCTCCTTCTTCCCCCTGCTATAACCAAGTTGGAAGCGCCCGATCAAACTGAATCACGTGATCTAATTATGCGCCGATGACCTATACATCGCGACAGCGAATCATATTGCGAGTTCTTAATCGGGGAAATGCTAACTGCTTATAGCAGGGGGTAAAAAGAAAGAATATATTCTGGATTTTGAAGCCCTGTGATCGGAGGATGTTGCTTGGCTAACGCCAGTAGAAGAAACGTCGCCAGAAAAAGTAGAAAAATCCGAACTTATGAGCCGTTTATGATTGAAATACATATTATGTTATAAGGTTGAGACGGTTAAAACCGTGACCTTAATGTTATGTTATATAGATGTTGAAAAAGCTTTAGGAAATAAAATTAATACGAATGAAATATTCGAAAATAGTTCTTACAGTATACTAATAAAGGGAACAAGTATGACAACGCCACTTGTTATTTGTAGATGAACGTGGTTTCTTATGAAGAACGCTGCTAAAACGAAGGTTATACCCTTAAAAACACGACCAGCCATTGTGATAAAGATTGCCAGAGATCTCTTTTCAATTGGCATTGTTTCCAATACTGTAACATATAGTAATTTGAAATGAATTTATTAAATACATGTACATATAAGTATTGCATCTCAAATTATAAATTATTTAATTGATTCACTAGGTTATTTTTAGCTTCTTCGAAATCTATTGTTTGGACAACAGTGGTGATCAAGTACAGTATCAGTGTAGATTCTTGAGTCACGTTTGCTCTGATTTATCGGCCTGCGCTCGACCAATTGAGTATTTTGTTGAAAACTGAATACAATTTTGGACATAATACTCAATCGTCCGAGCACCGGCCGATGAAACGAAGCAAATGTGATTCAGGCATGATTGAATCGATGGTTTCGCACTGTAGTAAAACACTTGTTGTCCTTGTTGGTATTACGTGTTTCGATAAAATGTACACTAATAGATAAATTATATCACTTGAATTCATTGTTTTTCATTATTGTACTACACATTATATCGTGTCAATGACTTGACAATTGCGCGTTCTGGTTTAGTTGGTAATACAGTAACTTAGAAATCGGTACAGCTTTTATTGAAACAACACTAAGCTTTTCCATAGAGATACTCTCAATAACTTTGGCAACAGGAAACTTTCATTGCATGCTATAGTTCGGAGGTTTATCACTTTAATGTTTTTATCAAACCAATAAATATAATCAGGCTTTGATAAATAATCCAAAGAGAGATTTCCTGTTGCCAAACGTATGTGGGACCAATTATGTTATATAGATATGTATTACATACCTAGCGAAGCATTTGTATGGAAGTCAATGGGAAAGTTAGCGAGCTATACCGATATTGCCCGATTACCCCGATATAGCCCGCTTACCTCGTTTTTATATTAGATTTCTTTAATAAACATGATAATATCATGACGTCACGTCATTGATACAAAGTAACCATGGGAACAAAGGCATGTAATACATCAGTTATGTCACTATGACGTGAAATATGCCTTCGTTCTTGCCCAAATATAGAGCCTCCCAAGGTCGGCCTATATTGGGAGAACTCAGGCATATTTCACGTCATAGTGACATAACCTCTAAATATATGTATTACATACCTAGCGAAGCATTTGTATGGAAGTCAATGGGAAAGTTAGCGAACTATATCCACCGATATTGCCCGATTACCCCGATATAGCCCGCTTCCCAGATAGCACAACTCTGATGGGCCAACGTTGGCACAACAATTACGTATCTGTTGGTCCAATGTTGGCTGACGTGGTTGGCCCACCGTCGCTATGTCCATTGGCCCAACGTTGGCCCATCGAAGGAAAATATGGTTGGTCCAACGTTGGCTGACGTGGTTGGGCCACCGTCGCTATGTCCATTGGCCCAACGTTGGCCCACCGAAGGAAAATATGGTTGGCTCAACGTTGGTCCATTGTTGGCCCGACATGATTTCAAGCTACGTTGGCCCATAGTTGGCCCACTGGTGGTAAGAAGAGTGGTTGGCCCATCGTTGGCCCACCGTTGACACAAATTTACTTTTTTTGTCCAGCCATTGTTGGCTCCCTGGCATTAGCGGCAGCCCACAATGGGCCGCAAACCAGCTACAATTGGCCAACTGCAACCATGCCACCCAATGGCCACCAGTAGTGACATTGGCCAGACGTCTTTGTGATATCTGGGCATTCAGTACTGCTACAGTATATGTGTTCACATATAATATCCGTTCTACATCAATAAAATATGGTGGCTTGTTTTTCCATACTAAATATATTTGGTAGCTTTATAAGTGGTTTCAACTGTATTACAAGGCGAAAATCCATATTTCTGAGGTAAACAACATTATCAGATAATTTTGAAAGAAAATATTTCATAAAATTTACCTTAATTTTTTTTAATGACTGCTGGTATGTTTTTCTTCTATTTTTAGGCAAAGCATTTGCACTTATATCTGGATAAGTGGCTTCCTGGTATTAGTGGCAGCCAACGACGGGCCAACGTTGGCCCAACTGCAATTTGCCAACTGCAATTTTGCACAGATTTATCGATAGTTGGCTCCCTGGTATTAGCGGCAGCCAACGACGGGCCAATGTTGGCCCAACTACAATTTGCCAACTGCAATTTTGATCCTGCGGTATTAGCGGCAGCCAACGACGGGCCAACGTTGGCCCAACTTCAATTTGCCAACTGCAATTTTGATCCTAGATATTAGCGGCAGCCAACGACTGGCCAACGTTGGCCCAACTACAATTTGCCAACTGCAATTTTGCACTGATTTATCGATAGGTGGCTCCCTGGTATTATCGGCAGCCAACGACGGGCCAACGTTGGCCCAACTTCAATTTGCCAACTGCAATTTTGATCCTAGATATTAGCGGCAGCCAACGACGGGCCAACGTTGGCCCAACTACAATTTGCCAACTGCAATTTTGCACTGATTTATCGATAGGTGGCTCCCTGGTATTAGCGGCAGCCAACGACGGGCCAACGTTGGCCCAACTACAATTTGCCAACTGCAATTTTGATCCTGCGGTATTAGCGGCAGCCAACGACAGGCCAACGTTGGCCCAACTACAATTTGCCAACTGCAATTTTGATCCTGATATTAGCGGCAGCCAACGACGGGCCAACGTTGGCCCAACTACAATTTGCCAACTGCGATCATGCCAACCAATAGCGACGTTGGCCCGACGATTCTGTGCTATCTGGGTTACCTCGTTTTGATATTAGATTTCTTTAATAACCATGATAATATCATGACGTCACGTCATTGATACAAAGTAACCATGGGAACAAAGGCATGTAATACATCAGTTATGTCACTATGACGTGAAATATGCCTTCGTTCTTGCCCAAATATAGAGCCTCCCAAGGTCGGCCTATATTGGGAGAACTCAGGCATATTTCACGTCATAGTGACATAACCTCTAAATATTAACTCTTACTATAACTCCATAGTGTTTGATAGGCGCCGTTGATAGTAGCTCCAACTAAGAATCTAAACACTAGAAATGCTGGAAAGTTGTGCACAACAGCTCCTGCGATAACTGACATAGATAATATAAGAACCAGAACAGCTGCTACGGGTTTCCGACCAAATCTAAAAAGACGAATTTAAAATAATAATCTTATTATTTGTATGTATGCTGTTACGAGACTTAAGGTCATCAAAGTTGAAAACGAGGCTATACGGATACTGACGTATCAAATGTTTGTTTGAGTACCGGGATTATTGTCGACCTTAAACACGATCACATGATCACGTCTTTTAAGGTACACTAGTAATGCAATCCTTAACATTAGTGCTGAGATTAACTGGCTTTAAGAAATCCGAAGTATATGTAATCATTCCAAGTAATAGGCAAGCTATAAGCCAATGTGTTTTAGTTACCTGTCAGCCAGAAACCCGGAGGCAAATGAGCCAATCATATTCCCAGCCAAAAACAACGTTCCAACCAAGGTAAACATCCATCGTCGTTCACAAACTAAATCAAACTGAAAAGTCGTTCTGCAATATTTTCTAAATCACTTCACTTTTAAGAATTCGGGGGATTTATTACACTAGAACCAAGTTTTGTGGTTTCAAACGAGGACTCTAGCGCAAGTATTAAAAACAGCATGCAGCAATCATGCGCAACAGATAACACTCTTTTAATCACACGCTTAAATTCTTCTTTACACAAGTCAAAATATTTCAACAATATTTTTAAAAAGAATCAGGGGCTCATCAGATAAGGAAAATACTTGCTTTATAAAGGTATTGCTTTGCCATTAACAGACTACCGTTTTCCTTCTTTGGTTGACACAATACAATGACAGAATCGTTTGATACAATATGACTATAGTGTCTCCTGGTTGGCCAGAAACTGATTAATGCATGCATGCATGCCTAACAGTACTAACAAACAGCTCTAAAAAGCAGGCCCTATGTCCTGTTTAAGAAGATCTATTCTTACAACAGTACTGTTGAAAATCGGATTCTAGCAAAACACTCCAACCTGAATCTACTTGTTGAGACTCAATCAACTTGAGTTCTGAAATAATGAGGATTGCAGGAACGTTTCATTGACTTGGCATAGGAACATACACAAATGACTAAAGACTTAGCATCGGGATACCATTAGGTACATTGTATGTCACCATGTTACAGGTATGTCCATGAACCGTTGCTAAAATCCTCATTTTTTAAGAAGAACTCAAGTTGATCGAGTCTCAAGAAATATATTTATGCTGGATAGTATTGCTAGAATTAATTTTCAATAGTAAGATAAGGGGTTCTTAAACAGGATATCCAAGCTTAACTAAGGCATTTTTGAAACTTTAGATTAGTACTATTAAAGACAGACTTTCTGAACCACCTGGTTGCTCATTAGACCTTATAAGGCAAGTCACATCCATTAGGCTTGTCAATCAAATCCTTATCCAATCAGCTAATAGTGATGAATTATGGGATAATATTTATGTTTATAAACATAACAAAAGCACATGTTATAATTTCATACTTTACAGTCAGTGAACATGAACTGAATGATAGCAATTGACCAACATTTTTTAACCATGAGTCTTCATACATTTTGTTATGCTGCTACATAGATTTTCCAGTTAATATATGTAAAGTAAATGTAGGTCTCCTTTAGGTAAATTGATTCATGTTCTAATAATCCCTAACATCTAAATTTGATATCATAAAGCAATTGCTTTTGGGGTCATTTCAAGAATTAAATGTAGATACCAGCACAAAAGCTTGAAATGTATTGGAAATTCTGTACAAATTGAAAACTTGTATTGGTTCTTTCATCTGGTCCCTACCTACCACAAAGGGTTGCACTAAGTCATCCCCTTCATTTATGCAATAATTCTGCACTTTTCAACCCTTTTCAACCTCTATTACCATGTTGTACCAGGGTGTTTCCAAATTTGAAATTGATGATCTTTTATATTTATGTAACCATATGCAAATGGTAAGAGATAATAAATTGTCCCATTTCCTAGGGTTGTTCCATATGAGACCCGTTCTTATAAATTTTCTCTAAGGTAAAAACCATTTGTAAACAGGTTTTTGGACAAATGGAACATCAAAAATAGTGAATTTGTCCTTGTGTTGTTCAGGAGACCTCATTCTTACACAGTCATTATACAGTGAACATGTCTCAACCATCAGAAAAATAGAGTGATGATGTTCGAGATTGAACTAACAGGATATGAAACAATAAATTAAAGACAGGGCTATCTTCACACTGACTTGCCGAAAGTACTCGTAAAAGCAAGTTTGAGCAAAAAGAAACTTTTGTAAAATCATCAAACTCTAGAAAATGAGTTTCTTATATCAATGTTAGCCAAGTGAACCATGGCCAAGTACATTGTAGTAATCTCGAGTCTTTGGAACAGTATACAGTTATCTTGAAGATTTTTACATCAAGCAAATACATTGGATTTTGTAATTATATAATGTCTTTGGAGTCATATCTTTAATATACCATATGTAGGTAAGTAAATGACACATTTCTTATGATTAACAGAAGTATGAATTATGTTTTATTGAAATGGTACTTATAACATGTGCCTTTGAAAGATTTACAAACAAACTTTACATCATGTGACCCTGAATACCTCACCTCATTGGTTGTAATTTGAATTAGGCCACTCCTCTTAATTAAAAAAATTACCAATTTTCAAATAAGGATTTCTAAAAAAGTAATGCATAATTGCAATAATTGATTAATAGATTTCAAGGAGAATGTATTCATAAATATCTGTGACAATTTTTAAGGTGATCTGTTGGCTACAACTAACAGAAAATCAAAATTATTCCTCATGATTAGAATTTTTCATATTCCTGATATTTTCAAATTTAGAATGACTCCATTTTTACTGGTCAAGCTGCTTTTATAGTGGAGGCTCTGTCTTTAAGTGAAGTGACATATGCTACTAGATAGAATTATTTGCATTACAAAATCTTGTTAACAGTAAGCAGGTTCTAGTTAGCATAGTTCTTCGATTAGACATGAAAACCCACATACCGTAATGCTCGCAATATTTGTAAGAATAGTATACAAAATGAATAGTAATTCTGAACATACCTGGCTAATAAGTGACGATTTAAACACAGATGTGTCATAAGACCATGTTTTACAGGGGACAGTTGTCATATTCTCCACTCTGACAAACGTCCTATTATTTCCCAAATCTGTGTAGTTGTAATCATACATATGACATTTACTGAATATCTCATTTCCAAATCTATTTTTCTCCATTGGAATTGCAAAATGTTTCAGTGTAGATACATTGAAATGTGTAAATGCTGGTATTTGACACCAATGGTCCATTTCTGTAATCAGATACACCGTTATGTAATATTGCCACCCTGCTAAACCAAAGAATAGGACCCAAAGGCTGCATGTTATGAGCTGGAAACGTCCAAAGCCGCCGATCTCTTTAACCAGACTGTCAAAATGTAATGCAGAGGCTGTAGACTTTCCCATTTTCTAAACAAAAGGAAATGCTTATGTGTATGCAAAGGCCCACAGTCTTGGACAAGGGTGAAGCAATTACTCAAGCTTTTTATTCATTTCTAGTCAGATAAGAACTAATGCTAATTAATGAGCATACTTACATGAAGAAATTGTCCTATTTCGAAAAACTAAACAACATTTTAAGAGTTCGATTTGAAATTTTTAGTCATAAACCTCTGTAACAAAAAAGAGATTGTTACTCATCGAAATAATCTTGTTAAAGTGGAAAATGTAAAAGTTTTCTCATTTTGATTTAACTGGACATTAAAATTGTCACATTTGGCTGTTTTGGGCTGTTCAATCTGCCTTCTATACCCGTTCTCAGCTTTAAACTCATTAAATAAACTGTCATTCTGTCTTGAAATTATATAGCACATCATAACAGAGGTGTACGCGATAGTTCAGAATGACAACAATATTCTCTGTCACCTCCCCTGTTGAAGAGCTCCAATTCCGGGAACAGATTTTTTACATCCGGGTTTTTCCCCATTGAAATATACTGAGTCCGATTTTGAATACATTATTTCAGCATTATTTGACATTCCTCTTCACGGATATTTGCACAATCGATAAAAATATTGGTCCTTATGGCAATCATGAAATGTTCTACGGTAACGTCACCGACTTAGTTCCCGGAAGCTGAGAATAAAGAACCAAGTTCTCATGTATATAACGCAGGTTTGATGTCATGTTTATATATGTTTGACTTACATCAATTGTGAGGGTTGTAACTTGAAATTAGTACAGTATGACCTTTACCGTCCCGACAATACGCAAAACATGGTTTTAAGGTTGGGAGAATTTTTTTTTATTTTATTTTTTTTTATTCCTTTTTTATTCATAGAAAACATTTGAAAGCAGTTACATTAACATATACAATATTCGTAATATCATAGAAATCACACAATTTCCATCATATTCTTTTTTTATGGCATCTAACCACACTAGTCTAGTCTAATCTAGTACCCATAATTTCCCACCTTTTCTCTCTAATATTACAATAAGATATTACATTTGCTTTAAATCCTTTAAAGGTATGGCATGGTTTAATCGACGGACCAATGAAAATTTGTTCCACTCGAAGTGATGCATTGCGGGAGATATTTATGACCAATTGATCATTTTCCATATAAATTGAAAAATGGATGGCATCATGGGTGTTGGTAGGACTAGACAGAACTTTTAAAGGTTTTTCAACATTGTTTCAATGGGAATTTAGCCCGACTAATTCAAATATGTCATCAAATGGAAGAAAACGTTAGTCTTTGATGGTTAAAAATGTTGATCTCCTGAAATCTCATTAAAAACGCACGAGACGTTAACAAGATTTCAAAGCTATATGGAAAAGGGACTATTGAAATGGGTAAGGTTAATAAATGTCTTGGAAATATGCTCATTGATCCCAAAAAATAAAGATAAGTCCGATATAAAACGGTCCTGTCATTGTCACAATATGCGATCGAATATCGAAATAGTAATCTAAAGAAATACTTTCGAATCCTCTTTTCTCTTTTAAAATGAAGTGTTAAGATCGTTTAGATATTATTTGTCACAGGCTCCAACCTCGATTAGTCATTAAAAACAAATTAAAGTGATGAGAAAATAATTAGTCATACTGGTCGTCCTAATTTTCCTTGTATAATTACCTTAAATTCTTGGTTCCTTATATTTGTCCCTTAAACCGTGTGTTCCGATCAGTAAAATGTAAAAGCACACTTTATGTTCTTAATATCACGTACGGAACGATATCCTAATAAACAGTTAACGTAAGTATCATTGACCTAACATTTTATGTATTTGACAATCAGACTTTAGATCCGTGACCTCAGTTCATTCATCATACACATGTTTCTCTTCCACAAGCAACCTAATCTAACATAAAATAAGTTTTCTGCTTGGAATTAGAATATGCTAAGTTAAAACAGAGTAACACTATTTTCAACAGTTTGGCTTTCTTTTTATTTCATGAAATGCTGTTTGGACTAGTCCATTAAAACGCAGGCCTTTTAAAACAGACAAAAATAAGAAATGAACAGCTTATTTATTTGAATAAGACACCGTTAGCATAACCATAATTTTAGTAAAACAGTAAAGAGATATAATGGATAGAGACACAAGCTGAGAGGAGGTTTAGAAAAATTGTCGCAATTCTGCATAAGCCTACAAGAAGTTGATTCTTTTTTTGCGACCTGGCAAAATCTAAATCATGCAAGGGTAAAAGCACACCCGGTGATCGTGAAAATGGGACGGAGGGGGGGGGAGCAAGCAATTTCTGGTAGAAAAATGAACAAATCTGCAAAAATTATTTTTTCAAGAAAAGGTTTATGATTTAATTGCTTAAACGAATAGGCGCACGGTATGGTAAAATATGTCGCGTATTCTACGATTTTTTTTAGCTGATTCTCTTCTTAGGTATAAGATCTATTAAAAAAGGCGCAACGCCACCAACGTGCAAAAGTCAATGTTTTTGCTTTAAATCAAGCATCAACGGTCTACACAACCTGTAATAAATATTTGTAAGTGACATTATCATCATAAAGTTAATGACCTTAATGACTTTACAAAATACGTTTCCATACGTTGTATAAAAAATAATCGAAAATAATTAAAATGGGACGGATGGGGGGGGGGAGGGGACGGAGGGGGGGGGGGAGCAAAATGTCTATACGACATGATTAGAGATGTTACTTCACTTTATATCCAAATTTTCCCATTTTCTCCTCAATTACAATGGGTTAGGAATTGATAACAAGTTTATAGTTTATAGTTTATAGTTTATTTCATAATATAACAATGTAAAGTACAAAACGTGTGCACTCGACACCCTTAGTAATTGGGCGTATCAGTGCTTATTTCAAAATGTGTTGCAGAGCAACCAAAATTACATATAATATAACATATAACAATACAGATACAATTAATAGATACAATACAGAAACTTTGAAGTCTTGAGAGAAATAATTAAATAAACAAAATGTGATTTTATGTAATGTTTTCATTCATCTTTTCCAAAAGGTCCTTTTTAATGTTATGTTTAAAAGAATTCAAAGTTTTACATGTTCGAAGTACTATTGGCAAAGCATTCCATAAAATGGCACCAGAATATGCCACTGACCTTTTTGTCAATTCAGTTTTTATTTTACAGGGGTGTATATTGTGGAACTGTCTAGTAATACGATTTCCAACATTGTGATTATATATGTATGTAAAGTAGTTTTTGAAAAGATATGCAGGAAAATTTGATGGTTCTTTAACACAATTATACATAAATTTTGATTTCTCTAACTTGTGAATGTCAAAAATTGTTAAGATTTTCAATTCCCTAAATAGGGGTGCACTAGTTTGTTGGTAATCTGCATTACATATCAGTCTTACAATTTTTTTCTGGAGATTAAGTAATGGTGTTAATAATGATTTATTGGCATTGCCCCATATGATATTGCAATAAGAAATATGTGAGTAAACAAGTGAATAGTAAATGTCTAGCAATGCATGTCTTGATAATCTATTTCTTACTTTAAAAAGAATGCCTATTATTTTTGAAACTTTTGAAACAATGTATTCAGTATGCCTATTCCATTTCAGATTTGCATCGATGATTACGCCAAGAAAATTTATATAGTCAACTCTTTCAATTTGGTTATCACCAATATATACCTTGTAGTGATGGTAATTTATATTATTAAGTCTTGATTTAGTAAATAACATATATTTAGTTTTCTCTATATTGAGTGAAAGCTTGTTATTTTTGAACCAATTGATTATACTTTTTATTTCAGTATTTGCCCTCAAGTAAAGATTGTCTAAGTTGTCATCTTCTAGGGAAATATTTGTGTCATCTGCAAAAATTACTAATTTTATCATATTGGAAACATTAAATATATCATTTATATACAAAGTGAAAAGGACTGGTCCTAAAACAGACCCTTGAGGGACGCCACAGTGTAAAAAATGTTCGTCATCGGAATATGAGCCTGATATGAAAGTTTTCAAGTTGTATTCGTAGTTAGATTTATTTAGGATTATCAAAATCTTGGAGGAGAGCGTTTATCTTTTTATGTGTATAATAGTTTTTATTTTTTGAAGACTTATCATAAAAATGTAGACATCGCATCATATTTCTTTTTGGACATGCAAGTTTTCGAGTAAGCAGTTACTAAAGTTGTTTCATTATTAACCTCGCTACCAGATATCTAGTATATGTTAATATTTTTGATTATGTTGGTCTTCAGCAGATGTCGAATTTAGACTAAATAATCTGCCAGGAAGTTTCCCAATTAGTGTACCCAATCATACCATGGGCACATCGCCTATTACGCCAAATACTGTACTGTACTTTGCATATATTTTCTCACATTAAGTGTAATATATGTATTTATTATGCAATATGCATCTCACATTTAGTGCAATATATGTGTTTATTGTAACATTTGTCCTCGACCATATGCATTTTGCAATTCACATTTAATGCAATATATGTATTTATTGTAACATTTGTCCTCGACCATATGCATTTTGCAATTCACATTTAGTGCAATATATGTATTTATTGTAACACTTGTCTTCGACCATATGCATTTTGCAATTCACATTTAGTGCAATATATGTATTTATTGTAATATTTGACCAAATGGGTGACACTCAGATAAAAATGTATACTGTGTCTCATAAGTCGACACCGGCTGGTGATGTTACCAAATGTTAATTTTATTACATTTTCGCTGAAACTAATTATATGTCCAAAGTGTGATGTGCTGTGTATGATATGCCTACAAATCAGCAAGTAAAAACGTTAAGACAGGTAAACATTTATAGATAAACAGTCTCCTGGAATATTTTGCCAACCTTAATTTGACCCCTCTAACTAAACCTAACAAGTACAACATGTTATCAATTCCTGACCCTTTGTAATTAAGGAGATAATGGGAAAATCTGGATATAAAGAATCAAGTAACATCTCATATCATATCTTATAGACATATCGCCCCCCCCCCCCTCCGTCCCCTCCCCCCTCCGTCCCATTTTAATTATTTTCGATTATTTTTTATATAACGTATGGAAACATATTTTGTTAAGTCATTAAGGTCATTAATTTTATGATGATAATGTCACTTACAAATATTTATTGCAGGTTGTGTAGGCCGTTGATGCTTGATTTAAAGCAAAAACATTGACTTTTGCACGTTGGTGGCGTTGCGCCTTTTTTAATAGATCTTATACCTAAGAGGAGAATCGGCTAAAAAAAATTCGTAGAATACGCGACATATTTTACCATACAGTGCGCCTATTCGTTTAGCAATTAAATCATAAACCTTTTCTTGAAAAAATAATTTTTGCAGATTTGTTCATTTTTCTACCAGAAATTGCTTGCTCCCCCCCCTCCGTCCCATTTTCACGATCACCGGGTGTGAAAAGGAAAACAAACACAAACTCAAGAAAAAACACAAACTTGTTTGCTGAGAAATGTATACATTTTATGGACATTTAAAGGGATGACATACCAATTTGCAGTGATCACAAACACATATCTATACATTTTATACAACATATTTAAACATAGCTATTATTTAAGGGTAAAAATAAGGAAATAAATATGCCAGTGTAATTGTAACACTGTCAATTTTGACGCATATCAAATTATCCGCCATTTCGTCTGATTTTAGCATCTATAAGTCGTTGTATTTGGCTAGGGAAAAAACTAAATTAGATTCAACATGTCGCGCAATGTCGTACTACATGACTGTATAACCAATCTTAACGATCCCGAAGCTTCACATAATTAACAACAAATTCATCAATAACTCAAAATATCGAACCAAAAACTCATCGATTGGGCGCTGCTCTTAATATGGTGCCTTCACCTACATAAAACTACTAATACTTAAGGTTGAAGACCACAGTAGAGTTTCCCATAGGTGGCCATTATAACATTTAACCCTGTATCTTATTAACGATTAGTATCCAAGCCTAGTGCAACATACCACAGTGTTCGGGAGAGACTCGCCTAGCCTGCTATGACAATCTTACCATGGTTTGTCCACCGAATTTTTGAAATAAATAAACTTGAAGACACTAACCCCCTCTATCGTCAGATTTCTCAGAGAATTCTGGTAAAATCACCAAGGTCAAAATCACTCCGCCGCCAGCTTAAAATGAGATTTCCCCACATGTTCCTCTGACATGTTTTCAGACAAATTAGGACCTACCCTATAAATATTTAGTCCCGATTCACTTCCAAAACGCCAGATGGCGCTCCAATGGGGTAGGGAAGGAGAAAATGACTTTTTATTCAGAAAACCAAATCACTAACCGCAAATGTCCTTTCTCAGGACTATATCCTTAAGTCATATTTGCTCCAATTTGCTAAGATTATCTGACTGAAATGAAAATTTATTAATATATTAAATACTCGAATAAAAAGTTATGATATTAGGAAAAAGCGCACAATCGTAGCCTTGCCCAAGTCGGTATTTTTTTTACTAATCTGATCTTGAATTATTACCGCCTTGTACAATCCAAGACATCTCCGCTGACATTATGCTGACTGAGATATTCAATGGTTCCGAGATTTCCATAATACCTACGCTATCAGGGGTATCGCGAAACCTTATTGATTGACAGATCGCGTGCGTGGACGACACGACGTGTGACTTCATGCTGATTGACCAATCAAAACGTTATATTATCAGGTTGAGCTGCATAAACAAAGCAAACTTCCCGTCTACGACTTGAAATCCAATGATCCGCTGAGTTGCAATATCATTCATGAATATATTTTGTAATTAAATGTACATTGGAATGTAAGCGTCATTTATATAAATTAAATCATGCGATTCAATGTTGATTTAAAACTGATTTCGCGATGAAAATGAACGATAAAAATGTAATCAGCGATCGTTTCAACGTTTATTGTTGAAATCTTATCACCTCCGGTTATCCAATCGATGCTCCGGCATCCACTAAACTCTGATAGATATTTATCTGATAAAATATTTGTATTTTCATGATGAATTCGTGCAAGATTTGTTCGTGAAAAGTCCCGGTGATCATGAAAAGTGTACTCGTTTTTGACCGTGCATAATAATGAGCAAACACTACAGGGCCGTCGTTGATTGGTCAAATTTTACCGACATCAACAAACTGTCGGTAAAGCACGTGGCTTTCTCTTGGGTAAAGGCGGTCACAATAGAAATCAAGATATATAAGTAAAAGAGACCGACTTGGGCAAGGCTAGCACAATCACAACAATATGGAAATTATTAGATTGTTAAATTTTTAGATTAGATAGATTTGACTAATGTGAATGCATGTAATGTATACGAGTTATAAATATCTAAAGATTCAGAAGTCCCGTGCGTGTCATCTAAACGATATTACAAAGAAATGACAAATAAGCTTGTAAAGTGTTTAATTATACATCAGCAGCCCTCATTAGACATTGCAATATCAATCGTATTGAATTTGAAAACACATTATACAAGTCGAGTTGTATGATTCAAAGATACATTTACGCAAGTGTAATAACTTTACATTTGAATCAAATTACCAAACACAAGAAAGATCGTTTGAAAATAACTCTTTATTAAAAGTGACGCAATGATTCTACTCAAAACCCCTGATTGAAGCTCTCTCGTTAAAGAAGAGAACATTTTAAAATTATTAAATGATGGGTTTTTAGTTAATACGGGTATGATCAATCTGAAATCAAAAGTAAGCTTGGTTGTTGACTAAAAAAATGGATTTTAAACCCAATGACAGCTGTTTTAGTAATGCTTGCTTATGACTTTGATAAATAAATTAGATGATTTTGTTGACATTAGGATTGTGGTTTCACGTAAAACTTTAAAGGAATCCTGAACATAATATGAATAGAGATTTAGCCCGACCCTTTTCAGAGAAGTTACTATAATATAAAATAATCGACTGTGTAAATCAAAGTTCTTCCGGTAGAAAATCAGTATGGCTGGACTCTAAAATAGTCTGGTATTAGGGTACTATTACATTTGCATATATCATAACCAAGTCAATTGACAATTAAAGGCCAAAGTTCAAAATCATTTAATTAGAGCCTTTGTTTTACAAACATATCTTCCAATACACCCTGTCGCCTTTTGGTGAATCAAAGATTCTATGGCATATTTGCTAGATTGATGAGCCAATGGTCGTACGTCGCAATTTGTCCATTCAAATATACAATAAATGTAGGCCTACTTCAGTAACTTATTGCTAATTTTGAAAAGTACAACTTTTCTGAATCAAAGAATCTATGGCATATTTGCTAGATTGATGAGCCAATGGTTGTACGTCGCAATTCATCCATTCAAATATACAATAAATGTAGGCCTACTACATTAACTTATTGCTAATTTTGAAAAGTACAACTTTTCTGAATCAAAGATTCTATGGCATATTTGCTAGAATAATGAGCCAATGGTTGTACGTCGCAATTCACCCATTCAAATATACAATAAATGTAGGCCTACTACATTTACTTATTGCTAATTTTGAAAAGTACAATTTTTGACATCATCAATCTAGCCAATTCTTTATAGCTTTTTCTGAAAATTTGACTCAGCAATTACATGGTATAAACTTATTCAATAAATCCAGGATTCATATTTTAGTATTCAAAGCGCCAACAAATTGGTAACCCAGCGAAAGTTTTACATTTAGAGTGTAGATTCTCTCGACCAATTAAATAAAGGCTTTCTTTATCACGTTTTCACCTGCCGTTTGTGCCACTGCAGGTGAGTATGACATATTCCGCAGATGAGTATCGGATATTCACTTAAATCATTGTATCACAAATACCTGGTATGGCATCATTTTTGCTTCTTTATTCGTAACCCTACTATCACACCAAACTAGTTCTCACTACGTTCTCGAAAACGGGCTTCAACTGTGTACGAACGGACTGGACCTACTAAGAACCGTTTGGGATCTCTTTACAAACTTCATCGAACGTACTCGAACGGATAGGTCCTCTAGAACTTAGAAAATGCTCAAAATGTTCTCGTGGTCGTCACGTTCTACAATTAGAACGAGTGACAACGTACTAACGACGAGCTGGACGCACTACGAACGGAACCGTCGTACTTCAATCCTACTAGGGACGTTTTAACAACGAGTTGAACTGTCAGAGGACGTGTTGAGAACGAGGTAGAACTAATTGCAAACGGGTTTAAACTGATTAAGAACGTATTTAACACTGCTTATGAACGAGTTAGCAAAAATATAGCTATCACACCAAACAAGTTACCACTGCGTTCTTCAAAACTGGTTTTAAACTGTGTGCGAACGGAATGAACGTAGCTGCAACTTTCTAAGGTCTATTTACGAACTTTATGAACATTCTCAGACGGGAATGTGATTTTAGAATTTTGAATCGATTCAAAATTCGATGGCGACCATACCGTTCTGTTATCAGGTCATGTTGACCTTCTAGACTAAGGGACGCGTTCTACGACGTTGAACACCGACGTGGTGCGACCTGAACGAACTGCGAACGCGATGGACGTATTGAAGACTGTTTAAGAACGAAGAAGCTAATTATTTCAGACATATTTCCCGACCACAGCCAGATTGAGCCCGTTTTACGACGTTTTCGTAGGACTGGCAAGAACGGGTAAGAACTAGTTTGGTGTGATAGGGGGGTAAAATCCTAATATATTCTACATATGGAATATTTATTCGCTAAATCAATTTTTCATTCGGTAAAGACATTTATATATTTGTTACAGCGAATTTAGTTTTCACAATAGCCAATGTATTAAATCACTTCATACTATATGCATTAAATTACATATTTTATTCACTAAATGATATACTTTTTGCGTAAACTGTTATGGTATTCCTTAAGAGTAACACATAAATGCACAATATCAAATTTTTATTTTAACCCTTACCGAAATAAGTTTTTCCATCTTTACCAAATAATTTAATTTTCAATAACATAGTTAATGCATTTCACCGAAAGCTCATTTGCTATTTACCGAATGCAATAACGCAATATTCGTTAACTTTCGTTGTTGTTCGATATTTTGTCACGTGACCTCGAGTTTTGCAAAATGGACGCGCAGCTATTCAACATCGTTTTCATATATCACGTGACTGAAAGTCTCGTAAAGTATCGAAAAATAACGAAATTTATCGAATGTGGCATTCGGTATTTACCGAATATAAATAAGTTAAATACCGAATGTTAAAATATAATCAATCACCGGGCGACCATAAAATATATGCCATATTCCGCGTAATACAATGAGATGTTTTTAATCACAAAGTAATTAATATAACAATTTATCCTTATTTATATTGAGTTACATATAACTAATACACGTATATGGAATGGTGCGGAAATGAGATCGCTGATTGCATGATTAACTTGTGACCAAATTAAGAAATAACCCAAGTCAAATTCCGTCAAGGATCGCCTATTCTTTTGTCTGTGTTAATTTTGTTGGTATGTGTTGAACAGCGGTGACAAATTATACGTTCAGATACTTTCAGGAATTCCACATGCAAGTAATATATCATGCATTGTAGGGATAATGGGATATACGTAAAAAGGTGTCAATTGAACATTAAATAGAACCTCTGATGGACCGGGGATTTTCAAAGACCAACTGTTCTAGACGCCGCCAAGTATAATATTCTAAACAGCATTATTGGCTTCTGGACTATTAGAACGCCATTTGTCGGATGGTGGTGATATTTAGGGTCTCAAAAAACTCTAGGATAGCTTTGGACTTGTGTGATAGAGCAGTATGAAGAAAAATAGAATATAACCAATGTTGTCTGTGGTCTCGTGGCAAACGGGATTCACGAAGTAGAAGACCGCATTTCTAAAAGCACCACGAATAAATGCATTTGGACTTACTCAAGTCTAGTTTTAAGTATGTGGACCCCTGTAGTGGGGGGGGGGGGTCACAAAGGCCTGTAGCTAGACTAGGTAACCGGACAACTCATCCCCTAGACAACTCATCCCTGGACAACTCATCCCCTAGACAACTCATCCCCTGGACAACTCATCCCCTGGACAACTCATCCCCTGGACAACTCATCCCCTAGACAACTCATCCCCTGGACAACTCATCCCCTGGACAACTTATCCTTTGTCATGGTTGAGAAAGTAAATATTATATTATCAATTCAACTCATCCCCTGGACAACTCATCCCCTGGACAACTCATCCCCTGGACAACTCATCCTTTGTCATGGTTGAGAAAGTAAATATTATATTGTCAATTCATATTTGATATTGAAATGATTTTTCACGTTTAATGTTTCAAGTGACAAAAACATATAATACATGTACAAAGGCTTTCTAGAGGGGTAATCTGGAAAATATACTTAATGTTTTAGATAATACCCTAATTATTATATAATCTGTTTTAGCAGTATTTTAATGATCAGAGATAGCTTCATAGGAGATTTATAGGAGATTGATTGATTGCAATCAGAAATGACATTTGTTTAAGCTAAACTAAATCAACTTTACTTTGAAAAAAGCAAACATAAAATAAAGTGAAGGTTCAAAAATGTTGTATTTCTATTGTTTATACAACTTATTAACAGCTATGTACATGTAAGAGTTACAATATATACATTACATTATATACCCCTACAGTATATAATATTGAAAAATTGAATGTTCTAATAGTTTTTAAGTTGTAATACACAAACATAAAGTATACAGTTCATTCTACACCAGTTTCACAGTATCATTAGAACCAATGTTTATAATTCACCAGAATTGTAGTCCATGTTCACTCAGTGTTACACAGATTAGTCCATATATTCTATGAAGCAGTTGGGGCAGCGATCTTACCGCAAGACTTCAACAGGCGTTCCGAACGTTGTTATTTCCCCCTCTTGGTATCTCTCCCAGATCCTGTCAAGTCGTCCTTGAATGTTTTTGTAACGACGGCGTTGGAAACGGCGGAGTTTGCCTTCCTTCACTAACTTGGTGTGTAGGTCAACAAGCCTTGCTTCATCGTGCAGAAGGGGTATCAGCACGTACATTGGCAACTGTGATCGACCTGCTCTCCCGTTGATCCTGCGATGCCACCCCTCAACATCATTATTTGTCCGGATCGCTTGATTGAATACGCTCTATGTTGAAGGTGGCCAGATGGTTGAAGTAATCCATGTATCATCGATGTAATCCATGATGGGCTGAAGAAGAGGTGTCGCTCTCTCAGCAAGGTTGGCAAACGCTGTTGGGATGTGCTCATAAGGTAGGTATGGCAAGGCAAACAGTTGTCTGATGAACTTGTGGATGGCTCTATCAGATGTGTATGCTACCTGCAGGCCATGTTCCTGGATCTTCCTCCAAACAGCCTGTGCCCAGTGGAACACACAGCCAGAGAGCTGTACATCGTCAGGGAATTCCCTGCGCATTGCTCCCCAAAGACCAGCCTCGAAGTCCGCAACTGCCTTTACTAATCCAAGACTCGGGATCAGATCGATGACCGCCCTCAAAACTGCCTTGTAATCCCGTTTCCTACGTCGAGACATCAGGACACAAACAAGAGGTTCCTGTTTGATGTCACCATCTTCCCCCTTGATGAAGGCATGGATTGAGAAGAGTTGGCTGAAGGGGTCACTTACGATCTTGAAGGTACCATCCATATACCAAACCTTGGCCTTAGCCAAGAGATCCAGCTGATTTTCTTTCGCAGATGACGATGAGATGACGTGCACCATCGACCATTGCAATATCCTGCTGGAGGAATCCAGGGGGTAGGAAGTGTTCAGCAACTTCAAAGTTGAGATCTGTTGGCTCAGTTGGTCGAAGCTGTTGTCGGGCCCGATTGGCCATTCTGACAAGAGTATCAGGGATAAGTTGGTTGTTGGCTGGAATATCCCTTTCATCCCTCATGAGTACATCCTCCACGATGTTTGAAGCAGATCTGTACATAGATTCCTTAGCTGTCTTTTTCACATCAAGAACAACCTTGATGCGACTTACAGCATCCATATTCGGCTCATGGATGTGAAGCTGTGGGCCTCTGGTAAATGATGACCCACGCTGGGTGACCCTAGCTGGACAAAGGGTAATCTTGTTACGAATACTGCATCGCCAGGAAATACGAGAATCAGTCTTGGCTTTAACGGTGTATGTATATCCTGTAGAATCCACAAGCTTTTGATTCCCCCGCTGTGAAGCTTGGCAGATGACTTCATATGTCACTGCAACTGGTTCGACAGGGGCGACATTATCAGGCAGCTGATCCTCCATTAACGTATCAGCTTGATTCCTATCCGGCACATCAAATGGTCTGTCAACATTAAACGAGGCTTTTATTTGCTCTGTAATGTTCGGGATTTGTACGCTATATTCTTGCAGGGATGGTGGTGTGACATGGGTCTCACCCAATTCGTGTTGTATCGCAGTGCTCTCTGCGGCAGGAACTCCTATTGATGAATTCGTCCCCTGTGAAATTTCACTGGCACTATTAAGCAGGTCCTCTAGGTTGCGGTGTTGACAATTGTTGCATCTCCACATGATAAGGTCCCCATTACGCTTCATGGACCAATACTCTTCTCTTGAAAATAGAGGACTGCAAGTTCTGTGTTGTCTTCCAGAGCATACTGCACAGGTCAGAGAGTCTTGCTTTGGACGAACTGTCCTCTTGCACTCTATACATGGCCTGGATGGCGCCGGCATCCTGTTGTTCACTATCTGGATCACTTGGCCTCTTTAGTAGTAGAAGTAGATTACTATATGTATTGTTGCTATAATAACTGAAGTCGAAACTGACTTGGAAACATTCTTCCTGCCTTAAATAGCAGTTTCTGTTAATCCTGGTCTCAAATGCCAGTCATTCTGCCTTCCCTAATCTTGCTCAAAATGTCTAATGTTTTCCTAAATCTTGCTCAAAATTTCTAATGCCTTCCTAAATCTTCCTCAAAATGTCTAATGCCTTCCCTAATCTTGCTCAAAATGTCTAATGCTTTCCTCAATCTTTCTCAAAATGTTTAATGCTTTCCTTAATCTTGCTCAAAATGTCTAATGTTTTCCTAAATCTTGCTCAAAATTTCTAATGCCTTCCCTAATCTTGCTCAAAATGTCTAATGTTTTCCTAAATCTTGCTTAAAATTTCTAATGCCTTCCTAAATCTTGCTCAAAATGCCTAATGCCTTCCCTTATCTTGCTCAAAATGTCTAATGTTTTCCTAAATCTTGCTCAAAATTTCTAATGCCTTCCTAAATCTTGCTCAAAATGTCTAATGCCTTCCCTAATCTTGCTCAAAATGTCTAATGCTTTCCTCAATCTTTCTCAAAATGTTTAATGCTTTCCTTAAATTTGCTCAAAATGTCTAAAATATATGTCAGTGTTTTTATTAATAAGCATAACAAACATCTGGATTATATCTCACTCAAATATATGTCATTATATTGCTTATCACTTCATTTCATAATAAACTAGCTTTGTGCGCATTCTAAATAATATACATTAAAAGATTAACTGCAAAGTATTTTTTAAATTCTCCCGCAACATACAGTATATCCGATACAACTCATCTGAATTATTTCTAAAACCTTGTAATTATCCCGACATGGGACACTGGCACTGCATAAACATATACAATTATTAAAAAAATTATGATATATCTCCGAATTTGTTTTGTAAATATTTACTTTTAATTGGTTAAAGTTGGTTTAGTTCGCTGAAGAAGCTCATTTGATGTCATAATATTATGTTTGCTGTTTGTGGCTTAAATATTCTTTAATCCAAAGATTATCTTTTCACAGCATTCACAGATGAAGTCCACGTTGCCAAGTTATAGAAAACTATATTTTTGTCATGAAATTGGGTCATGTAATATAAGGAGAGATGAGTTTTACGGTACTGTTTGACTGGTAACGAATAGGTACTTTCATAATTTTGTGTCAATAAAGGGAAAAATAAAATTTTGAATGATCCAAAGTGTATCTATTCAATATTTCTTTTCCAGAAACACTTTTCAATTTAGCTAAATGTGATAAAGGATGAGTTGTCCAGGGGATGAGTTGTCTAGGGGATGAGTTGTCCAGGGGATGAGTCGTCCAGGGGATGAGTCGTCCAGGGGATGAGTCGTCCAGGGGATGAGTTGTCTAGGGGATGAGTTGTCCAGGGATGAGTTGTCTAGGGGATGAGTTGTCCGTAAGCCCTAGACTAGACTTAATCATGACAATTCAGCCTATAGCTATTGATACGCTCCCCAACAATGCAATAAATTGTTCTACTCGTCTCAATATTATTAGTCCTGACAGCCCTCGAGGAGGTAAGAACAATGCGATGTTTCGATTTGTCTCCAACGCTAGCCTTGTCTTTTGGATGGTGCTCATTACAACTATCAAGTCTATTGATACGCTCCCAACAATGATATAAAATAGAAGTCGTCTCAATATTAATCCTGATAGCCCGCAAGGAGGTAAGACTAGCACGATGTTTCGATTTGTCTTCAAGGCTAGCCTGATATTTTGGATGATGTTCATTCCCGCTGTATTCCGCTACCAGAGCTACTGTCATCAAATAAAGGATAAGATTCAGAGGAAAATCGTATCTGGGCGCGATATAGAGTTAAATGCAGAAGATACTATTTCTTCAAGAAATCGCCTGGAAGAACGCAGTATATCATCTTTGCGTGATACAACATTGGAAGTCTATTCCCATGTTTTGAGAGAAAAGAGGGAAATACAAGAAGAAGTTTGTAGTTCGGCTGCTTCAGATTTTAAATGTAGTGATACAGAAAGATCCTGCCGAGATCGATGTGGTGATAGAGTGACTATCGAAAATGCGACGCAGTTTTACTGCCATTGTGATGAGTTATGTTCGCACTATGGTGATTGTTGTCGAGACTATGGGCACCAATGTCAAAATTGTAACGCTACTGAAAGAGGTATCATTGAAACTAATCAGACCCTCGTTGATATCGGAAATGATAGTTGCGCGCCTGTTTTTGTTCATAAAACACAACGCGCAAACTACCAATGCACGCGTGTTCAGGGAGTCGTGCGCGTGTACCTTAAAGCAAGTTGTCATGCGGACTATAAGAATTTTGCATTGGAGAAGAAATGCTTAAGTGAAGAAGAGCCCTATTCAAAAATTCCGTGCTACGATGCCATTAAAGATGAACATTACAAGAATATATATTGCGCCGAGTGTAACTTCGTTGAAGCAGCGCTGTCATGGAGACTGAGAATCAAATGCACAGATGCGAATTTCTTAAACGATTTAAATCTTCGAAGCTTGAATATTCCTCGCATCATGGAATTCATACTTGATTCAACAAACATTGGCCATGGATGTAGAATCGATTATATGGAACCCTTGTTAGAGAACGTCCAACAGTTACGCCCATGTATCAGTACTCAGTTTGAGTGTGAATATTGTGAGGACACAACTCTGGCAGCACTTTGCCATACCTACGGACTAGACCCCATTGATAACGTGACTGTTTATCATAACCTTTATTGTTGGAAGTGTAGTCAAAAGTTCGGAAGACCGAGATTTACACCATACGCTCAGTTATGTCGACTTGTCGAATTCGCAGATATACCACCCGAACCATATGATGATTTACAGACACTTTCGTTTCAAATTCTAATGGACGTTACAGGAGATACTATCAACGTAAGAACTGTCGCTGATCAGCAAAACACTGGAATAGCTGAAGTGGAGCTTTCCTGTTCCGATGACGTGTTTCAATGCCGATTGAAACGATGCCTTGGCAATTTGACAAGAATTGGGGATGAATGTGTCGTCTCGGTGTCTGAGAGAACAGGTAGTTCAACGGTGAACCCAAGAAATTCACAAGCAACAGTGAAAACAGTAAGGAAGAGTAAAGGGGCGGCAAGTACAATGGCCGATATCTCACCGCTATTGATGTGGCTTTTGATCCCGACGAACATACTAATGTGAACAGACTAATCTAAAGATTTCAAATTCTAATTTCTAAAGACAAAGTCCTAAAGCTGAACACTCGTTCAATTATTACTTCTATATCATAATACCTTACGTTTAATAAAGCTACTATTTAACCTCTAGTAATTTATTCTCTTTTCAAATGGCCTTGACATGGTATAGCTCGTAAAAATGAAAATATTATATTATTTCAAATATCTAAATTGTAAATTATTTACAAAAACATCTACAAAGCACAATGTGCATATTTAGTGTATAAAAATAAAGGCATATTACAATTGATTCTTAAAGTTTATATGTGATTCTGGAAATGCACAAACGTTTTTTTATGGTTTTGGAGCATCGTGCGTATATTAACATTTAATGCAACTTCATAAGGAGAGGGAGTTCGGAGTACACGTGCAAACCTCCCCAAAATAACTATTGGAGAGCGGAGTAAGATGGAACGGAAATCTACCTATTTTGATGGAGTACTGAAAATTATTTTCAAATTAATTGATATTTTCTATACAGATTACAGACTAGTTCATTTCAAAATCGTCAACAATGTCAGCTCCACTAGACGTGGGGTAAGACGGAACGGTTGGTATAATCTGAAAGAAAATCTATAGCTATAAAATGCTCCGATTTGATGTTTTCTTTATATACGTTTTAAATTCAAAAGCATGCCTGTTTTTGTACCTCATAATTCCATAACCATTATGGAACAATTTCTAGGGAGAGGTTGCTACCCATGGAATGATGTTTAACACGTTTAAACTGTTACGAAAAAGTTAACACAATAATTTAACTATTGATATCATATTTGCTCGAATAATGCATCATCATAACGAACAAAAAACATAATCGAACCGAGACTGAATTATACTTCCACATTGGTAATACCCTGTTCTAACCATTCGGGGTGATTTCAAAAGTGTCAACACACTTGAATAGCTTAGTATATTTACTTACATTGGGTTGGTGGCATCAATTAATCAGTCATGATAAAAAGTTACATTCCAGTTTGACATCAAAATACTTTATAAACTTTATTCAAAGTATGAATAGACCCTAACTACACGTACATGCACGTACACACCTTTCAAAGGTTTAATGCAAAACTTTAAATTGGAACTAGATAGCAGCAACACCATAGCGTAGCAAATCCCATCGAACAGCCATGGTTGTCATTTTTACAAAATCCTCCAACTACTTTTTCAGTTATAGCAAAAGTCGTAAAATAACATACATAAAAAACACATTTTACATCGGACAAGCGGTATTCATTATTATACTCTTACACATAGGACCCTCTTATGCATAGATCTATGCTCATGTGATACACATGTCAACACTAGGTGAGAAACATCTTCCTTTGCATTAATATATGGAAAGTTTCAAGACTAGTGGTATGAACTTGACCTCAGGTCACTCATCATTGGTCGCCAAGAGTTACGGTAGCCCCCGAGGCCCTTAAAACACCAAATACTTAGGTATTTGCCTTTGACCTTGATTTGACTTTGACTCATCAACATAGACATTGATCTCAGGTCACCTAATTATAATTTCCTGATGGTCACAGAAGCCGTCTGGGTATTAAAAAGCCAAATACCTAGATACTAACCGTTGCTCTTGGATTTACCTAGACCCAAGTTCATCTAATCATCGTTCACCAAGGGTCACAGCAGCAGAAAGACCTTAAATCACCAAATACCTAGGTATTGACCTATGACCTAGGAATGACCTTGGCCACCTAATCATAGGTCAACAAGGGTCACAACCACCCAAATGCATTAAAACGCCACTTACAAATATATTGACCTTTGACCTTGGCCCATAAAGTTGACCTTGACCACAGGTCACCAAATCATTGGTCATCAAGTATCACAGCAAGTATCACAGTATCACAGCACAGTCCAAGGTAAGCCAAGTACCTAGATATTGACCTTTTACTTTGCAATGATCCTGACTCTGATCTTCGCCGAATGCCCACTGACCCATTTAGTATGTTGACCAAGTATGAGGGACAAAGCTCTAACAGTTTTAAGGTAAATGTCAGGACAGACACGCAGATAGATCACAGTGCTTTAAAGACATTGAGAATATAAGAACTCCTCGCCGTAGTCCTTTTATGTATGTAAGAGGCATTGTCGCCCATACCAGTGTTTGGTATATGATAACATATTTTAAACAGGTTTTCTTTATAACCCGTCTTACCCCTCGTTTCGTCTTACCCCGTTCTCCCCTAAATAAATAAAAATGTACCTCCTCCCCAGTCAGCAAAATTGTGTGTCAAAATACTTTCTCCTTCAGTATTTAGAAAGACGTAGGCACAAACATGTCTGTGGAACAAATGTGTCCGTAATTGCTGTAGCAATGAGCTTGTCTAGATCTGGAGGTTCCAATACAGCTTTATAAACACTATTATGAGATTCTTAGGTCCATTTTTAGAACAGGACACATTTGCATTAATACTAAAAAACAAAGATTGTTCAATATAGACCTAGCATGACTACAAAATCAACATTTGGTAGATCTAGAAATTAGATATTTATACGTTAACTTACTGTCTGTCTGGCTTGATTAAACACCATATAGTCTAATATACCAAGACCTCATCGCTCTTTACTAGCAAGATTTAGATATGGATCTCTTGAAACTGGACGTTCAACAAACACACCCCTCCCACGACGTATATGCCAACTATGCTCAGACAGTGGTTTCCCAGTTGAAACAGAATAACACTTCCTTTTAGAATGCAATGCGTACACAGACATTAGAGATTGTTCTTAAAAAGTATTAAAAACCCGCTCCCTTGTAATTTCAAAGACATGCAACAAGACATTAAAATGCTTACACTTATGAACACTGCCAGCATCCAAAATAAACTTGCAGCAACTGTTTTTAAATTTTGGCCCAGGAGAAAACGTATCATAATACATAACTAATCATTGTGCAATAACAGTTCATTTTATATTGTTCTGAAATTATGGTGTCTCATAAGCCGATGCCGGCTGGCTGTGATGTTTATACTTGCACTTAATGTGTTTATACGAGGGTTGTCCCAGAAGTAATGCACTATATACTCTAACTTTCTTACAACCCTCGTACTATGTTGTATTTAATTGTATTTGTCTCACAGGTGACACTGTAATATACTGTTTTAAGCTAAACTAAACTAAAGTATGACATATTCCGCAGGTGAGTTTCGGGTATTCACTGAAATCAATGTATACACTGCGGAATATGCCATACTCACATGTGAAATATATCATATACCGCAGGTGAGTATGGCATATTTACCCGTATCACAAATACCGCACTGAACCGTAGAGTGGTCGGATAAAAAATGTTTTCTTTATTTTTGATAATTCATTTTCGAGGATATTTTCGCTTGGGATACATAAATTATAGCAATGACAGATGTAACCTTTAAACCATGGATCATGTAATGTATACGATCCGAATTGGTCGTAATAAAGAAATATAGATATATCACATATTGGAAGTAGATGAACGTCTTAAAAAAGTCTTAAAGTCCCCGTCTAAAGTTTGAAAATATTTTTTTATCGTTCATTTACTATTTGTCAGGACTTAAAAAGTGAGTTTAGAGATTTTTTAACAAAAAATGTTTTTGAAAAAAAAGTTGTGAGCATTTCATTTCTCAAATATTCAAATTTCCCGCCATTTTTCAAAAAAAGTTGAAATTTCTTAATCATCAAATATTTCTTAATGCATTTCAAAAAAGATTATATTTTTAACACCAATGCAAAGATTGAACAAAAGACACACTATTTCAGTAATAAAATGTCATATTTAATGGCCTGGGCCACTTCAATGTTTTAGCTTATCAAAAATATTTTGAAACATTAGTGATGTCACTAATACTCGGGGTGGAAAATTTTCTAAGAGGCTCCGTTAAGGACTTTATGAGCTGGATGGAATTTCTGTGTATTTTTTATTCTATTAGGGTGTCCTGCATAAAGGATTTCGCCTGCGAAGCATATAACTCTTGCGAACATATCTAAATACTGGTCCGAAGAAGACATACCTTGAATTTTTTAGAAAAAATTGGCTAAAAATGGAAACTACAAGAAGTCAAAATGTTCAACTCAAACAAAGTTGTAGCTATTCTATATCAATATTTTGTGTTATGTAAGGTTTCTCAGATGTTTCAAGACCTTCATTAGTATACTTGTGTCTAGAAATGTGACATTTAAGGACAAAATTTGGCATTTTTAATCATTTTCGCTTTCAGCATTAACATATAGTTCCTTATATCTCGAGTTTAATGCTGACTGGTTGTTGCATTTTTGATTAAATCTGTGCTTGTACATATGTTCTTCCTTTTAAGGTATAGAAAATGTATAGTGGACAACCAATGTTCGTATGAGAGCTTTCAGATCTCCCCTACCCCATTTATTACGGAAAATTACCGAAAAATATGAAAAAATAAAATAACTTGAAATTATAAACTTTAACAAAGTTGTAGCTATTCTATGTCAATATTATGTGTTATTTAATGTTTTTAAGATATTTCAGAACCTATAGCGGTATACAAGTGGCTAGAAATGAGACATTTAAGGACAAAACTTGGCATTTTTTTTTTATCATTTTCGCTTTCAGCAGTAATATATAGTTCCTCATATCTTGAGTTTTATGCTGTCTGATTGTTGCATTTTCAATCAAATCTGTTCTTGTGCCTGTCTTCTTCCATTTAAGGTATAGAAAATGTATAGTAGACAAACAGTGTTCATATTAGAGCTTTCAGATCTCCCCTACCCCATCAATTATGGAAAATAAACGAGAAATATAAAAAAATAAAATAACTTGAAATTATAGACTTTCATAAAGTTGTAGCTATTCTATTATCAATATTATGTGTTATTTAATATTTTTAAGATTTTTCAGAACTTTTATTGATATTCAAGTGGCTAGAAATGAGACATTTAAGGGCAAAACCTGGCATTTTTTAATCAATGCTGCCTTCAGCAGTAACATATAGATCCTCATATCTTGAGTTTTATGCTGACTGGTTGATACATTTTGGATTAAATCTGTTCTTGTACATGTTTTGTTCCATTTAAGGTACTGAAAATGTATAGTAGACAAACAATGTTCATATTAGAGCTTTCAGTTCTCCCCTACCCCATTTATTAGGGAAGATGACTGGAAAATATAAAAAATAACTTCAAACTACCAGTATAAACTTTAACAAAGATGTAACTATTCTTTATGTGTTATTGATTGCTATAATTAATCTTTCAGGACCTTCATTAGTATTCTAGTGTAGAGAAATT